ATTTTCTTAAATAACTGACATTGTTTTAATTAAAGAAAATAACATCCTAGTTCTTAACATCTTTAGGTATTTTGGAATCTAAAAAGTAAAATAAATCATATTTTCAACTTGATTAAGTAATTTGTTGAGTTGGATTCTAGTCATGGATTTTTAATTATAAAAATTGGGTTTTATTTATAGATAAAGAAGGTGGTGGGCTGGATGCAAGAGAAAATTAATTTGAAGGGGTTAAGCCAGATTTACTAAAATCCCCAAAAGGTAATCTTCTCTCGTTCAGTATCTGGATTTTATATTGTCAAACTATCAATTTAGATAATACATTCAAATACGAGTTGGTATCATTAAATGGTTCTCATTAATGGTTTTATACCATAACATGTTAGATTAAAGATTTTCGTGTATATGTTGCGTGTGTGATGTTGACGTGACTTGTGGACCATTGACTTACTTTCCTTTCACACCATGAATTACTATTATAATTATAATTGATTTACTTTAATTCTTGATTTCCTACCGTAAATAGAAATATGAATTTATTATTTACTTGCCCATTAAAGTTTCGTTGTATTATAAATATGACCTCCTACAAGGAGAAGAATACTCATAAAATTCTCACAAACAAATATTCTCATATTAGGTTTCATATTTTAGCATGGTATCAGAGCGACGATCTTGGAATTACAAACTCTAGTTTCAAACCCCCGCCACTGCTATGAGGGTTGATGATTTTTTTCAACCCTCATGGAGGTAGCACCACATCCTTCTTCTCTCATTCTCAACCAACCATAGCCGAGTTGAGTGCTCAGATGGCTTAGCTCTTATAGATGCAGACTTTGACCCCGAACTTGATCCTGAATTAGGTTCCTATTTTGATGACTCCGACTACAATGACAACGACGACCCTAACCTTGACTCCGATGATTCCCCCAACCCCGAATTTGTCTCTGTTTTAAATTTAAAACACTCTCTAGCAACGGTGCCAAAAACTTCTTGTGAAATTTATTGCTAGCGCACAATTCGCACAAGTAATGCAGTGATGAGTGAAGTGTCGTTCCCACGAAGAGTGATTTAATTTACTAAGTACTTATTGTGATTAACCCAAGACTTTATTTGAACAATTGATGATGAGATTCGATTGATTGATTAACTAAAACAATGAATAAAAGCAAGCATGGAAAAATAAAGTAGTGATATTAAAGTTATGAGAGCACTAGAGCATCCAATTTCACCATAGCCAATTCTACCCAATTCCCTTAACATGTTAATCCTAATTATTCTCCATGTTGACAGTTGATTTTCTCTACTTTATTATATACTTCATCCCTGGTTATACCAAAAGTATTCTTATTACCAACCCACTCTATCCCTAGTAATAGAATTAAGATAATAAGAACTCATTAAATTCCTTGGAAAACCTACAAAACAACCACATAAGTCATGACAAACATCCCTGTCTAATCATGTAACTCATGGCATCTATTACAAGAAGCAACCCCAAATTGGATATCCCTATCGTCAATTTAGCATCAAAACAATTAAATATTGGCCAAACATTCAAACCATTAAGTATGGTAATAGATACTCAACATGGAGAAATACTTGGAATTAACATTGACTAAAGTAATTGAATATTCATGACTATGCTATATCGTAGCCCTAGCAAGAAGAAATTAGTTCATGACAACTTCAATAAAAACCATGACAAATAGTATCATAGGAAAGAAAAAATCAATTGAAAACTTGATCTCTGCACGACAGCAACTCTAGCTCCAGACCCTCTTCTTTGTCTCTCTAAAAAAGAACCTAGTGCCAGAGAAGCCAAGTATACGCACCATACACTAAAAATATAAGGGAGAGATATAGTTAACAAATGCAAATTCCCCCAAAAAAATTGGTACTTTTCAACTAAGCACACATAATTTGGACAACTAAACAAATTAAATTTGCTGATGAAATGAATATATAATCTCGGCGTGGGAATCATAATAAAGCGGCCAAGACGGTGACTTCGCGACCCTGAGGCTTGCCTTTCTTGGGAAGAGAGTTGTAGAGTGAGAACACCTTGTCCGAGACCTTCTCGCCCCACTCTATTTTTGAAGAAGAAGAAAGAGCAGACGACGACGTTTCGAAGCAGGACAGCGACGCCATGCTGTAGAAAGTGGTGGTATGGGGTGAGTGAGAGAAGAGAGGCTCCCACCTCCGATTTCTGGTCATTCGGACCACTACGTGGTTGGATTTGGATTGGGTGACTTCCAATTCATTTTTTGGGTCTAGAATTGGGCCAATCTTGTGCACCCAAGAAGAAAACAAAGGAGCCCAATTTCACCATTTTCCATAACAAGACTGACCCAAGCATAAAGATACCAACTACAAAATGATTGAAGGGAGACTTCAACTTGAGACTTATTTTAATATTAAGAAATTATCACTAGATCAAGAGAGTTGATATTGAATAGTCTCACTTTTAAGTGCTTATGTGAGAAGCACTTTTACTCGTAAGGGGTTTTAAGTTGGCTGAAAACGATTTCAGCCATTCTAAAAGCACTTCCAATTCTTGTTAAGTGAAATATCATTTATCCTCCTACTCGAGCACTTCTCGATCCCCTCTTTAGTATGAATAATGCTATTTGTGCCACATCTACTGACTCATATAAGACTCACATGTATTAGAAAGACGATCAATAAGATAGTCAGTAAAGATTGTGCAAATAGTAGCACTCTTATGTGGGATCTCTTAGTCCATATTCATAGCGGTTTTGTTCTTGTTTGTAGGATTTACAATCCTCTTGCAATTCAGAATTGTCTCATGAAGAAGTAGGCAAGTAGTTAATAAGTGCTCATCTAAAAAAATCAATAATGATTGGAAAGTGGAGAATACTATTTGCTTGTGCTTTTACCCCCTAGCGGTGTTTCATTATCATATAAGATCTTGATTCTAGATTAAATAGATTGATTGGTACTGGTAAAGGCTGATTAAAATTTAAATTAATAGAAAGTGAATTATGAGGTGTAAAGTCTCTCATACCTTGGGAATAAAGGCAACATGAAATGAAAGTCCCCAAGATTATTATTGTTGATATCCATTAAATTAATAATAAAAACTGAGACTAAAAGCCACCAGTTGAGATATTTAGCAAGATACCAACACAAAGCAATGCCCAACATCTCAATCTATACCAACACAATTAAAAAATAAAATAAAAAGATATTTAGTTACATATTCATTTATAGCATTAGTGATATAGATAAACTTTATACCATTTATAGCATGAATGTAATTTATTAATATATATATATATATATATATGAGAAAATATGATAGGGCAATCAGTGTGCCAGTTGGTGAAGAGCAAAATACTCCACATCACAGCGTTACTGCATGAACGGTGCAAACGGCCGAGAATGGCGGGGCCAAACCCACGTGGTGCGCAAACCTGCCAGCCAACATGCTTCAATCTGAGATGTCAACTGCTCAATTGTTTGCTTGTACGCTGGGACCTCTCCAGAGCGCGTGGAACTGAAGAGATTGTCCCTTTTTTTTTCTTTTCTTTTTTTTTCTTTTATCCCAAAAATACATAATTTACATATCTTTTTTATCCGAATAATACTAATTTACTTGTACAAGGGAAGTTTTTATCCGGTCTTTGTCATTTGTATTCTTTTTTCAAATTAAAAAAACTAGTAGAAGAAAATATGTAAACTGGGTTGCATAGTAATAAATCTAACTTCGGATCAAATGTGAAACTAACTTTGCATAAGTTATTTTCTTTGCTTTAATTGATTAAGGACTTTAAATCCTTCTTGATTTAGAGAGCTTAGATTACTTAAAATGCTATTTTCGTAATATTTTACTTCTTTTTTTTTAATGGTTCCACTTAGTGTATGACGATAAATTTTCTATGGAATATTCTAGATTACATATTTTGACCAAAAGTAGTCAAGGGTTGCAAAACTTGAGTAGAAGTATGTCCTTAGGCCTAGTCCAAGAAGTGAAGTTTTAAAGTTTTTAAGAAAGTAAGGGGAGGGGGAAAGGGATAAATAAAAAAAAGGAAAAAAAAAAAAAAAAAATGTACAAAATAATTTTTTTAAAAAATTTATTTAAATTAAATTTAGTTGTTGAAATTCAGTAGGTTGCTGGTGATCGAGCCTCATACATGAGCAAGGATTGTTGAAGAAGGTGGGATGCATTCATGGGGAAATTGAATTCCAAATGGTTGAAGATAAAATTGGACCACAATCAAGTTTTTGTGATAAATACATCCTACTTACTCTATTCAATTTCAATTGAAAAAGTGAATTTATCGACTAATCTTTAGTCTAGTGATATTTGTCTGCACTTAATTGAAAACAAGTTCGACTCATATAGATAACGACGACGATATATATTTATGATGAATTTGATACCTAATTATGATCTAATATTGACCCATTATAAATATATGTTGTAAATATCAAATTGTTTGTAAAACAAAAAAAAACCTGAAGAAATATTCCAAACCTTGGTTCAAATAATGTGAAAGAGAAAAAAGAAACTTTAACCAAATGTTCGAAAAGGAAGGAAAAATAAGGAAAACAATAAACAAAAATAAAAGAGAAAAAGGATAAAGGAAACAGAATATGGGTTATTCCCGCGTTATCTACGCGAGTAGGAATGACCCACCATTGTTTCACAATAAAGGCGCACGCATCCGGTCAAAAAAATCTTGAATACGGTCCCAGCAAACGGTGTCGTTTCATCTCACCACGCTTGCCGACATAATCATATCACAACCGCGCCTACGTGGCATCACTGTAGCAGTTTAAGTACCGGTCGACATGGGATTAAAGCATTTACGCGAAAAGCACACGCACCGTCAGATCCAACGGGCACAAAACATCAACGGCTAGCATGGATTGTGGGCCCCGCACTCCCTCACTCACGTATAAATACGAAGAGACCGAAAGACGTGAAGTGTGTCAGTGGAGAAGTCGAGAGTTATCCGTGGAGATTTTTGATAAAAATGGGAGCAACAATGGAAGAGGAGCTGAAGAGGGCAGAACCCGAGCCTGCTGTACTGGCTGAGCCTCCTCTGGCCTCGGCCCCAAACGACCTCGCTGAGGAGAAGGCCGTGTTGCCGCCGCCGCGCGAGGTTGATGTCAAGGGAGTTGATGATACAAAAGCCCTTGCCGTAGTTGAGAGTAAGTGAAAGCCTCTCTCTCTCTCTCTCTCTCTCAGTGAAACAGTAAAAAGATGAAAACTTTACAGAGTGTTTGTGGTAAATTTGGTTTCTTTTTGGTTCTGTTTTACAGAGGCTCCAGAAGAAACAGTGGTGAAAAAGCCTTCTGGAGGATCGATTGATAGAGGTGATGAATTTAATTTAATTTAATTGATTTTAGTGAAATTATGAGAATGATAACTCCAAATTATGCAGTAGTGGATTTGTAGAGAGATGGCCCGTGTGGTTGATTGTGGTGGTGTTGATGTTTTTTGTTGTGTTTTTGTGTTTTTCAGATGTAGCTCTCTCACATCTTGAAAAAGAAAAGAGTTTGTCTTTTATCAGGGCATGGGAAGAAAGTGAAAAGGCTAAGGCAGAGAACAAGTAAGGCTTGATTTTCACTCAGATCAATTGTCCTTCGATTATTGTTATTGGGTTTTTTCTTAATAGTTCAAGATTTTGAGTCAGTACTGCTTTGAAATAAGAGCTGCATTTTGTGATGAGCTTTGTATGTTTTAGTTTTATGAGTGATCCCCTTTTTCCAATGGCTTATGAAATGAAACTGTCAAACACAGGGCCCAAAAGAAACTTTCTGATATTACTGCATGGGAAAACAGCAGGAAAGCAGCTGCGGAAGCCAAACTGAGAAGCATGGAGGTGACTTCCTTTTTATTTTTTCTTCTGTTTTGATTGGAATTTGGAACCAACCTCAATTTAAGTTTGGAACTAATGGGATGAAATTAACCAAATTAGTTAGAGACTTGGAATTCATTTCAGTTTATGTTCAAATTTAACAGTTTCATTGGTTATCAGGAAAAATTGGAGAAGAAAAAGACACAATATGCAGAAAAAATGAAAAACCAAGTTGCTCTTCTTCACAAACAAGCAGATGAAAAGAGGGCTTTGGCTATAGCCAATCGCGGGGAAGAATTCCTCAAGGCGGATGAGACCGCAGCTAAATACCGTGCAACTGGAAGTATACCAAAGAAGTTCCTTGGCTGCTTTTGAAGTACTGCTTTGAGCCTGGTTTGAAAACAATCAATGTAACTTCCGGTTTTTTCATGTGTAAATCTTTCCTGGTTTGTTCTTTTTTTTTTCTTTTTGTTCGGGTCCTGTTTGGTCTATGTTTTGTGTGAAAACTGACTGGACTGGACAATCAGCAAATGTTCGTTATCGTCCATAGTTGTATAGGAAGTGTATTTGATTTGTGAGGTCCAAGTTTGTTACTTGTTATATACATTTAAGATCAGATGTTGCTGCCCTTGAGGACTGAAGCTTTTTCTAGTAATGGGATAACTCTACACTATTCATCTTTCGTTCTTGCTTCATGTTGTGTTGAACTTTGCATTGGCTCTCTGGAATGCTGATGGTTTAACCATTTGTCATGCGCAGAAAATTAGTAGGAACTGTTATTGACACTTCATAGCGGTCATCGTGCACTCCTCCAAGTGCAATTTTCCCTTCTCGTTTTTATACCAGAGGAGTGCAGAATGACATTTTTGGAATGCTAACAGCAGTTCCCAATCAGTAAATGAGTTTTCAAATTTCAATATACTGTTGGGAAGCTATCTTCTATGACTTGTAATCACCCGGAACTTGACAGTGGATTATAGCCTCACGGGGTTTGCTCAGCTTTCAAAACAAAGCTTTCAAGAAACCGGAGAAAAAAAAAAAGAGGGACCAAACACTAAGCAGATAACAGGCAATAAGAGTATCTGAACTGAACCAGAGCATGGCAATGACCAAGCCTACTTCCTCTGTATAGTAACGGCATCTGGCATTTCCTATGCAGGGGCACCAGTATATTAGAATTTTAAAATGTTTTAAGCCGACCCCAAGCTGTGTTCTTGGAGCATCAGAATTATATATGTCATTAAGACAATAAGAGAGATATAACTAGTTAATTCATGTCTGAAAGGATTGAGGAATATGTATCTACTATATATACTGAATCCTGAACAAACTAATATTTGTTAAGGAAAGCCTACTTAGTGGTAACAGCACTGCCTCTAACTTGTAAGCTAAAATATATCAAAACAGGAACCTTACTCTTAGCTCTCTAACTAAATTGACAGCTTATAGAAGACAACCACCAAAAATTCGAACAGCATCCTCAAAAAAGAACCTCCGAAGCCTGCTTCAGAGGGGGCAAATGAAAGAATTGGGTGTCCACCTAGCAGAAGTTGTTGCATAGTCATCCACATTGTCTTCAAGGAAGCTCATGTCATTGTTAATGGGGAAATTCAGCAGCAGCTGCAATGCAGTGTCCGACGAGTCCTCTAAATCATTGGAACATGAGGAGTCCGACCCGGCCATCACATCTTTGGTGTTCAACCGCCAGGGCTTGTACTCCACATCTTCAGTGTTGGATTGGAAGATCTTGTATCCCATATCTTCAGTGTTGGTCTGGCAACTCTTGTATTCCAAATCTTCAGCGTTGGTCTGGCAAATATTGTGTCCCACATCTTCAGTGTTGGTCTGGCAAATATTGTGTCCCACATCTTCAGTGTTGGTCTGGCAAATCTTGTCTTCCATATCCTCGTTTTGGTCTCCGGCCATGGTTGATGACCCTGTTAAGGTATTGCCAACTTCTGTTGTCACAGCTGACACTGATCCACATTTCGTCGACGAAGATGCCTGAGAAATGGGGCTAGGGCATGCAGATTTATCCACGGTAGTGAGGTTTCTGAATGCTTCTCCAACTTCAGAGTTCCATAAGCGTAGAAAATAGTCAGGCTCGGATTTCTCCGGAGGTTGGCTGAAGAGTGATGACTCCCTGGAAAGCCGAGCCTCAGCTTCAAGCCTAGCACTCTCCCATTGTGCCATGTGACGGGTGGCCAGGGAAGCAGGTGCTGTGCTAGTTAAACAGTTAGAGTCAACGGGCTTATGTGTTTGTGGATCAATCCCCATGAGGAGGAGACGCTTCTTCAGGTGTGTGTTCCATAAATTCTTGATCTCATTGTCAGTTCTTCCAGGCAACTGAGAAGCTATAGCAGCCCACCTGAAAATTGTTTTTGATACAAGCAAGAGAGTGAGAAACAGGACAAATTTTCTGCAACAGATTCAATCATACCATGATATTCAGAATATGCTGTAACTTTTCATTTGTTTTTCATCACATAATATGAATGACAAGTTGGTCTTCACGTGGTCTTAATGTCTTGTGTTGTTTAATACACAGTTAACGAAAGGTAAATCAGTTCTAAATTTCCAAAAGATGGGCGTATCACAGTTCGAAAGCAAGCCGAGAATCGCAAATGAACTACCTGTTTCCGAGTATGCCATGAAGCTGCATGATAAGCTTCTCTTCATCCTTGGTGAAGGGGCCTCTTTTAATGTCTGGCCTAAGATAATTTGTCCACCTGAGCCGACAACTCTTCCCACAGCGTAGAAGACCTGTTGAAAGAGAAAACCACACTCAATATATGAACAAGACCAAGAATCTTAAACTAAAAATGAACTAATCAAGCACAATATTAATTATTTGGATTTACCCCCAACTTCCTATAATGTTTTAAGCATAATATCCAAGACAACTCAGAGAAAAGGGGAGCCAGACATGAAAAGAGTCAAAAGCAATTATACTTGTACAGAACCATACAAAATGTAAACAAAGGAGGCAGCAAAACAACCTTTTTAAAGAAATGTCTATCTGGTTTTCTTCAACACAAAATAAAGGTTGAGAAAACGATTAACCTGGACTAATGGTGAAATTTTCTTAAAGTAACTTTGGTTCAGCGCATTCATCCACACACACCAAAATGAAAAAGAAAGAGGAAAAGAATAAGGGGAAAGTAATAAACAGATTTGCTTGCAAACTGTAAATAAAAACACATACAGAAGGGGAAGGTAACTATAATTTAACTCATTCACCAAAGAAAAAGAGGAAAAGAACAAGGGGAAAGTGGTAAACAGATTTGATTTTGCAAACCAACTTATAAAAAAGAACATAATTTCAAGTAAGCCAAGAGGTTAATGGGGCCTCTGGGACCAAAGACTAAAACCCATCACTCCTAGTCCCTCAAAGTTCAAGCACAACCATCTGACTCAGTAGACATGAAGAAAAACTTGACACTGTTAAGTTAGCACTTTAAGATGTCCTTTACATCACATGAAAGAGCTTTTCTTTGACATCAGAAAACAACAAACCAGAGAGCAACTTTCGGGTGTCAAAAGGCAATATGGACCAAACCAAGACAGAAACTAAGTAACATACAGAAAGAAGGAAAGTAAGAAACACCCAAAGAAACCTGCAAGCTTGGGGAGAGAGCGCCAGCTGCCATGGCCATTATTCTTGTTGATATAGTTCAGAAGAGCCTCATCCTCTTCAGCTGACCATGGCCCTCTCTTCAATCCTCTATTGTCACAACAAGGAGACCTTCCCATATCTCACACACCCTTTTAATTCCCAACACAGAGACAGAGAGAGACACACAACCACAACCACCACCCTCTACCAATCCACCACTACCAAACACCAACAATAAAGATCCCGAGTAACCCAATTTAAAGCTCCACACACCCTTATCTTTATGAGGAGAAAAGAGGATTTGCAAATTAATGCTGGAGTTTGATCTCTACCTGGATGAAAAAGGAGAAGGTGATATATATTTAATATATAGAATTACAAGTTCAGCTAGTTTCAAGCTGTCTTTTGCAATAAATGTTTGGGGTTTGGTGGTACGCAGAGAGAGAGAGAGAAAATTGTATCATCATTGAAAAGTTAAAGACTTGGCCCCAACAATGAAAGAGAGTTAATGGTGGGATTTCTTTTTTTGAGGTTTTCATTTACACTCAACTGGAAAGAGAGAGAAGCCAAATGCAGGGAAGATGACAGTGACAACATTAATGGTGGATTCTCACACAGAAAGACAAAGTAATATTTATTTAGAGAGAGAGAGAGAGACAGAGAGAGAGACAGACAGACAGACAGAGAAGAACTTGGAAGGCATTAATGGCAAAGACAATGACCTGCAGTCTGCAGAGTACGGACACACCAAGACATGAAATGACCATGCATTTCCATTTTCCTCTATGTTTCTTAATTTATAAGAAATTTTAGATACTACCCATTAAATCTAGCTAAGCCAATTAGACCATGGTTGGTCACTCAGGAAGTGGAAGTGGAAAACTAATCAAGATCTTTTCTTCTCCATTTTTCATGCTTGCATGCAGAGCAACCCTCGTTCGATTGGTTCGAAACTTGAGGAAGTGGAGGAGAAGAAGAAATTAACTGTGGGTTTGCTCAGTTTTCTCTGTTGGCTCATTGCATGGATTTGAAAATATTTATTAGATTACAGGCTTTATTATAAATGCTCTGCCTCAATAGAAATAATGCTTTAACCAAATTTTATATATTTCATTGAATATTTTCACAATTATCATAATAATCAAGAGTTCATTTAATTTTTTTTTCCCTGTAAGTGAATAATTTCTATGTTTGCTGTTTGAAATTGGATTGAGGAAGTTGAGGAGAGTCAGAGAGAAGTCAAATTTGGAAAAAGTGGGGCAAAGTCCATTTCAATCCCAATCTAATAAATGTGGTCAATTGAACTTTCAAAGTCAAGTTTCTGCAACCCCATGTTACTCTACTCCTTTGGTTCATGCTCATCTTTGCCATTTCCTTTTTCCTCTTTTAATTTTTTTTATATAAATAAATTTCATGTTGACAGAAAGTACGGAGAGTCATGTGACATGTTCATATATGCTACACATACAAAAAAAATAATCTACATGGTGCAGTGAAAATCTCCTATACCAACATGTTCATCTGTGTCAGGATTAAATTACTGGTCTTGCAAACATTTATACCATGACATAAATAGCTGAGACCTGATGAGAGATGGATAAAAAATTTCATGGGAGGCATGGATAATGGTATAGGTTTTTATTTTTTATATATAAAGAAAAATTTGTAATGGTGAGAAAAATAAGTGGACAAGAAGCCAACAGTTTTGCTTGTTTATCTAATATTTCTCTTTATTAGGCGGTGGAGCATTAGGTTTGTAGGTTCCTAGGGATGAGTCTGTCTGTGAGAACTGTGGCTGGCTGGGGTCAAGCAATAAATATATATGGCAGAGAGACGAGAGATATGGAAGGAAGGTTGAGGGTCTTGAGATTTCAGAGTTGGCCTGTTTTTCTTTTGTTGTCGGCTGGTGCTTCATGCTTGTACTGTTCACACATTAATTGAATGCCTAAGGACTTTGTTTTGTTTACGAAAGGCTTCTAAAGTATAAATCACTTGATCAAGTTTTTAAAATAATTGATGAACAGCATGTGATGCAAATTTGACACTTGAAATTCGATGGTAAGTATGTGTTTTGATTTGTGGTTTTTTGCACTTGAAAAGGAGTAAGAGGTTTGTTTAATTTTCATTTTGAGTTGTCCGGCTCTTTACACGTGAGTTCAATCTTCTTTTTCGTAGTGTAAATTAGATTTGATAATCACCTCGTCAAGCAAGGTTTTGCATTATGATTTCAAAAAGATAAAGTTTTGTTGGGGTTTTGGTCAACACATTTCCATTTCCAGCACTTTCAAATAGTAGTATGGAAATGTTGATTCCATAATTTTGATGTAGACGTTTAGTAAAATGATCACTAAGCATGAAAACCTATTAATTCCAGCTAGAATCATCATTGCGTTGCTTACAAAATCAACATTAGTTTTTCTGTGGAGAGGGATGTTCAAACCACAATGCTTGCTGCCCAAGCAAGCAAAACCACTTCTATTTCCAACCAAGGTGCCCTCCCAAATGGTAGCTGCAGATTCTGTCAGGTCTACCCCTTGACCATGGGCATAACCAAGGAAATAAAAAGTTGTTTCTTTACTATTAAAAAAAACAGAATTGTTTCTGCAATCTGCATAGATTAAAAGGTTGTTTCTTTTCTAACAAGTAAGAAAAACAACTTATCTAAAAAGCACCAAAGGGTGTCGCAGACCCCAATAGTACAAGGAAAAAAACATAGCTTTGAAAAAGTGATTCTAGTAGTATATATGTACAAAAATCTTGAAAGTGGAACAAAAAACCGAAGGAAAAAAACAGTATGAGATCTCCTTTGGAAGCATTCAATAAAAGCTAGCTTTGAAAAAGTGATTTTTCCCACCAACAGGTATGTTTGCTTGTAATATTTGGGTATAGTTATTCTACAGGTATATATGCCTCAGCGAGCAAGATCCTAGCATGTATCACAACTATACTTTGTTGGCAAGGTTAGACAATGATGGCTCATATGATGAATTAAGTCCAGACAATATGATCAAGTTTTATATAAAAGTGGAATGTGTGCTGAACATTTCTTGCACCAAATTATAAGGAATAAAGTTTTTTTTTTTAAATTTGCTTTTGCTTTTCTCCTCTTTATAAGTTTCTCACTCTTGATGTACAACTAAAAATTATGTAGGAAGAAAGAAAGTGGAATAATATGATATGAAAGTGAATTTGGGAATTGGAGCAATGAATTCTCACTTTTTTTCTCTTTTAATGAAAAGATTTACAATAGTATGGATCACTACAGGCACGGTTATATATGCATTGAATTTATATATAAACACTAAAACCTATAATTTGAATGATGTGTGAAATAACATTATTATCCTTGCATTAAGATTTTTAGAAAAAAAATACACTGATGACATTGTTGTAGTCTTTAGGTTTTACAAGACTTGTATGGTATATTCAGTCTCTTTGAAAAGTCAAATGAGTTTTTTTCCTAAGATTTGGGTGTTGTAGGGTTTTTCTATATTTTGGGCCCTATTTATGGGCTTACATGTGAAAAGCCCTAAAAAAATTACAAAAATTGACAATAGGAGCACTGTTTTCTGATAATTTCCCAATTCATTAGAATCATGAACCCAATAAAAAATAACTTATTTGAATTGGTACAAATATTAAATTTCCCACATTAATTTATCAATAAAAATTGAAACAAAAAACTGGATACAACTAATATCCATGATGATTTTGTTTAAACACAACCCACCAAAAATCAGCTTACAGTCTCAAAGTAATCTGTGAACAAGTTATACATATATTTGAACAAGATGGGATAGCTTGCTCCCAAAAGAAAGAAAGAAAAAGAAAAAGTTCAGGTAGCTCTGAAAGGCAAGGAATTTGTGGCAAAATGCATCTTAAGATTCCTCTGGTGGTGGTTGGTCGGTCTGGTCCTTAGATTCTGGTTCTGTTGGTTCTGGTTGTGGCTCAGGAGGGGCTTCTGCAGCAGCTGGCTCAGTAGCTAGTGCATTTTTCCTGTTTGCAGCAGCCTGGAGGACATGGCTGTAATTTCCTTTCTCCAGGAAGAGCTGAGAAAAATGGTGCTTGCAGTAAAGAACTCCATCAAGAGCAGCATAGGATGAATGTGTAAGAGGGCAGCCCCCATGAGCACACCTGAAGCATGACTTGTGGTAACTTTCTCCCTCCAATGTCACCTGTTTAAATTAGAGCATCAGAGAAAATGAAAAATAATTAAATTTCTCAATCCTTAAACCTAGCTAGTTTGTGTTTGCTTGTGGAAGAAGAAACTAAAATTTCCTTTGGGTTACCTTCTCCAGTGGATAGACTGTCTTTGAGCAAGTTGCACACTTGTCTAGGGTTCCAGAGAACATGGAGGAGAGTTTGCTGGGGGCCCTATTCTGTTGAAAGTATCACAGTTCATATTAATACCTCTGAAATTTTAAGATCAATATATATATATATATATATATATATATATATATACACATATGTATATGTTTGGTCAAAATCCAATGGTTGACATTCATCCTAGAAAGCAAAATACTTTGTCTGGATTTAAACTAAGTTTGAATGCCAACCATCGGATTTGAAAATCTAATGGTTGGTGACGATGGTCAATGGACAATATGCTTTTTTCTTGGCAGAGGATATAGATGCATGTGACAATGAAAATACATACCAGTTGTTCATTTTGCTTCTCAGCAGACTTTGCTGCAACAAAATTCATCAGAAAACAACTAATGTTAGAAAACAGAGGATTATCTGTTAATGATGCATATTAGCTAAAAAAACTAAAAGAAGTAAAGACAAGGGAAAAGTCTCACGTTGGAAATTCTTGCTGAAATTCCCAGATTCTTTGAAAAGCTGCTCAAAATGAGGTTTGCAGTAGAGGACTCCATCCATGGAGGAATAGGTGCTCATCTGTCAAAATATTTTTTCTTAACCATTTGCATATTTGGATGATATTCAACCAAGGGTTTGTGATCTTTCAAATGAATCAAGACTTGGTCATAAATATCAAAAATTAACTTTGCAAATGTCCATGTCTCAGTGCCATTAACTGCCTTGTAAATTTGTTCTGCCCAATCATATGGATGATTGTGAACCGTTGACATAAGTTTTACAAATCAATCAATGGTTGACAATCGTTCACACCTAAGCCGAAGCAAAACCAAAAAAAAATACATACATACGTGTGTTGCAAAATTAAAATACAGGTAAAATGTGACGAGAGAGAAATATATGTACCGAGAGAAATCCTTTGCAGTGGCTGCATTTGAAGCAGGATTTATGATAAGGTAGTCCTTCAAGGGACAACATATCAACCACATAAACAGTCTTATCACAAGCCTTGCATTTATCCAGAGTTCCTGTAAATGCCATTGTTTTCTTTCTTCAAAGAGATCTAAAAAATCCCCCAAAATATTGTTGAAAATGGTCTTCAACTCAGGTGCCTGAGGGATCAGAAAGAAGTTGATCACGGGAAGAAGCACCGTGCTTGCTACCGGCACCTCAGACAAATCCAAAAATGGGATTGAGCAAAGTCTCTGATTTGTCTAAACAAAACTTAATTTATATCAGATTATAATGGATTTTGAAATGCTAGTAAATGGAAGACAAGTGAATGGAGTAATTTATGCCCCTAATTGTGGAATTTATCCGACTGGATTGGAGTAAAACAAGGCTAGTGCCTGACCTTTTCAAGAGAAAATAAGACATTTATATTTGAGATGACAAAATGATAGCCAACTATTTTGCTATTTGGTTGTTGGTAGTTATGTTTGTTAAAAATAGTATGCTTTTAATTGTCCGATGAGATGTGTGAATCACTCCAAACTGTTGCAAATTTGCAAGGGCCAACCATCTGATTAGTAATGGCAAAAGATAGATACTGTTCAGGCAAACAGGTTATTTTATCTGGAGCCAGTGAACCTTTGCCTCTTCAAGAATCCTTGCTATTTTTACTTCTCAAAGAAAAAAAAATCCCTTCTATTGAAAAGTATACAGATTGGAGTGCTATAAATATTATGGTTTGTGGGTCGATGCTAGATTTGCTTGTTTCTTCAGCAAAATCAACTGGCCAAACATAACTCTATTTTCATTTATCTGAAGTTCTGAACCAAACTATATCTTACAAATCATCATAACAAGGAATGTTGAGAATAAAATTATTTCACATTGAACTCTGAATACAAATTGGAGAAAGAAAAAAAAAGATTGACTATGTTCAATATATGCTCTTGACCCAAAAAAAAGGTATATTATATGCCTGTTTAAAGAAAAGCAAATTGGGTATACATGTGTGGAAAAAAAAAGTTTTACTGCAAAACTCACCCCAGTAGAGCAAATCATGCTATAAGAGTATTTGAACGACCTAGCCATGGAGGCAATAGAACTTGCTGGCATAGTATGAGATCTGAGATGGTCTTTCCGTGCCGGTCAATCCTTCTAGAGCAGTTCACACCGCCATCAAGAATGTCCCGAACCACAACATTTAAAGATCGGATTCCCTTAACTTCATAAATTTCCACCTTTACATTTTCATTGACCCATTTGTCTCTTTCATTGATAGCATCCATGTCCGGGAATGGAGAGGAATTCAGAAGGGCTGAGACTACTTTCTTTACCCACTGGGGTGTTATGATTGACTTTAACCTCTCTATATCTGGAGGAAAATGCGGGATGATGGAAAAATTCAAGTCATTTCCTTTGTCTCCAGCTCGGACATGTGCTACATCATAGAGTGGAATCTTGTGGCCAGATGGAGCAGGAGAGATTGCACTTCCAATAAATGGACTATCAGAATTGGTAGAAGATTGAACTTCATTTGCTTGTGTAATTGACAATCCAGACTCATGCGGAAGACAGATATTTGATGTTAATGCTGTGGTGTGCTTTACTGCTGTCTGCCAGAGTACATGTTCACGCTTGACCTGAAAGACCAAACAAATAAGTTTTTCTTCAGAATTTCTTCACTTCTGCCACATTGTTATGTGTAACAAAAATCTGTCACCAGTTTGATCAAAAAACCTAATCTTATCAGTCAAAACTGCTAGAAGTTTGGTTGGACTGGATTTGGAAGTCAACATCATGGGGTGCAATAAGAAGAAAGGGGAGTGCGGTAATAACTAATGAGGAGAATATGCTACTTATGGTCAAAGTTTCAAGTTCAGCAGATTATACCAAAAACCAAAAGGATTTATAACTCAAGAGGGAAGGAGAGAGCACGTAAATACCAGATATTTTTCAAGGATGATCTCTTTCTTGTGTCCGGTGCTGCATTGAGTAACACAGTGTAATCAAGAAACAGAAAATTTAAAAGGCTGTCAATTAGTTAGTCCTAGTTCAGTTTTCAGCAAAGGTCTCACTCATAGCAATATAAAGGAAAACAAGGTCTCAGTGGGATTTCTTAAGCCACAAGCTGCTCATCTGGGAGGCAAAAATGATGCAAAAGCTGATAGGAGATTTACCTGATACCACCACCACCAGCTGGTCCATTTGTATATAAAGCAGTGAACTCTCTAACAAAATGGACTGCGTGTTCCTTCAGCTTGAATAACCCATCCATGCGTAGCCTAATATCGCTAACCATCTGAGATGAAGCACTGTCACTAAGACTGGTTGCCTTCAGGCTATCAAGCCCAATTATATAAGAAACTACATGGCTGCTAACTCCAGGAATTACTTCTTCCATCCATGATCTAACCTAATATAATATGGAAACAAGAAATAGCTAAACTGATTGGAGTTTTTCAAGTAAAGCACAACCAATATAAAGGATGTCATTCAAAAAAGTCAAAACCAACTACACAGTGATACATGCAATTAAAAGGAATAACAGTGACACAGTACAAAGGTTTTAAGTTTATTTACCAGAAACTCAGCAGCTTTAGCACGTTTAACACATTCGTATCCCCCATAGGATATTTCTCCCCATCCTTTCCAACCATAGTCCTGAAAACTAGGAAAATGGAGTGTTAGCCAACACAGTATTAAAGTTCTTACATATAGAAAAAATTAACTGCATATTCGAAATTAAAACAAAATAGAGGAAGAGCTACCAATAACACATGGCAAGACTTGCTTAAATTAGTGGCGGATAAGCACTATGTCATAAAAAGTGTAATGTTGGCTCTTGTAGCATTATATGAGGGAACACCAACCCATACCGTATTTCTTACTGAAGAGCAAAGTACTTTTCCCTAAGGCGTGCAGCTAAGGACAATAAAAGGAGGTTACGGGGCCTAGATCACAAAGCCCGATAAAAGTGATATATTTTGTAAAATTAAGTTGCTCAAAAAGGACTTTACACAAGCACCATATCTACCAACTTGAACTAGAAAGAAAAACCATGATACTTTTGAAATTGAATCCTTCATCTTTATCCATTAATTCAAACTTTTCTATAAACCATAAGAATGTTACCTTCGGTACCAACCGTAGAAGTTTATCAGGCACTGATACTGCAGATGGTTTTGCTCCAGCACAGAGAACCTTACAACTTGATAAGGGGTAGAATGAAACATCCCGAATATCAATTATCTGCAGTAGAGAACATGATATTTGTTTTCTTCTTAATTCTGCCCTATGTTCCATAATAAATGCTTGAATACACTCATATAACTTACCACATCAGGAGTGATATAAGCACCTGGATCCCCAACCTCATAAAGAAGTTGTTCAGCACAAGTACTGAAATTTAAAACCCCACCAGTGCCCTCTGCCTTCGCTACAAATACTTTTCCATCAGAGCTTATTTCAGCATAAGGGAGTGACAAATCCAGGAGTTGAGAGGAAGACATATTTCGAGACTTGTCTCCTACAAGAATGAAAAGAAATGCATAAAGCAGTCATATAAACATGAAAACAAATTGCAATTTTATCGTACTGTGCTAGGATGAAGTTTAACTTAAACAAAATCTCACCTGGGTGCATGAAGTAGCCTCCTGTTAGTTGACAACCACACTCTAGAAGATGGCCAGCCAAAGACCCTTGTGCTAGCTGCTCCAAACTATCCCAGTTCCAACCGAGTTCATAGATCTAATCATACCCCAGTATAACCATTCAGCATTCCTTCTCAAAGGAAATAACTACATAAAAAAAAATTAACAAAGCAAGAGGACTAAATGTTTTATAGTGTCACTTAAACGATATAATTACCCCCAAGATATAAGGTCCAAAATCCACTTAAACGATGTTTGTTTGAAATAGTTAACTTGCACGATTTTACCAGAGAAAGAAAAATATGATGTTGCTCAATCACTGCAGTCATCTTGATGTAAAATACCCTTCTTTACCTAAATAGCTTCACCAATATTTCAGTGTTTATAATAAGTGGTACATATTTTAAAATCTTAATTTCATCTTCGAATGAATTTCAATCTTGATGACTAAAACCAAGGAGAATGAAAGTCTGAGGAAGGGCAAAAATAACATGGGTGGAAATTGTAATGAAATAAAGTCTTGGGAAATTGAAGCGACCCATCCATATGATCACAAAGGATCAATAGATAGTATGACCTTTTTTTCAATCAACAGATAATATGGCCTTGTATAGGTCATTATGGTTGGACCAGAAAAGATTACATAGGTTTTAAGGTTGAGCTAGTTTAGTCAAATTGAAAACCAAGATTACATTGGCATGGATGATTTAGTATATACAACAAAATAACAGTAAAACATTTGCTTAACAACAAAACAAGCTTGAGTTACCAACACCACTTGGTGTCGTGTGGTGGTAAGTGGGAGTCTCTCCCTTGCTCAATGCTTGGGTTCAAGTCGCCACATCCTCAAACAAGGCTATGGGATTCTTCCTAGGAAAATTACATTCCTAAATGATCAAATTTCATACCATAGGTGCTAAAAATAAGGCAGCATCTGCAACCCTTGAAGTAATTATTACGTTTGGTTGATACTTTTCCAGACATTCAACAATTGGAGCTGCTCCCAAATACGTGCTAATACCCTTCACAAATTAGAACAAAAATATGAGATCCACCTTTCACAAGTACAATATAAAGGAAAAGAGAAGAGGAATCAATCTCTATGGATCAAACTCACTCTTCATCTGATTTGGAAGAAATATAGAATATTGACACTAGTTTGCACACTCCCATGATTGCGGGGGTAAAATATTCATGGAAAGGAAGGGTGCCCATAAATTGTGTGACTAACATGTGATGCCAACAGGAAACGAAAAACAAACATTGTATATACTATCATCATTTACCAACGAAAGTTAAATGCAAGAGTACCAGATTCTTACACCTTCCATGATATATGACTTCTCATGAGACGATCCTGAACCTACACAGACAATGGAAACATTTTTGTTACAATAAATAGAAGCCCTGTGTTTATATAACAAGGAAAGATATGTACATAATACAGTCCTGTAATAAGCCTCTGTTGAAAGGACTGTGTTATATTGGTCTGAGGATCCCTATAGATATATAGTCTACTTAGTCCCTTTTACTATCGATTACCTGTGTTTGCAACAGTAATCTCATGAGCCACAGCAACAGAAACACTAAGCCCCAAGCTGCTGGATATTTCTATAACCTTTTCCTGTGCCCCATGCGGATCCACTTGCCAGAAAAACAAAATATAATATTTAGACAAAGAAAAAGCTTCAGTAAGTAGAATTTTGCAATCATAAAAGAAGTAGAACTTTGCAGACTGCATTTGTTTAGTTTCTCACTTGCACCCATGTTGGTGATTATGCAAGTTCCTCTCTCAACAGCCAAAGGTAGGAGCAAGCGCATCCAGTCAGAAACTGCACTCATGGAAAAGTATGAGAATGACCAACTGAAGTGTCCAATGTTAGCAAAATTGAGAATTTATTTGGAAACTTCTTATGAACTGTATGTCAAATTCTCATTCAAGAAGATTAGCACAATATCAAAGAGGTATAAAAAGACTTAACATGAACCAATGAATAAATGAAGAATTTCATAACCATCCATGAATCATAGACACGTACTCCTAGAGTCATAACCATCACCACCTGACACCATAACTTGATACCGTTCAGCAAGGGTGCGCTCTGCTAGGCATTCAAGCACAATATAGTTCAGTTCTTTGACCCTCTGTAGCAATTTAAGAGCTGCAAAGGGCCTGTCACCTCCAAACCCAGCTCCACAGCCAATGTAAACCTTGTCCCTTCTTTTTTGAGAATTCTCCCTCTGCAGTTCAAACTCAACATAATCAATTCTCTGAATCTTTGATAAACCAGATGAAACTTTGAAGTTAAAATTACTTAAGGCAGACAAAAGGAAATAAGAATAATAACACTAACCAGCTTGATCACGCAATTACGAATCCCATCCATTTCCTGAATTTCCTTGTCATCTGCAGTGTGCTGGCATTAACAGTATGAAATGGTTTTGTATTAATGAAATTTGTATTGATGCTAATGGGTTAGGTTGCATTTTCTTATGACTTTCTATTTAATACCAGTATGCATCCCAACAATCAAATAAAGAATAAAAAAGAAAGGACGATACGTTAACCCACTAATCTGCAAATTATCTATATTCATATAAGCCTACAAGAACAAGAACAATAGTCTTTGAGTAACATTTCCAGGATAAACACCATCAAAGCCAGTATATGCTCCAAATTCATTCTAGAACATTTCCAGAATCCCCACAAATGAAGCCCAGATGCTTCCTCAGCATCAATTATCAATTATAATCAGAACTAAAAGAATATGAGACATAAAAACAAAACCCAAGTCAGCAATTATTCAACTGGGTACTTCCAACTCAAAAACGAACTGGGTTCTGTGTGTCTAAGAAAGTGATTCAAAAACAGGAAATTCAGATAAGTAAAAGCTCATACAATCAGAATTTAAGCCATTTAGTTAATGATCATATGGAATAAAACATGAAATCAATTTTGTTCTTGCTAAAGAGAAAGATGGTCTCACCAGGAAAGCCCGGAGTAGAAGGCAGAGCAAACTTAGGCAAAGATTCGGTCTACGTTATAAGTGGGAAGTATTTATATTGCCTTTTTGCTTGCTTTGCTTGCACTGCAGTTTTAGCAACATGTTTTTTTTATTCTAAGGGTCCTACTCCATTATGCTTGTGCATTGTCCGCTTCTATTACAAAAGTCTATATTGATACGCTTAATCCCAAACCTTTTTGTTTTTTTTGCTTCCAGTTATGGTTATGGATTAGCTGTAATGTCTTCATACAGTGTGTCAATGGCGACTCTTGAGCTGGCATAGCTAGAAATTTTTGGTGTTTCTGTTTGTTTTTATTATTTGTTTAATTACTTTTATAGAATGATAATATGTCTTGTCCCACTGTTAAAGTTGATGACATGACTTAATTAAGTATAGCTATTCTCTATATATCGCTATGCCCACGCATTCGTGGGTGATTTTTTTATCATAGATTAGAATAAAATATTATAATGCAAGTATCAATTCAATACTAATTGGTAATTGATGGTAATCCGCAAGATCTTTAAATTACTAATTTTAAGTTTCTATAATATTTTTTTTTCTTTTGACAAAATGGGGAAAGGGGTCGAATTCATACGCAAGGGTACATAAACGTATATCAAGTGACATAAGAGCATGTGTAGTAAGGTTCAAATTATGTAGAATGTCATACAAAATCAATCAGTGATGGGTAAAGAGATCTAAGATGTTTTAAGCACTAATCCTCTTAAGTTTCTTAAACACTTTACCAATGGTACAATTTTGAAATTATATTAGAGCTAGACCGATGACAAGGGTTTTCTGTTTTTATTTTTATTTTTTATGAGTAAGTAATTCTTTCCAATTTCTTTATGGACTTTAACCATTTGAAGTGCATAATCATCATTTTAGAAATTAGAATCTGAATTTAAAACTCGTGTTTTGGGTGAGACAAAAAACAAGAAGTTACTACAAGATAGATTTTGTTCTCCATTGATTAAAAAAGAAAAAGAAAAGAGTACTAAAGAAGGAACGAACGTATGACTTTGGTGGGTCCTTGCTATAGGTGGGAGTTATCCTCATTTGAGCTGAGACGATGTGTCTATCTTCTCCACGTAGCACAACGCACCCTATCCAATCCACCTTCAAAGCACGTGCTTTTCACCTTCCAATTACTTTCTTACACCTCCCTCCGGACCTGCGCTCTGTTCATTTTAATGCCACTCTCCCAGTTTACTGGGATTTGCAAACCAACCAAAAACTGGAAACAGAAAAACACAGTAACATTGCAATTTTGCTAATTTTTTTCTCTAGTTTTTGGTTTTCTGAAAACTGTTTGCTACAAAACTTTATCTCAACTGCTGGTCCTCAAGAGTCAAAACCATTTCAGTTCTTGTTGCCCACTTTGGAAGGCCATAAGCTCTGTTTCTGAGGTACCCATATGCTTATTCGTTGTTTGGTCTCTGAGAAAACTGAGCAAAAACAAAAAGGAAGCAAATTGGATGGTTTTGGTTGTATCATTTTGCTTTCTTTGTTTGAATCCTGATTATGAGAGTCTGGCAATTGTGTTTCAGGTCAAAATGCTCAAGCTTTTGAAGCAGAAGTTTATCATGCATGGGAGTTAAGTAGTATTGGATATTGAGGTAAGATCATGAACTTGAATTCTTTAATGTAGATGTGGTTATTTTTTTTTGGTGATGTGATGAGGTTTTAATTAATCACTTTTATATCCAAAGTTTGAAACTTTTTAAAGCCCTTTATCTAGAAAAACTGGGTGATGAATGGTGATTGTTTATTGCTTTTTAAACTTGGCTGTATCTGATTGCTGTATTAAAACTTTAAAAACTACCTGCTTTGCCAATTGTATCTGGTTGTAGCTCTTTCATTAAGGAATATTTGGCTCTGGTGACGTTTCAAGGTCCCCTTTTACTTAAATTTCTGAAGGGCATTCTTGATTATGAAACAACTGAGCAATACTTTAAAAGTGCTCTAAACTATTTCTTAGTTGTCTTCAACTTTTATGTGCTTAGTTTGTGACTGTCGGTGGTTCCCCTTCGTTTAGCTAATAACTTGTAATGATAGAGCCGGTTGCCCTTATTAGTAGTAATAAATCAGAAGGAGGTGAATGGATATCAAAATTTTCTGATGTGCTAGTTTGTTCAATTTTAATTTCAACAGAAACTTGCCTTTTTCTGAGTGTTTCATTGGGGTTCTAAATGCAGAGTGCAGGATGTGAAAAATTTGCTGGTGATGTATTGATTTAGAAGGTAGTGACTTGTTTATTGAGATGACCACCCTATCACTAATTTCTGGAAATTGTGGAAGAAGAAATGGAGGTGAAGATCATGGATCAGAATTCCTCCATCGATTTTCAGGAAAGGACCTTTTTGCTAGTGACTTACTTAGAATTTCATTTAGAAGGGGAGATGGAATCTGGTCCAAGGATTTGGAAGGACATAGGATTAGAAACAGGAACAAGTTTTGTGTTACTGCGAAAATTAAAAAGGGGAAGCAGTATGATTACCCATGGCCTCATGATATTGATCCAAACATCAGCAGTGGTCACTTGAGTTACCTGTCTCATTTCAAGCCTCTGACTGAGAAACCAAAGCAAGTTACCCTACCATTTGAGAAACCACTTGTTGATCTTGAGAAAAAGATTACTGAGGTCTGTTGCTTTCATCATAGCAGATTTTTAACTTGTGTTGCTTTTCTTAGATGTTGGTTTTCAATAAGTTTGCTGAGAATTTGATGCTGAGTATTCAAGAAAGGCGATGGAGTTGTCAAACGTCATGAATAAATCCTAATATTCCAACATAGAAATGAAGGCATTCTCTGAGGCAAAGTTCATAAAATTACCTTAGGATGCATTTTAGAGAGAAGCAGATATGAGGCATTTATAAGGCACAAGCATTCTACCATAAACTCCTTTTCAAATATTTGGAACTTAGTCAATCCTTCTCTTGCAGATACGTAGAATGGCTGATGAAACTGGTCTGGATTTCAGTGATCAAATTGCTGCATTGGAGAACAAGTATCAACAGGTAGAATATACAAGTCTGGCAATTCCTATTTTATGTCAAAGTTGCTTTTATAGAGTCACTTCACATGAGTATGCGATCATTTTATGTTGGTTAAAAAGAAGGTTTATTTGTGGGCAAAATATTTGCTTATTGAATTAACCCTAATGCTGCAGTCTAGTTTAAAAGCAATAGTTCTGGGTGAAATTGCATGAGCTGTATATGAGTAATTAAAGTTTTACCTCTTTCTTAAGTTGTTTGAAATGATTTCAAATTTGGCATGAGTGTTTGATCTAGTATTTGGCTTTGCTGAGAAGATTTTGACTAATTTAACTATTTCAATAATTCATTGAATTTATTGATATTATTTTAATAATGTGATTCAACTTCTTCTCTGCTTTAAGTTTAGGCCCTGAAAGATTTATACAAGCATTTGACACCAATCCAACGGCTATCTATCGCTCGACATCCCAACAGACCAACAGTTCTTGATCATATTTTGAATATTACAGAGAAGGTAGTTGGTGAACTCCATCATATTATGACTTCTATTTGTATGACTATATGATAATAAAAAAAATGTTATAGTGGGTGGAACTCCATGGAGACCGTGCTGGCTATGATGATCCAGCTATTGTGACTGGTATTGGGAGCATGGATGAAAAGTCCTACATGTTCATAGGTCATCAGAAAGGTAGGAACACGAAGGAAAACATTGCTCGCAACTTTGCAATGCCAACTCCACATGGGTACGTTTCAAGGATACTTTGATCAGGTTAATAGCAAGAAGGTGCATAACAGTCAAAGCATTTAGAATATATTGTGCACCCAATGTTTGGTTGTTTACAAAAACATGCAATGTAACCCTGTTCACTTAGAGTTACTTTGAAAACAGCTATCGGAAGGCTCTTCGAATGATGAAATATGCCGATCATCATGGATTTCCCATTATTACATTTGTTGACACTCCTGGGGCCTTTGCTGATCTAAAATCTGAGGAACTTGGTCAAGTGAGTCTGCAACTTTTCTACTTCATTTGAAAGTTCCCATCATTAATTCACCTTTTCTTTTTCAAGGATCATTTATTTACTTTGTTCACATGTTACCATAGAATAAGCTTTTTCACTTTTGCTTTATGCAGGGGGAAGCAATAGCACATAATTTGAGGACTATGTTTGGTCTGAAAGTGCCCGTTGTAACAGTTGTAACCGGAGAAGGCGGTTCAGGTGGAGCTCTAGCCATTGCTTGTTCCAATAAACTGTTTATGCTGGAGAACTCTGCTTTCTATGTTGCAAGGTGATGGAATTTCTTTTCCTTCGCTGTGTCCACTTCACCAATATTATTATTTAAAAAGTACAAATTTACCGAAAATTAGAATGGAGCTCGTTTAATTCATCAAAGTGCTTCGAGTTTTGATCTTCTTCCCTTTAGAGACTTCATGCCATGATTTCTGTAATATATTTCTTGTGCCTTTGTTTGTTGGAGCAGTCCTGAAGCATGTGCTGCAATATTGTGGAAATCTTCCCAAGCAGCTCCTAAGGTATTATAGATTGATGGATGAGTCTGTTTGGGATGTAGGCCATTTTTTAATCATAATGTAGTTCCAAAATTGTATAGGCAGCTGAAAAACTAAGGATAACAGCTCAAGAGCATTACCGACTGAAGATCGCTGATGGGGTCATTCCTGTAAGTGCTTTTCCCTTCTGATTCATGCGTCTTCTTAATAATATGACAATATTATGTGAAAATATATTTTTATAACCACAATGGTACTTGAAAAGAAATGTACCACTAACTTTTATCAGTTCAAATTTCAATGCATCTGCAAGTTCAGATTTCGTAGGAAAGTTATGCAGTTGGAAACAAATGCTTACCTTAATTATAAGATCTCGAAGTTGGGATTCTGGGACCTTGTTTAGTTGTAATATGTCAATACTGATTGAAGAAAAACTAACAAACCAGTATATGGGGTTTTATCGTGTTATTATTCATGCTGTGGCTGTTGTTTACAGGAGCCTCTTGGTGGCGCACATGTTGATCCTGCATGGACTTCCCAACAAATTAAGATCACAATTACACAGGCAATAAAGGTAAATTAGATTCACAATCTTCTCGTAGAGAGAGCAGAAAATGAAAAGAAAAAACCTCCCTCTAAATAGTTTTGTATTAATTAGTTTGGCTTTTTTACTATCCTTTCTGTTCGCTTTTTCGGATTCCCCAACAAACTTCTTTCATAAATAATTTTCTGATGTCCATAGTGAGACGTGATTTAGACCTTTCAGTCCAGACATGTCAGTACTTATGCTTAGAATTAGACTTTGATTTTCTTCGAAATAGTGCAAAATCATCAAGTTGTTGAGCAATTTTTGAATAAAATTAGACATGGTTGCTGTTTGCATAATTGTTTTTTATTTATAAATATGGTTATTTCACAAATGAGATATATACTCAAGTATTAGATTACACACAAAATAGACATGATATGTTCTTGTATCATGTGTTGCATTTGCACATCCCATGTCTTTGTCAGACACCACACTATTTGTGTCCTCAAATCGTAGGTGGTTTCCCTTCATTTATCCCTTACATCTATACTAATGTACCTAGGAATTGGAAAACATGAACACCGAAGAATTGCTTCAGCATCGGAGGCTTAAATTCCGGTCAATTGGAGGTTTTCAAGAGGGCATTCCAGTGGAACCTAAACGGAAACGCAACATGAAACCATCTGAAGTTAACATGCCAAAGGCTGCTGACATAGAGTTGGAGATTGAGAATTTGAAAAAGAAGATCCTGGAAGCAAAGGGACCATCTGATCTGATTACAACCCAAGCAATTGAGAAGCTCAAGAAAGATGTAGACAAGGAGATGACCAATGCATTTATCTCAATGGGATTGCAAGAGAAACTCGAATCAGTGAAGTTGGAATTATCAAAAGCCTCAAAAGACACATCAAGTCAGCCCCTTAATCGTAATTTAAAGGAGAAAGTTGATAAAATAATGCAGGAGTTTAACCATAATCTATCGCAGCCAGGGGCGTACCTTGGCTTAAAGCAGAAGCTTGAAAAGCTAAACTTGGTTAGCAGGCTTATCGAGAAAGAGGAAAGAAAACAGAAACTGAAAGCTGAGATTAATCAGAAAGTTCCAGCTGAGCTCAAAGAGAAGATGGAACTTTTGAAGAATGCTGAAGAAAAGATATCCAAAGGGGAACCAGTGGATAAGGAGTTGATGGAAGAAGTAGAGGCAGTTAAGAAAGAGCTTGTGGAGGTCCTAAAGTCAGCTAACTTGGAGGTTGTTGGGGTGACCAAGAAAAATGTGGTCACCGCACCTCCAGAGTTGAAGGAGAAAATAGAAAAGGTGAACACAGAGATTTATGAGGAAATTGAGAGAGTAATAAATGAAGCTGGTATTAGTGGAAGAATAGAGGAGTTGAAGGCTGGTATAGCAAAAGGCTCAAGTTCAGAAGACATAGAAAAAGCAGAAGCAAAGATAAAGGAGGAGATTCTTGCCACTTTGGATGTAGAGACACTAAAAGAAAAGGTTAAGAGTTTGACAGTGGAGTTGGACCTTCCTGAGGAAACTGTTGCAGAAGGTGAGATTAGTGCTGAAAATGGCAAATTTCAGTGAGAGAGGGGGAGCTTTGTAAATTTGTAATACATTTTCATGATCTTCGATTTATGATATTAAGATTTTGGTCAAAAGAAAATTGAACTCTTGTCAAATTTTGTGATATTAAAAAAACACCTATTAACCAAAAATAATAATAAATATATATACACACACACACACAAATGCCCAAAGAAGCACGTATATTACATATGAATTTCTTGAACAGTAGCAATTTGGCAAACAATCCATTTTTGGAGGAGTGATTTTGCATCTGGGGATTTCAAATATTTAACTTTTCTTTAATATTTCTAATTTATTTCAACTTGTTGTCAAAATTAAAATCTTTTCTTTTAAATAATTTTCTACTCGCATGTGCCAATTGGTTTTCTTTTTTCTTTTGTCTTTTTTCTTTTTTCTTTTATTTTTAGAATTAAGAAAAGATAACATGGGTAGTTATGTTCCTTAAAAGTATGACCTATTATCTGATTTTGTTTTTAATTTTAATTTTTTTAATATGAAAAAATGTGAATTTACCATATTATCCTCATTTAATTAATAATTTCAATTCTTAATGATTGAATTAAGCAAGGGCATTTACCGGTATTTTGAATGTTTCACGCCTTTTGCTTTATATATATAGATAAATGAACCCCTAAACTGCTACTAACCGCAATAAAGCAAGGTGTATTGATATTAAATTAACCCAACATGTCACTTTTGGAAATCTCACTTTCTCATAATTCCTTCCAATTAGCCTAAACTAATGACTTTTGCATATTGTTTATGTTTGTTGCATCTTGCATGATTGCAGATACATAAATGATTAAATTTCCCCTTATGACAAGGAGAAAGCAAAACTTGTGCTAGTGTCCTAAACTATTATTGTCCAATCTCCCCCCACATATCATAAAAAAGAAGAAAGGGGATTGATATTGCTGAACATATTTCTATAATTTTTTTTAGAAGGAAAAAAAAACACTCATAGTGGAAATATGACACTGCATGAGTAATCATTTAATTTCTTTATCATTCAACTTTTCCTTTTGGGTTGAAGTTCTAAAAAAATGTAACTTGTTTTATTTTGGGGCTTGCCCTTTAGTGTAGCAACAACACATGCACATCACATTTTTAATGTACCGATTTTCAACAATTTTTTTTTGCATATTTTCATATTCACAGATATTTAAAGTACCATTTGACTATTTTAATAATGTTCTCTAAACTATTTTAATATGTAAGATCGATCCGACCCGATCCTTTGATTACACAAACAAACTTAATGAGATTTAATATTTAGGTGCAGTTCTCATTAGTGCACGATTTGTAATTTTCTACATAAATTTATATCGGTGGCAGTTGACAGTTAGATGTCATATGTAAGTCCTTTCAGCTCGAGGTCATGAGTTTGTTGTGACATTTGTGGTGAGAGTAGCTAATCTTCCCCTAAACTTTCTAGAACCCCCCAAAAAAATGAAAAAAGAAGAAGAAGAAGCTATCTCTCTATACTTAAGGATGGGTGGAGAAATGTGTGATTATTATCATCCACATCCTTATTAAACTCGTCATTTAATGTTTTCCACTCATTGTAAAAAGTAAATAGATCTTACTACTTAAGCGATCCATAAATATCCAAAACTTCCCCTAAACACATTGCACCCGCCGTGGCTAGGTGCCCAATGAGCAGTGTTGTTGCCACCGCGACTAGATGCAAAACCTACTACTAAATTATTATTCCCCTTAATAAATAAATATATAAAAAAAGTGCTATGCACACTTTAAAATTATTTCTCATCAACTTCAAATTTTACACGTTATTTCTTAAAAATACTTATGAAGAAGTGAGAATAAGAGTTATATGAAGAAGTCAGTGGGGTATAACTTAGCTGTTTGAGCTCTTCCACCTCCACTTATGTGGGTAGATGTTCAAAATCTCAGGCATCCAATGAATATTTGTATAAACCCCACCCCTCCAATTCCTTAACCGGATTACAAATATCTTTTTTGTAAGAGAAAATATTAATTAATTATATATTTTTTTAAGAGAAAAATAGTAATTAATATGGAAGCTGGGATGCATATAATGGTGAATGAGAATGGTGAAACTCTACGAAAATGGAATATTTGTGAAGAAAAAATATGATTTTGAATTCTTTACTTGGTTAAAAATGCGTGAGTAAAAGAGTGGTGAATTCATAACACTTTCCAAGAAACGGATAAGATTGAAAGAAACAAACAAAAACAAGCCTTCCAGATAATTCATGTTACTTAAAAATAAGTAAAAAAAGTCAGGTCTGATGCAATATAAGAAAAATGTGGGGGCAATTGGGCAAATAAACATAAACATATATGACGCCCTAGCTTTAGCCAAATAGGACGGTTAGAGCAAGCAGTTTCGTCATCTCTCTCTTCTCTGGAGGTTTCACAAGACGACCATGGATTCCCAATCCAACAATTAGCTCTCAATACTCTCTCTCTCTTTCTCTGGAGATAAAATAACAAGCCCTTCAAATTTTCTCTCGCTCAGACACTCATTTACGCTCAAGATCCGTACAGAAACACCCCGATTTTCTCACAATTTACCAAAACCCTAGCTTTGATTTCATTTATTATCTTCGTTTTTAGCAATTTTCCTCTCATTTCGTTATCAAGTGCAGAAAACCTTTTAAATTCGCGCTTGGTTTCGCCGATTTACGGTTACGATCTAGCGGCCCAGAGAAACCCTAGTTCCGTTCCTTTAATTGTTCATTTGTTTTAGATTTCGGTATTTTTTTAGGGTTTTAGGGTTTGAATCGTGGTGATGAACAGTAACAGAGGGAGGTACCCTCCGGGGATCGGAGCTGGGAGAGGTGGTGGCATGAATGCAAACCCTGCATTTCAGTCTCGACCACCGCATCAGCAACAGTATGTACAGAGGAACCTTTTGCCGAACCATCATCATCAGCAGTACTTTCAGCAACAGCAGCATCAACAGCAGCAGCAGCAGCAGCAACAACAACAGTGGCTCAGGAGAGGTCAGTTGGGTGGGAGTACCAGTGCTGATTCGGCCGTTGATGAGGTCGAGAAGACAGTGCAGTCGGAAGCTGTCGACCCGAGGTGTGTGTTTGCTTTCATATAATGTATGTTTTATGGTTGGTTTTTCATCGCGGTGGAAAAATGGGCTGATTATGAATCTGTTTGTGTTACTGTGCCATTTGATGAAATGGGTTTGGTTGAAGACTTGGATGTAATGATAATTTTAGGGGAATCAGGATATTGTGCAGAAGAATTAGGACTTTTGAAGTTCCATGTTGAATAAGGTGTTTAGCAGTGTGATATGCGGACATGTGTAGCATAAGACATTTAGGAGTATGAGGAAACTTTCTGTTTTTGGAAATGTAGGTAAATTGCTTTCTCATCTAGTGTTAATGAGGTGTCACTAATTTATAAGCTTTTGACCTCTCATGGATATTTCGACGCGTGGAGGAACTTATCTGATTCCTGTTTGGATTCCACTTGTATTTCAAGAACCTTGGAAAAAAAATCTCTTTTGTGTTTGTCTTTTGGCGTTTCAATGTATAAAGTTTCAAATATTAATGAGGGCCACATAAGACCGTGAGGTTAGTCCAGTGGTAGGATGGGTCATGATAAGTGCTTCAGGAAGCATTTGCCTCGTGTTCAATTCCCCACGGATGCGTACACTCCTGTGGGGCCACCTTCCATTGGTTGTCCTGTTCGTTCAGATTGGAGCCTCGACACATGCCCGTGGGGATTTTAGTCGGGTTGAAGACCCACAAGCATTTTTCTGGTTCTATTGACAAAAATTGTGGTTATAGTAATAAGTAATAACTATTCAACTATCTATAGCTCGCAGGATGTGTTGATCTATATAGGCTAAAGATGGAAAGTCGTGATTACAGTAAGGGGGAATTTCTTATTTGGGTAAAACCACTAAAACTATGCTTAAAAAAAATAACGGCCAAAACTAGTATGACAGTCATTTTTTAATTGAAAATTAGTTCTTCAGATGGGTTTCTTCGACCAAGATTCTTGCTGTTTTTTAAATCATTGTAGTTGATAGTGTGATTTAAATTTTTTTAAACTAGGGTTTGTTAATTCAGTATAATTGAAGGCTGATTCTACGTTGCATTTATTTAGGATGACTGAGAAGTCATATTGTCCGAATAAATTTCTAGTAATTTTTGACATTGGAGTAGTTTCCATGTAGCCCTTGATTTTATAAATTATAAGGGAGGTTGTAAATATCAAGTTAGATGTTTGGCTGTTGGTATTTATACCTGTCAGGGAAGCTTTTTTGGTAACATATTTTGTTAACAGTCCATCTATTAATACTTGTCTCTTTTATTTATTTATTTTTTCCCCCTCTTTTTTCCAACGTATTATGATTCATGCTTTACATGTTATCTTATTTTGTTTTACTTATCTTTTTCAGTTCGCATGATTGGAAGGCGAGGTTAAATATTCCAGCACCTGATACTCGTTTCAGAACAGAGGTTCGTTATGTATTATTTGTTATATAATTCTTTATCATGGGTACCAATATTGTTAATGTGATGCTTCTGTATAGATTTTGAAGGGTGCATTATTCAACTTTATGTAGTTTATTAAGATCAAGTTGTTTTCACATCCATAAACACAATGAATGATTAATAGTTAAAAATAATAATGACTGGTGATTTCCTAATCTGGTTACAAATGATTTCCTTCAGGATGTAACTGCAACTAAAGGAAACGAGTTTGAGGACTATTTTCTGAAACGTGAGCTGCTGATGGGAATTTATGAGAAGGGATTTGAAAGACCATCCCCTATTCAGGAAGAAAGTATCCCAATTGCTTTAACTGGTAGTGATATTCTTGCTAGAGCTAAAAATGGAACGGGGAAAACAGCTGCATTTTGCATTCCTGCTTTGGAGAAAATTGATCAAGATAACAATGTAATACAAGGTTTGTTCTCTACCATTGAGTTGCATCTTCCGGCACATCATTAGGCCCCATCAAAAGATAATGGCTATTGTGGCACTTTAGTTTTTTATGCTGCTCGAATGGCTATAGAAATCTTTACTACTTAAGTGCTTGACACACACAGAGTTCTGGTATAAAAAAATGCTCCCAATCTGTTCTATATATAGGAGGCAGATGTAGGATTATATTTCAATGTAGTTGCATTATTGTCCTTTTTGTGTTGATATGTATTTTCTTCTGCAGTTGTTATTCTTGTTCCAACTCGCGAGTTGGCTCTTCAAACATCACAAGTCTGTAAGGAGCTAGGGAAGCATTTGCAAATTCAAGTTATGGTTACAACCGGAGGTACCAGCTTAAAGGATGATATCATGCGTTTATATCAACCAGTTCACTTGCTTGTCGGAACTCCTGGAAGAATTTTAGATCTTTCAAAGAAAGGTGTTTGCATCTTGAAAGATTGTTCTATGCTTGTTATGGATGAGGTAAATACTTATCCCCAACTTCCATTAAATTTACGTATTGAAAGAATTTTGTCCAACAGTTGTTGGCTACATGTTGTCATCCTTATATCTCTTTTTGTTTGCATTGGTCTTAGGTTTCCACGTTTAAGAACTATTTTTATAGTAGATGTTCTTGCAATTAGTTGGTTAAATAGTAAGTTGAATTTCCAATTAATCAAGCCCTGATCCGCATTTGTAACCTGTTTCATTCTTATGTTAGTTGGTATCTTTATGCTCCTGGAATTTTTGGTTTACTAGTTAAAATTGCCTTATTAGAAGTGTCTTATAGTGTGGTGACCAGGTCATATTCCAATTGGTATTTCCCTGTCTCCTGTAAAAGGGAGATACCAAGATCAGATTCCTCCATCTTCATTCAAGTCTGTGTGCACGTCACATGTGTATCTGTGTATGAAGTGGAGGAGGTGAAAACAGTTGGTTGGTTTTAGCATCATGAGCTGCAATGATCTAATGATGTTTTTGTCAATGTCTGACAGGCCGATAAGCTTTTGTCCCCGGAGTTTCAACCTTCAGTAGAGCAGCTGATCCGCTTCTTACCTTCACATCGACAAATTTTAATGTTTTCAGCTACATTTCCTGTTACTGTCAAGGACTTCAAGGATAGATATCTGCAAAAACCTTATGTTATCAACCTTATGGATGAGCTTACTCTAAAGGGTATTACACAATTTTACGCCTTTGTCGAGGAGAGACAGAAAGTCCACTGCCTAAACACTCTTTTCTCTAAGGTTTGATGTGAACTGTAGTTTTTGTGTATTGATTTATTATTTTTTTTTGACTTCTTGCGGGGTTCATGGATGTGATGATGGATCTGTTTTTCAGCTTCAAATAAATCAGTCAATCATATTCTGTAATTCTGTGAATCGGGTAGAGTTGTTGGCCAAGAAAATTACAGAACTTGGCTATTCTTGTTTTTATATCCATGCAAAGATGCTGCAAGACCATCGTAACAGAGTATTTCATGACTTCCGTAATGGTGCATGCAGAAATCTTGTTTGTACTGGTACGTTTTTTTTTTGGTGATTTGTTCTCTTTCTTTCTCTATCTCCCTCCTTCCCTCCCATTTTGTGAACCATAAGTTTCTTTCAGCACCATCACCTGTACATTCCAGTGATTTCAAATTTTTATTTTAAGTTTTTAAATAAATGTATATTTTTTTAGGTGGATCCTTTAAAACATATATCTGGTCTTACTAGAATTCTGCGTTTCTTAGCATATGGCTGATTATTTTGGTTATATGATGACAGTGCAATTACTTCTCTTAGATCATGAGCTCATGTTGGTTTTGAAGTTTTAACTCTTTGCTGTAATGGTGGAGGAAAAAAATAGTGCATGTGATAAACTCTTTTATTACTCGTGTTGTATGTGGTTTGCTTGATCTTAATATATCATGCTCAGTTCAATTGTGTGTTTCTGAGTTGTTCATTTCATTTTAAGTTGTATGTAGTATGGACAGATTTCATTTTAAGTTGTACGTAGTATGGACAGATTCCTGATGTGTGTAATGAAAAAAAATAGATTCTTGAGATTTTCTCTAACTTTTTCCTCTTTTTTGGGGGCATAACTGCAGATCTATTTACAAGAGGAATAGATATTCAAGCAGTCAATGTTGTCATTAACTTTGATTTTCCAAAGAACTCAGAGACATATCTTCACAGGGTGCGTAAGAAACAGTCTTTGCAGAAATAAATAGTAGAAAGCTGATGCAGTATTTACATGTTGAAGTTATCTCTCTGCTGTTTTATGTATTTATCTTACATGCAGGTTGGTCGATCTGGAAGGTTTGGACACCTTGGTTTAGCTGTGAATTTGATCACCTATGAAGACCGCTTCAACTTGTATGTACTTTTCTCTTCCAAATCCAAATTTTCTGCAATATAATGGGGGCTCGTTATTTATAATATATTCTGTTTCTGCAGGTATAGAATTGAGCAAGAACTTGGGACTGAGATAAAGCAAATTCCTCCCCATATCGATCAGGCAATTTATTGCCGGTGATTGGTGGTTGAAACTTTGCTGTGTCATCAATGATGGTAAGGTTTGGGTACATGGTGCTTAAGAGCTAGTTTTTTAACAGTGCATTTAAGCATGCCTGTCTTCTATCTCTAATTCTGTTATTTTCATGTTAGCACGTGCATTTTCATACTCTCCTATGGTATATGCTATGTATTGTTATATGTTGTGTGGAAAATAGGGGAAGTGGGTGGGGGCGAATGGTGGACCTAGTTCATGTTGACATTCCCGTCTATCAACTTCTCAGAGTATCAATTGGGAATTCTTAATGGAACTTGATCAATTTATGCTCTACTAAAGCTGCCATGTATTTTTTCAAAAAAGGGGAAGCATGAAATATGAATTTATTAAGATTCAAAAGGTTCTACTAAATTTGAATAATATGCTTTAAAACAGTTTGGAGTTCCGAGTTACCAAGTAATATATCTGTCTGAATTGACTGTTTAAAGTTTTGGGTGGATTTATGCAATGGATAATGTGTTTTCCTTTCTGCTTTTAGGGATGATGGACCCTTCTCCATACAAGAAGCTATAGCTCTGATGGGAGGAAATACTTTCTGATGCATCGTCCCTTGAAATGCTTCTGTTTTCGTAGTCCTGAAACTTTTAACTGGACCTTGAGGGAGTTCTTAGGTTGGCCTATAGGTACCAGATAGATGCTGGGTCCAGTGCAGAACTGCCTTTGTTTTTATTAACAGACTGGTTTGTAATACTTGCTGTTTTTCGGGTTTAGCCGCCGTTGAACTTCTGAAGGATAGCTTGTGCAAGCAGGGGAAATAAAACTCTGCTTTCTTTTTTTGTTTATGTTTTTCCTTTTTAGCCTTGACCAGCTTGTTCCATGCTCTCAAATAGTTAATGTATTATCCGACTTTGGTTGAATTGTCATCCCCCTCCTGCTTGCTCCTTCTATATCTTTGATTTGCCTTCTTGAAAGTTCATGATTTTGCATTGGAGCCATTGTTATATGTGGCCGGGTGATTGACTAGTAGTAATGTGAGAAGCCATGGATGGATGGATGGTATCAGTGGAGTTTCAGTTCTCTGCTAAAAGGGTAGGACTGGAAGAGTACATAACTGTGAATGTTTAGGGTTCGCTAAAATACTTGCCATTTTTAACTATGCAAGTTACACAGCCAACAAAATTCCGTGAAAAGTTCAGACCAAAAAAACTCGTTCTGCGAAAAGTTCCGACCGAAAAAACACATTCTGCGAAAAGTGATAAAGGAGGGACCATGGTTGGGCCTTAAGGTCCATTGATCAAATAATCTTTGGGGACCATGGGTTAGTCTCTGCTCATCTTTAAGATCAAGTAGCAAGGGTTTGTAGTGAAAAGGTACAGTGAGCTTGACCAAGATTGACCAAATCTCACATTGCAACTAAAAGTACTTTAAGGGGAAGCATGTAAAATTCTTGAAATATAAGGGTAGAAAGTGTAAATATAAAGATGAGGAGCATCCAAGGATTTGTGATTGATCTGCTTTCAACAACCGCTCGAAATCTCAGATCAGTGCATGAGTGAGGGGGGTATGAAATACAAATAAAAGAATTTAATAGCAACAATCTGAAGTTCTTCAAAGCCACCGGGAAGGAAGTGTAAAATCATAAACCCCAAACAGATTACAGAAGAGAAAATGAAATACCAAACCAGTCAGCTAACTTGTAACGGATTTAACCGCCCAAGAAAAACTTTCCGCCAAGAAATTAGTTAAAAGCCTCTTCCTCTTCACCGAGTCTAGTCACAATGCCTTGAGCTATCATCCCAAAAGAATCTCAATTTCCTTAGCTCGCGCTCTCTCTCTCTCTCTCTCTCTCTCTCTCTCTCTCTGTGTTACTTTTCCCTCAAGAAACAGAAACTCTCTCTCTGTTCATCACCATGTTTCAGTTTACCCTTGACCCATGTGCTTCCTATCTAAGGCACGCGCTTTCATGCTTCATGCTGCTGGGCCCCGACCACTATGTCGAGCTCTGCGTCACAGCAAACGACGTCACATTGGTAGGAGCCGTAGGTGACCCTGAGGAAGGACGCACGCCTGAAATCCCAAACGTCGTCTTAGCCCTGCAGTTGACACCTTCCAACTTCCACACTTTTAGCTGCAATGAGAACGTCCGCCTTGGCTTGGACTACTATATGCTGTTCAGGGAACTCTTTGATGCCAAGGGTGGTGATTTTCTCAGTCTCTCTGGTGATATCAGCCGCGATAACATTGACTTTGAGCTCCTCAGTGTCTGTAAGTACATACCAATATTCTTCGTTTCTTTCAATTTTTTATTTATTTCAAGATTTCAAGATTTGGGTCTTAATTGTTCCTTGGAAAATTCTTCTTTTTCAATATTTCTAGTCGGTTCTTGGAAATTTGGAAATCGACCCATCTCACTACTTTACCAATATTCTGGCATAAACTTCGAAGGGTTTTGGCGCTCTCTTCTTTTTCAAGTTTTTGGGTTTTGTTTGAAATCTGTATAAATTTGATGAACTATCTGCCTTTTTGCACAGCTACAACAACAGATTAGATGAAATTATCTGCATCGTTTGTCATTTGGTTCCAACAATTAATCTCGTTTTGGGTTTTTCAGTTTCTTGAGTATTTTTGTCAATACGTATTATCTAATTTTTTTTTAATTTCAAGATTCTAAGATTTGAGTCTTTCTAGTTGGTTATTGGAAATGTAGAAATTTGGAAATCGACCCATCACAGTACTTTTACAATATTCTGACACAAACCTGGAACTCTGTTCGTTTTCAAGTTTATGGGTTTTCATTTGGTTTAAAAAATTATTCAGTTTCTTTATGTATTTCCTAATATTTGTTGTAAAATGCGTTTCTTGCGTTCTTATAGATAGACAATACATTGTGAAGTATCTGCATCGTTTTAGCTTTTGTCATTTGGTTTGGAGATATGTTCTTTTTCAAGTTTTAACTTTAAATTTGTCATCATTGGTTTGTGTTCTATTATTCTCTCCTTATCTAATTTTTCTTGTCTCTTTTTGTTTATAATATTTTCAATAATGCTAGCAACTCTGGAAATGAAGGTTGCTGAAATTCCATTGCTTTCAAGGAGGTCTGGTCAGATAACTTTACCTCAGCTCCAAAAAGAACGTCCAGTGATCATTGGGATAGCTGCGGAGCTGTTTAGGGTTCTTATCCTCAGTTCGCGAGAACGATTTGGGATGACAGGTACAATGTGTAACAAAAATTACTGTTTGAACATGTTGATCATTTTCTTAGAATTTCTCATTGACAGCAGTGTCATGCTTCACAATCCTTTGTCATTTACTGTGACTTTTCATATAATCTCTAATGAGTTCAGATTGTGATAATCTTTGTTTGTGATGTATGTATGGTGCTGACATACATTCACAAGGTTCACAAGATTTTATGGCATTCCCCAACTCTTCATATATATAATCTTGTATATATTGCTCACTAGACTGGTATGGTACGTGTCATTGCAGTTACTGTAAGCGTAATAGGTAGGCAAGTTGTACTTCATGGACAAGATAAGGCGATTGTTCTCAGGAAGGTATTTTCCCAACCTTACGTGTGATTCGTAGTGTAGAACAACTTATGACAGCTTGCCAAATATGTTAGTTATGGTCTGTCGATCAATTTTCTGAAAACACAGTATTCATTAAGCAAATTCTGGTTCTGATTCTCATCGGAAAACGTCCATTCTTCTGTGCCATGAAATAATACGACACCATCCTTCAATTTCATACATTTTTCTTTTTCACTGACTAGATTTGCTGTCATACACTTCACAAGAAGTTCAATTTCCTAATCACATAAATGATCAAAGTTTCCTTGTTTATTTTGTTGTGTATCAGGAGGATTGTGTTATTTGGATTCCTGTGGCGGGTCGATTTTTCTTGAAGTTCAGTACCGAGAAGGCTAACGCACTGCTGAATGCTTCAATTCTGTCAAACATGGTGTGGTTGTATGGCCAGTCCAATGGTCCATCTTGCATGCTGAATTTCCCTTTTGGTAAACTTGGAAGCCTCACGTTTTACTTTGGTGAAGATAATGCGGGCTCAGAAGATGCGGTTTGATCACAAAAGATGAAGAGAATGGTCTTACCATCTCTGAGTTTAATGATGCAAATTCTTTTTCTCCATTTTCAAAATAATGTGATTTGATCACAAGTGTAAATGAGCAAACAAAAGATGATGTGAGTTGTGAGATACTTTGATTTGTGTGTTGTACTTGGTAAAGTCTGATCCTATTCATCATAATCCTTTGTAAACAATGCAGCTTTACATAATGGTTAGAATTTGGTTTGGAAGTTGAATTTTTTGTCTGCTTTTTCTTGCAAGTTCCAAAACATAATGCTAGGAGAAAAGTTGGTGGTGGTGAAGGATTGTGACTTTGTGAGGATGACTGTTGCTAGATGTGGCAAGAGTCTAATTGTTGAATAGGATTGTGACTTAAGAACTTCTTTGCAAATTTCTTGAGCCTTATCAATTGCGAGAGGGAGAAATTGAACATGACCTCGAGCCCGTGCGAGAAAATGTCAGGGTAAGTGAGGGTATTGCTGCAATAAATAAAAAAACTTCAATGGCAAGAATATGAAATTCTTGAAACAACAGAAAATGGAAATTGTAACGAATTTAACTGTCACAATTTTTGAGCTCATCCCAAAAGAAGTTTACTCTAAGCGTGACTATAAAAAATGGGCCAACTATAAAGATTGAATTTAATGGACTGATCAACGACTTCAAGCATAAATATCTACAAAAACCTTGAATTATCAACCTTATGGATGTTGTGATGATGAATCTTCTGTTTTCAGCTTCAAATAAATCAGACAATTATATTCTGTAATTTTGTGAATCACATTCTATTTTTCAAATTTTATTTAATTTTTTTTAAATAAATATGTATTTTGTAGGTGCAGATTGGAAATTCACACTATTCTATATTTGAGGTTGCCGTTTAGGAAAAGAAATTCAAATCATAATAACCAATAGCATTAAATATCATAAGTATTGACTTAAAATCATGTTTCTAACCATTTATATACTTTGAGGCAAACTGCAACGACGTCTGGCCCAGTGAAAAATGCCTTGACTTGAATACCAGAGATTTCGGATTCGAACCCCCATAACCACATAGTTGTGTGTGTGTGAGAGAAATTCTTCTCCCCTCAAATTTAAATTATTGCTTGTATATATATACTTAGGGGCAGATTGGGAATGAAAAAAGTAAAATATTTACTCATATTAATACATCTGACATAATAGTCAGTGGCGTAATAATTGCTACTGGAATTGGGTTTATATCTAATTATCCCATGGATCCAGAGGTATAATCAATAAATGGGGCTTCCGTTGCAACTAAAAGAACTTTGAGGGAAGCATATAAGATTCTTGAAATAACAGGGTAGAAATTGTAAATATAATAAGTATCTGATTTTGACAACTGTTGGAAATCTCAGCCCAGTGCGTGAATTAGGGGGGTATGAATACAAATAAAAGAACTTGAATTGCAACAATCTGAAATTCTCCAAAACCACAGGGGAGGAAGTGTAAAATTATAAACCCCAAACAGAACAGACCGTCCAAGAAGAACTTTCCCGCCAAGAAAGTAGTTAAAAACCTCTGTTTCTTCACCAAGTCTTAGTCACACAATCTCAATTTCCTTAGCTCTCTCTCTCTCTCTCTCTCTGCTACTTTCCCAGAAAGAAACCCAAACTCTCTCTCTCTCCCCCTCCCTCTCTTTCACTCTGTTCATCACCATGTATCACTTTAGCCTGGACCCAACTGGTTTTCTTCTAAGGCAGGCTGTGTCAACCGTCATGCAGGTGCAGAAGGGCGCGCGCTATGGTGACCTCTGCATCTCACCAACCGGCGTCACATTTGGAATAACCGTAACAGATCCCAGTACCGGAATCCCAAGCATTTCCTTCACCCTGCCGATGGAACCTTTGAACTTCTACTCATTTTTCTGCCGAGGGATCCTCTATCTTAAAGTGGACATCCGTAATATGCACGACCAACTCCTTAAGGCCACCGCTTATGATTTTCTCAGTCTCTCTGGTCATCTCACCCTTGGTCACATAGACTTTGAGCTCGTCGATGCCAGTAAGTACTTAATTTCTTTCATTTTTTATTTCAAGATTTCAAGATTTGGGTCTTAATTGTTCCTTGGAAAATTCTTCTTTTCAATATTTATGGGTTTTGATAAAAATCTGTTTAAATTTGATGAACTATCTGCCCTTTTGCTTTCTAATAGCCACAGCAATAGATTTGATGAATTATCTGCATCGTTTGTCATTTGGCTCTGCTCTTTTTCAAGTTTATGTTCATTTTAACTTGGTCATTAATCTTGTTTCTGGGTTCGCATTATCTGAATTTTTATTTCAAGATTTTAATTGTAAACGTCTCTTGGGAATTTGTTCTCTTTCTAGTTGGTTCTTGGAAATTTAGAAATTTGGAAATTTGGGAATTTGTTCTCTTACTGGGACTCTGTCCATTTTCAAGTTTATGGTTTTTCATTTGGTTTAAAAAATTAATCTGTGCTGGGTTAATGAGTTTCTTGAGGAATTACCTGGGGAATTATCTGCATCGTTTGTTATTGGTGAAGTATCTGCCTTTTTGGGCTCTGTTTCTTGGAATTTTGTCTTGGAAATGTGGAAATTTGGAAATCAACCTATCACAGTACTTTACCAATATTCTTCTTTTTCAAGTTTCTTGAGGATTAGTATTTCCTAGTATTGTTGTAAATTTGGCCAATCTGTCTGCATCATTGGTGTGTGTTTTGTTTTGTCGTAAATCTCTAAAAAAAATTGATGAATTACCTACATTTTTGCGTTCTAATATTCTCTTGTTATCTAATTTTTCTCGTCTATTTTTGTTTACAATTTCAATAATGCTAGGAACTAAGCAAATCAGGGCCAGTGAAATTGCAGTGATTTCAAGCAATTATGGTCGGATAGCTATACCTCGGCTCGTTCGTGAATATCAAGTGATCGTCGGGATACCTGCGGAGACGTTTAGGATTATGCTTATCAATCTGCACCATATTGGATTTCAAGGTACAATGTGTAACACAGAATTACTGTTTGGAATTCAGGGCATGCCCTTTTGAATTCTCATTTCAGTGCTTGACAGTTACTCTGACTTTGCATATAATCTCTAATGAGCTCAGATTGTGATAATCTTTGTCTATGCTGTATGTATGCATGCTGACACCCTCATAAGGTTCACAAGATTTTAAGGCATTCCTTAACTCTTCATAATAATCTTGTATATGTTGCTCACTCGACTGGTACGTGTCATCGCAGCTTATGCAGAAGTAAGAGAGAATGTTGTTTTTCTTGGAGTAGGTGAACAGGCGGTTACTCTCCCGAAGGTATTTCCCCAACATTTCATGTTATTCATAGTTATGGTCTCGCAACCAATTTGCTCAAAATACAGTATTCAAAGCAGAAAACGTCCATTCTTCTGTGCCATGAAATAATATTTTTCTTTTTCACGGACTAGATTTGCTGTCATACACTACAACATAATAATATCACAAGAAGTTCAATTTCCTTGTTTTATTTTGTTGTGCATCAGGACGAAAGATGTATTATTGAGGGTGCTGTGGGGATCTTGCTGTTCAGTATCGAAAATATTAAGGCACTGTTGAGCGCTTCAATTCTGTCGAAGATGGTGTGGTTGCTTGGCCAGTCCGGGGGTCCATATGCCGCGCTGAATTTCCCTTTTGGTAAACTTGGCAACGTGTTGTTTTACTTTGGCCCTATATTCTGAAGCCTGAAGCCTGAGAATGGTCTTACCATCACTGAGTTCTTACTCAAAACAGCTTTTAATAATGCGGTTTGATCACATTGATGATGCGAGTGTGAGATACTTTGAGTTGTCTGTTGTACTTGGTAAAGTCTGATTCTATTCATAATAATCCTTTGTAAACAATGCAGCTTTACATAATGGTTAGAATTTGGTTTATCTGTCTGTTTTTTCTGTTACTTATTGTTAAACTTCTTGCGAGTTCCAAAACATAATTGAAGAATGCTAGGAGAAATGTTGTTGGTGGTGAAAGTATAAATTTCTGCAACCCAGAATTTCTTCGTGGGAAGACAGATTCCAATACCTTCTTTGCAAGTTTGATATGATTTCAGTGCGAAGAAAAGTTTTTGGTATTGAAGGGTCACTCTTGAGAAATTGAACATGACCTCGAGTACTCCTAAGTGCTTGAGCTTTAAGCTCATTGTAGTTAGTTAGACACTGCTTTTCTGTAACTTATTATTAAACTTTTTGCAAGTTCCAAAATATAATTTCTGCTACTTAAAAGAGGATTGGAACAATATATACAACTTCATTGTTGGTAATAAACTTTTCTTAATACCTGCTTTTCTGTAAGTTTTTTTTGGGAAAATTGGGGGGGAAAAAGGGGACAATTCACACGAAGTGACAGAAGAATACTTTAAAGGTATAGCCGTATGGCGATACTCCAAAACAGAATACTTTAAAGGTCTAGCCGGCCGGCTATACTATTTTTTAAAAAATATGAAAAAAATGGGTATAGCCGCTCAGCTATACTGTTTTTTGAAAAAACCAAAAAACCGGTGATAGCCGCGCGGCTATACTAATTATATTAAAGAAAAGGGATCCGCCCTGCCCTTAGGTGCCACGTGTCAAAAAATAGAACAACATAGTATAGCCGGGCGGCTCTACTATTTATAGTTTAAAAAAAGGACCGCCTTGCGATTAACGTGTTACAATAGTTATAGCCGATCGGCTATACTATTTTAAAAAAAAATAAAAAACAGAGTATTGCCGGCCGGCTATACTATTTATATATATATAGGGGCCTCTTTGCTATTAGGCTCCCACGTGTCAAAATAAGTATAGCTGCTATTTTTTTAAAAGTATAGCCGCGCGGCTATACTATTTATATTAAAAAAGAGGACACCCCTTGCGATTGGGCGCCCGCGTGTGAACAACTTCTCTCTTCACCGAGTCTTGTCACAATGCTTGAGCTCTGTTACTTTCCCACCAAGAAACACAAACTCTCTCTCTCTCTCTCTCTCTCTCTCTCTCTCTCTCTGTTGACCACCATGTTTGACCTTAGCCTAAACCCAGGTGCTGTTTTTGTAAGGCAGGCAGTGACACCCTTCATTCAAGGCGCGCCATGGCTCTGTCTCCCAACATGAATATCAAGTGATTGTAGGGGGATATCTTCGGAGGAGTTAGGCTTCTTATCGTGGATCTACACCAGTCCGAGGTGGCAGGTACTTTGTCGGTGCGGTTGCTACAGATCAAGTCAGAATTCAGGGCATGCCCTTTTTATTTTCTTAATTCTGATGACAATATGATCATTTTCTTAAAATTTCTCATTTCAGTACATGACAGTGATCATGCTTTGTTCATCCCTTGTCATTTACTGTGATTTTGCATCATAATTTACTGTGACCTACAATAAGATTTGTGGAGAAAAATGTTTTTCTTTGGGTAAGGAAAGAAGAAGGCTTACAACTTTTTGAAAGGAGTTGTAAAAACCTATAAAAAAAAAAAAAAAAAAAAAAAAAAAAAAAAAAAAACATAGCATGTATTATTAATTCGTAATTACATTAGGAGGAATTGAATTGAGGAGGAAGTTGGATTGAGCATATGGAATTGGGGTAGGACTGGTGCTAATTACTAAAATATCCTCGTTATTGGGTTAAAGTAAATGATAAATTTTAAAATTTTAAAATTGTGTGAGAATATAATGGGTAAAAAATATAAATTCCTAATGGGTTTGTTCTCCAGAAATTAGAATATCACCTCCCATCCAAGAATTGAATTCCTAATTTTGTGTGAACCCCACGTACTTTTTATAATTCCTTAATATGAAGTAAATACAGGAATCTGCCATAGTTAGAATTCAATTCCTGATTCGTAAACACACCATAATAGCCTAACAACTCCTGCTTTAAATTTTATGTTCACTGCAGCGTTTTTTTTTCATTCATAAGATATGTATATACGAATTATTCATGAACAGTACATTTAAGTTTAATAATACGCGTATTTTTTTATTTATTTTTAACAAATGTATGGTAAATAGTAATTAAAAAAAACAAAAGTACACGTATTAACTAACTAGGATTCAAACTTAAATATAGAAAAAAATACAAAATCTAAGGCTACTACAGTCAACTATAATGAAAAATTCAAAATTTTAAGAAGTAGAGTTTCACATGTCCCAATATTATCTTAAGAAATTCAAATTGTTAAAAAAAAAAATATTAAATGAATATGTAATAAATATATAAAATATTAAATGAATATATAATACAAATATTAAAAAATAATTGGGCCTCTCTGGACAATGGGCCGGGGCGATCACACCTCCCGCCCTTCTTCAAAGCCAGCACTACATGGTAGCCCTTATGCTAGTTCGTTATTGCTTCTTCCTTCCCTCCCATTTTGCGAACCATAGCACTACATACCACTGATTTTAAAAAAAATTAAAAATAAATAAATATTTTGTAGGTGGATCGTTTGAAAAATATAGCTGATCGTACGAGAAATCTGTGTTTCTTACTTTTCTTAGATCAGAATCTGTTGTGACTGGACCATGGGCTGTGTTAGGTTGGGCCTCAAAATCCTCAGAATCCATCGAACAAATATGCTTTTGGGACTGGACCATGGGCGAGTCTTTGTATTACGACAATGTTGGACTGGACCTTTTAAAACCAAGGCCTTCAAGTAGAAAGAGTGGGTAGAGAAATAAGTTAGAATTAAGTTAGGTTAAGCATTCTATTCTCTTCGATTAATATTTAAAAAATCCAACACGAGCGGCGTGGCCTTTCCGATAAGGGTGATAAGAGTCGAACTCTTGTTATGAATGTGGAAAAAAAGTGCTATACCAGGAGTCATAATCTTCCATTATCATTAGAAGAAGTTGAATCACATCTTTTTTTACAAAGTTGAATCACACTTGTATGGTTTAATTTCACATGGAGAGGTACGGTAAGTTATAACCAATAAATGGGGTTTCTTTGCAAATAAAAGAACTTTAAGGGGATGCATCTGAATTTCTTGAAACAACAGGGGAGAAAGTGTAAATATAACACAAACCAAAACAGAAAAATGTGAGTCACCTGCTTCCATTCCACTCGTTCTTCAACCGTCCAAACTCTGTTACTTTCCCGCCAAGAGAGAAAATGTAAATATAACACAAACCAAAACAGAAAAATGTGAGTCACCTGCTTCCATTCCACTCATTCTTCAATCGTCCAAACTCTGTTACTTTCCCGCCAAGAATCTCTCTCTCTCTCTCTCTCTCATCACCATGTTTGGACTGAGCCTAGACCAAGGTACTGTTCGTCTTCTAAGGAGGGCTGTGGCACCCTTCATTCAGATGCCTTGCTTCTATGGCAAAATGTACATCTCACCAGATGACCTCACATTTATAGCAGCCTCAACTCCCAACCCCATCGCCCATAACCCGAGCGTTGTCACAGCCTTGCGTTTGCGGCCTTCCTTCTTCAACAACTTCATCTGCGATGAAAGCCTCTGTCTTGTCATCGACCTCAACTATTTGTACCACATTCTCTGTCAAGCCAGAGATGACGATTATCTTGGTATCTATGGTAATGGCACCCATGACCGGGTTTCTATTGTGCTCCTCGGTGCCGGTGAGTATTAATTAACCCATTTTGATTGGTTTCAAGGTTTCACGAATTGGGTCTCAATTATTTAACGTTTCAAGAACTGCGTTTCTTCTGTTTCAAGTCTATGATAGTTTTAGTTGGTGCTTTGAAAAATGGAAATCGACCCATCACAGTAACTTGGAAGGTTATTGGGTTTCTGTTCTTTTTATGCTCGTTTTAGCTTTGCCATTTGGTTTCAAGAATCAATCTTGTTGCTGGGTTTATCAGTGTCTTGAGGATTTTTGCCAATTTGTCCACCATCTTGATTTGTTGTACTTGTATCATCTTGTTCTGTCTTGAGGATTTTTCCCTATCTGATTCTTTTCTATGTTTGTTTATGATTTCAAAAATTATAGCAACTCGGGATTTCCGTGATGCAAACATGGACGTGGTTTCAATTCACCATGGTCAGATGAATGTACCTCAGTTGCAATATGAATATCAAGTGATCGTTGGGATACCTTCGATGCTGTTTAGAACTTCTATCGTGGAACTGCATCAATTTGGGGTGACAGGTACTTTGTCATTGTGTAATAGCTTGCTGAAAGTCCATCTTAATTTAATGCTTCCCAATTCCGGAAATTTACTTATTGAAATTCAGGACATATTAATCATTTCTAAGGAATTCTCATTTCATTGCTTCACTGTGATAATGCTTCCCAATTCTTTCCCCAGCTTTGTCATTTATGGCCTACTTAGCATTTGTTTTACGCGGGGTGTACATTTTAGAAGTGGGAATTTATGGGTCAAAATGGACTGCATCATGAGCTCTAGTTTGTAACAGATGGTGAAGTCTTGTTTGTGCTGTATGCATGCTGATACACATTCACAATCATGCAATATTGCAAATCTTAGAGACAAAAATTATGATACATTGTTTCTTCAGTGTGGTTTCCTAAAGCCAGAACTTACCTGGAATATTATAAGCATCATAGATATTTATGTTAAGTGAACTGTAACATCTGTTCGTAATATTAAAGATCACTAGATTTTATGGCATTTCACCAAATTTGTATTTTCATCGAATTGATGCTTTTAAGACCTAAATGTTCATATCTAACATCTTGTATATGTTACTCTCAGTTTTTGCAGAGGTGACAGATACTCAAGTTACGTTCTCTGTCGGAAATGAGCGGGTTGTTCTCAGCAAAGAGGTAATTCCCAACTTGATATGTGATTCTTTTTCTTATTAATTAGTAGAAGTCATTTTGGTGTTCTGCTTTATCACATCTTCGCTACAATGTTGTACTTATGGTTTACCAAGCTGTGATCGATACTCGGATGAAATAGTGTATAAGCTGCAGTATATCCCCTAAATTTGCTGTCAAACACTAGAAAATGATAACATGATCCATATTTCCTTGTTTAATGTTGTGCATGCAGCTGGAGCAATGTATTATTGGGGGTGCCGTGAGCGAAGATCCTGTTTCCTTGGTGTTCAGTCTCTGGCACGTTCAGGCGATGGTGCATGCTTCAGCTGTGTCAGACAGGGTGTGGTTGCTCGGCCAGTCCAACGGTTTACATGTCATGCTGAACTGCCCTGTTGGTGAAAACGGCAACCGCATGTTTTACTTTGGCTGAAGTCCGGGGGCAATGAACAAACTCCTGCAAATTCTTTTTCTCCATTACCTTCTAATCACAAATGTAAATTACCAACAAAGGATGATGTGAGATATATTGAAGTGTCTGTTTTACTAAGTTTGACAATGCAGCTTTACATAGTGAAAATTGCAGACAATGCAGTTAATGTTGAAATTTAATGCAGACAATGCAGTTAATGTTGAAATCTAAGGTCTCCAAATAGTGCTCTTCATCATTACCCTCTGTAGACAATGCAGCTTTACATAGTGCTATAGTTAAATGCATCGAACCTCGGTTGCTTTTTTTTTCTTTTTTTTCTGTAACTTAATTTATAACTTCTTTGCCAGTTTCATACGATTTGAATGCTAGAAGAAAAGTTCTTGGTCTTAAAGGGTCACTCTTGAACTTGAGCCTTATCAATTGCGAGAGGAAGAAATTGAACATGACCTCGAAAATCTAGATATATACTCACTTGAGCTATAAACTCATTGTTATATCATTTATACCACATCTCTGTTACACTTCCAGCCTGTAAGCGAAAATCTCAGGGTAAACGAGGGGTATCTTTGAAATAAAAAGAACTTCAATGGCAAGAATCTGAAATTCTTGAAACAACAGGGAAGGAACTGTAAAATAATAAACCTCAAACAGAACAGAAAATTGAAATACCAAACTAGTCAGCTGACTTTTAACGAATTTAACCGTCCAAGTTTATCAAAAACTTCCCCGCCAAGAACTAGTTAAGGCCTCTTTCTCTTCACCAAGTCTAGTCACAATCACAAAGAAGTTCAATTTCCTTAGCTCTGTTACTTTCCCATCAAGAAACTCTCTCTCTCTCTCTCTCTCTCTCTCTCTCTCTTCACCAACATGTTTACATTTACCCTGAATCCAACTACTGCTTTTCTAAGGCAAGCCGTGGGAAGCTTCGTTCAGATGGGCTTCAGAGAAGGCGTGATCTGTGTCGCACCTGACGACGTCACATTGGTGGCAAGGATGCCAGGCGTAGGCGTCCCTGTCTTAGCCCTGCGGATGAAACCTTGGATGTTCAGCTCCTTTAGCTGCGCTAAGAGCGTCTGCCTGGCCTTTGACCTCACTCTCTTCTACCAAAATCTCTTTAAAGTCCTCAAGGGTGATTTACTCCAGCTCTCTGGTAGTGCCAGCGCTTATTGCATTCACTTTGATCTCCTCAACTATTCGGGTCAGTATATACCATCTGAGTTTCTTTAATTTTTTATTGGTCTCTAATTCAATTCTTTATTTCAAGATTTTAAGATTTGGGTATTAATTGTAAACGTATCTTGGGAATTTGTTCTTTTCAAGTAATGATCTTTCTAGCTGGGTTTCAGAAATGTAGAAATTTGGAAATTGAACCATCACAGTACTTTGCCAATATTCTGGCATAAACATGGTTTTTTGGGGCTCTGTTTTGTTTAAATTTGATGACCTTTCTGCCATTTTGTGTTCTAATAGCTAGAACAACAAATTTGATGAATTATCAATCTGGGTATATCAGTTTCTTGAGGATTTTTGTCAATCTATCTGCATTAATCTTGTTGTAGGGTTTATCGGGTTCTTGAGGATTTTTGTCAATTTGTCTGCATTAATCTTGTTTTAGGGTCTATCAATTTCTTGAGGATTTTTGTCAATCTGTTTAAACTTGATGAATTATCTGAATCTTTGCGTTCTAAAATCTCCTTCTTATCTAATTTTTCTAGTCTCTTTTTGTTTACAATTTCAGAAAAGCTAGAAACTAGGCAAGTCTTTGCAACTCAATTTCCCATGCTTTCAACATACATTGGTCGGATGAATGTACCTCAGCTCCGAAATCACTATCAAGTAGCCGTCGGGATACCTGCGGAGGACTTTAGGCTTCTTATCATGAAGCTGCGCCAGTTCGGGGTGCTAGGTACATTGTGTAATTGCTTGCAGAAAGTAGATCTTAGTCAAATGCATTGCTACAATTGCTGATTTAAATTCAGGACATGCGCCCTTTCTTTTTATTTTCCTTATTCTGATAAGAACATGTTGATCGTTTTCTTAGAATGTCTCATTTCAGTGCTTGACAATGTCATGCTTCACAATCCTTTGTCATTTACTGTGACTTTGCATATAATCTCTAGTGAGTTCAGAATCGTGATAAATATTCACAAGGTTCACATGATTTATGGCATTCCCTAACTCTTCATACATATAAACTTGTATATGTTGCTCACTAGACTCGTACGTGTCATTGCAGTTTATGCAAGCATAACAGCAACTGCAGTTGAGTTCTCTGTCGGACATGAGGTGGTTATTTTCAAGAAGGTATTTTACCAACCTTACGTGTGATTCATAGTTTAGAACAACTTGATGTTGTACCTTATCACAGCTTGCCACAATATGGTAGTTATGGTCTGACAATCAATTTGCTCAAAACACAGCATTAAGCAAATTCTGGTTTCTGATTTCCATCGGAAAACGTCCATTCTTCTGTGCCATGAAATATATTTTTCACTAACTAGATTTGCTGTCATACACTACAACACGATAACGTCACAAGAAGTTCCATTTTCCTAAGCACATAAATGATCAATATTTCCTTGTTTTATTTTGTTGTGTAGCCTAACCAGTGTACTATTATGGGTGCTGTGGGGGAAGATCCAGTTGTCTTGGTGTTCAATCTGATTCACTCTGGCGCAATCCTGAATGCTTCAATCTGTCAAACAAGGTGTTGTTGTTTGGCCAGACCCGTGGTTCGTCTGTCGTGCTGAAATTCTTTTTTGGTAGACTTGGTAGCTTCGAGTATTACTTTCGCTGAAGCCCGAAGGTGATGAGAATGGTCTAACCATCTCTGAGTTCTTAAGCAAAGTCAAATCAGATTTCAAATTATGCAAATTCAATTTTTCTCCATTGTCAAGACTTCGATCGCAAGTGTGAGATACTTTGAGTTGTCTGTTGTACTTGGTAAAGTCTGATCCTTTTCATCATTTTCAGTTGTCTGTTGTACTTGGTTTGAGGATTCTTGTTGCTGGATATATCAGTTTGACTTAGATATTGCTGAAATGTATAAAGTCTTCTCAATGAAAATGACTCTGATCCTATTCATCACATAATCCTTTGTAGACAATGAAGCTTTACATACAATAGTTAAAATGTGTCTAACTACTTCTTCACAACTTTCATATGATTTCAATGCAAGAGGCACAAATTAAACATTACCTCGAAAGAGTAATAAATACCACTTGCGCTATAAGCCCATTGTAATTAGCCACTGTTATATCATATGCCACATCCCACATATATCCGTTACACTTCCAGACCGTGTCCAAAAATCTGAGGGTAAATGAGGGGTATCATTGCAATAAAAAGAACTTAAATGGAAAGAATGTGAAATTCTTGAAACAACGGGGAAGGAAGTGTAAAATAATAAACCCCAAACATAACAGAAAATGGAAATACCAAACCGTCGAAGTTTATCAAAAACTCTCCCGCCAAGAAAGTAGTTAAAAACCTCTGTCTCTTCATCCCAAAAGACTCCCAATTTCCTTAGCTCTCTCTCTCTCTCTCTCTCTGTGTTACTTTTCCCCTCAAGAAACACAAACTCTCTCTCTTTCTCTCTCTGTTCACCACCATGTTTGAAATTACCCTGAACCCATGTGCTCTTCTTCTAAGGCAGGCAGTGATACCCTTCATTCAGATGGGCACCTACCATGGCGAGCTCTACATCGCTCCGAACGTTGTCGAATTGAGAGCAGCCTCAGGTAGCGTTGTCTTATTCCTGCAGATGAAACCTTGGGTGTTACACACCTTTTCCTGCACTGAGAACCTCTGCCTTGGCTTCGACATCCGTCACTTGTACCGCTATCTCCTTCTCCTTCAAGCCAGGAATGATGCCTTTCTCCGTCTCACTGGTGATGCCAGTGGTCACATTGACTTTGTGCTCCTCGATATCAGTCAGTATATACCATCTTAGATCTTAATTTCTTATTTCAAGATTTTAAGTTAATTTCTTTTTCAAGTTCTATTTCAAGTTAAGTTAATATCTGAATCATTGATTTGTGTTCCCTAGTTAACTTTGTCATTTGGTTCCAAAAATTAATCTTGTTTCTGGGTTTGTCAGTTTCTTGAGGATTTTTGTCAATCTGTCTGCATCATTGGTTTTGTCTGAATTGTTTAAACTTGACGAATTTCTTGAGGATTTCTAAAATCTACTACTTATCTAATTTTCCTCCTCTCTTTTTTGTTTACAATTTCAATAATGCTAGGAACTCAGCGAACTTTTCAACTTCACATTCCATTGCTTTCAAGGTCAAGTGTGATGACTACGGTACCTCAGCTCCAATATCAATATCAAGTAAGGGTGGGTATACCTGTGCAGCAGTTTAGGGTTATTATCTTGACGCTGTCCCGGTTCGGGGTCACAGGTATAACATGTAATTGCTTGCAGAAATTAGATTATAACATGTAATTGCTTGCAGAAATTAGATCTTAGTCAAATGCATTGCTGATTTAAATTACTGATTTAGATTCAAGGCATGCCTCCTTTTTCTTTTTTTTTCTTTTTTTTTCCTTAATTCTGATAAGAACATGTTGATCATTTTTTAGAATTTATCATTTCAGTGTTTGACACAGAATTACTGATTTAAATTCAGGGTATACCCTTTTTATTATTTCTTAATTCAGATAAGAACATGTTGATCATTTTTAAGAATTTATCATTTCAGTATTTGACAATGTCATGCTTCACAATCCTTTGTCATTTACAGTGACTTTGAATATAATCTCTAGTGAGTTCATATTTTGATGATCTTTGTTTGTGCTGTATGCATGCTGATAAGCATTCACAAGGTTCACAGGATTTTATGGCATTCCCTAACTCTTCATATGTATAATCTTGTATATGTTGCTCACTAGCTCCTACGTGCCATTGCAGTTTCTGCAACCGTAACAGATACTCAAGTTCAGTTCTTTGTAGGAAATGGAAATGGGGGGATGTTCACATTTCCTATTCTCAAGAAGGTACCTTATCACAGCATGCCACAATTTTCTGAAAACACAGTATACATTAAGCAAATTCTGGTTCTTATTTCCATCGGAAAACATGAAATAAGCATTTTCCCATAATATGAAACTGTCCTTCGATTTCGTACACTACAACATGATAATCACAAGAAGTTCAATTTCCTCAGAGCATAAATGATCAATATTTCCTTGTTTTATTTTGTTGTGTAGCCGGAGCAGTGTATTATTGAGGGTGATGTGGGGGCAAATCCAGTTTCCTTGGTGCTCGATCTCCGTCACACTAGTACAATCCTGAATGCTTCAGTCATGTCAAAGACGGTGTGGTTGTTTTGCCAGTCCCATGGTTCATCTGTCATGCTGAATTGCCCTTTTGGTAGACTTGGTAACATCTATTATTACTTTCCTGAAGCCTGAATGTGATGAGAATGGTCTAACTCAAATAAGATTTTAATGCGGTTTGATCACAAGTTTGAGATACTTTGAGTTGTGTGTTGTAAACAATAATCCTTCGTAAACAATGCAGCTTTTCATCATAATCCTTTGTAAACAATGCAGCTTTTCATCATTTTGAGTTGCCTGTTGTTCTTGGTTTGACATGAATATTGAATTGCAGGGAAAGTCTGAGCCTATAATTCATCACAACTGTCTGTAAACAATTATCTGTCTGCTTTTTTCGCTAACTTTTACTTCTTTGCAAGTTTCATATGATTTCAATTGTTGACAAAAATCATGCTGAACAATAACACTTACCATGTTCTGTGGTGGTTACATAAGCCATCGTTGTTCCGAAACATAACAATGCTAGAAGAAAAGAGGATTTGAAGAACTCAGAACTTCTGAGTTTTGGATTTTAAGAACAACTTAATTGTTGGATTAATTAAGAAATCACCCAAATTTTGACATCAGCAACTCATGTGTGAAACGAGCATCAGAATTTCTAACATAAAAACTTGTGGGGTGGCATATTGCAATTAAAAGAACTTCAGTGCCGTGCATCTGAAGTTCTTAAAACTACAGGGGCGAAAGTGTAATATGAACAGAAACAAATAGAATGCGATTGGGCCCCGCCTAACTCTGTATACACCACCAGTCAGCTTTTTTTGTCCAAACACCAGTCACCTCAATTGGCTGTGAGAAGATAACGCACCCAATTTTTGAAATCCCAGACATAACAGAAAATGGAAATACCAAACCGTCCAGGTTTATCACAAAATTTCCCGCCAAGAAAGTAGTTAAAAACCTCTTCACCAAGTCACAACAATGCCTTAAGCTCATCCAAAAAGAATCTCAATTTCCTTAGCTCTCTCTCTCTCTCTCTCTCTCTCTCTCTCTCTGTTACTTTCACCTTAAGAAACACAAACTCTCTCTCTCTCTCTGTGTTCACCACATGTTTCAATTTACCCTGGACCCATGTGCTCTTCTTCTAAGGCAGGCAGTGACACCCTTCATTCAGGCGGAAGCCTACAATGGCGAGATCTAAGTCTCACCGACCGTCGTCAAATTGATAGTAGAAGCCTCAGGCAGCGTCGTCTTAGTCCTGCGGATGAAACCTTGCACGTTCAACTCCTTTACCTGCACCAAGAACCTCTATGCATTTCTCCGTCTCTCTGGCGATGAAACCAGTCGTCACATTGATTTTGGGCTCCTCGATACCAGTCAGTATATACCATCACATTGATCTTGTACGCTAGAGCAATCATGAATGCTTCTGTCATGTCAAACATGGTGTGGTTGCTTGGCCAGTCTAATGGTTCATCTGTCATGCTGGATTGCCCTTTTGGTAAACTTGGTAACCTCAATTATTACTTTCCGAAGCCTGAAGCCTGAAGCCTGAAGCTTGAAGCTTGAAGGTGATGAGAATGGTCAAGATAATGCGGTTTGATCACAAGTGTGAAATACTTTGAGTTGTCTGCTGTAAACAATGCAGCTTTTCATCATTTTCAGTTGTCTGTTGTACTTGGTTTGACATGAATATTCAATTAAAGGTAAAGTCTATAAACAATTAATGCAGCTTACATAATGCAAATTGTTAGGTTTTACTTCTTTGCAAGTTTCATATGATTTCAATTGTTGACAACTGTTACTTACACAGAGACATACCCCAAAAAATAAAAATAAATTTTAAAAAGATTTTACCCCATCTCTTCCTTGTTCACCACAGCAGTCTCCATGAATTGGTATAGATCTGATTTGATCCAAGTGAAACCATGAGATAGAGATTAACTGAAAGACAACCGGCAGAAAGAGGAAGAAGAAAGAGAGAGAGAAGAAAGAGACAAAATAAAAGAGAGAAGCGGCGGAGAGAAGTAAAGATGAGGGAGAGAGGAAGGAAAGAAAAAGTGGCTTTAGGGTTAAGTGTTGGTTGTTGGGCTTGGGTAAGGTTAGATGTTGGTAGTTGGGCTTGGGAAGTGAGAAAAATCACGGGATTAGTAGTTGGGCCACCAAAATATATTCATTTTTAAAAAAAAATTTATTTGATTTCGGTTTGGTTCAGCCTGGTTCGGTTTTTAGAGATGTTAAATAGGAATTGGAATCGGTCAGAACCAGTCCGGTTCGGTTTTTGATCAATTCGATTTTTTCTGGTTTTTTTTCGGTCTGATTCGGCTCGATTTTCCGGTTTCCTGGTTTGAATGTCCACCCCTACTGAACAATAACACTTAACATGTTCTGTAGCGATAACATGAGCCATGATTGTTCCGAAAACGCGGATTGGAAGAACTCAAAACTTCTGAGAACTTAATTGTTGGTAGCATACAACCTTAAATAAGAAATCACCCAAATTTTGACATCCACAACTCATGTGTGAAACAGGCATCAGAATTTCTAACATACAAACTTAAATAAGAACTGGGGGTTTCTGACCAAAATAAAGAACTGGGGGTGTCATATTGCAATTAAAAGAACTTTAGTGAGATACATCTGAAGTTCTTAAAACTACAGGGGGGAAAGTGTAACATGAACAAAAATAAATAGAATGCGAATAGGCCCCACCTAACTCTGTATACGCCGCCAGTCAGCTGACTTGTAACGAATTTAAACCGTCCACGTTTCTGAAAAACTTTCGCGCCAAGAAAGTAGTTAAAAACCTCTGTCTCTTCACAATGCTTGAGCTCAATTTCCTGAAATTTCAAGCCATTCTTCAACCGTCTGAGCTCTGTTACTTCTTCAAGAAACACAATCTCTCTCTCTCTCTCTCTCTCTCTCTCTCTCTCTCTCTCTCTCTCTCTCTTCGTTGACCACCATGCTGCTGAACTTAGCCTAAACGAAGGTTCTGTTCTTCTAAGGCAGGCAGTGAAACCCTTCACTCAGATGGGCTTCGACTGGGGCGAGATCTACGCCACACCAGACGAAGTCACATTGACACCCTTCGATCCCACGTCCTTAACCCCAACCGTTACTTTGGCCCTGTGGATGAAATCTTCGATGTTCGAAACCTGTATCAACCATCAGAATGTCTGGCTTGCCTTCGACGTCCATAGCTTGTACCACAACAATCTCTGTCAAGTCAGGGATGATGATGATTTTGTCGGTCTCTATGTGGATGATGAAAATGATAGTTTTGGTGGATTTGAGCTCAGCAATTGCAGTCAGTACATACCATCTTTGCTTCTGTAATTTTGATCGGCCTCTAATTATTTATTTCAACGTTTCAAGATTTCAAGATTCCATTACACTACTATTGCGACTCTGTTCTTTTTCAAGTTTATGGTCATTTAAAGTTCCAATAATTAATCTTGCTGCCATTGTTTGTATGTACATTTGTTGTAAAATGTGTCTAAATTGATGAACTGTCTACGTTTTTTGCTGCGTTCTTATAGCATCATCTGTTATTGGGGCTCTGTTCTTTATCAAGTTCATGGTCGTTTTAGCTTTGTCATTTGGTTTCAAAGATTAATCTTGTTGCTGGGTTTATCAGTTTGTTGAAGATTTTGGTCAATCAGTCTGAATTATTTGGTTTCAAAAATTAATCTTGTTGGTGGGTCTATCAGTTTCTTGAGGATTTCTGTCAGTCTGTTTGCATCAGTGGTTTGTGTTTCCCAATATTTTTTTGTCGTAAAATCTGCTTAAATTTGATGAATGATCTGCACTTTCTTTCTAGTATCTCCTCCTTATCTAATTTTTCTCGTCTCTTCTTGTTTACAATTTCAATAATCTAGGAACTCGGCGATTCATTGAAGGTGAAATCCCCTTGATTTCTGTGCACCTTCGTGAGCTGGCTGTACCTACACCTCAGTTCCAACATGAATATCATGTGATCGTCGGGATACATTCGAACGAGTTTAGGCGTCTTATCACTTATCTGGGCCATATCGGAGTGTTAGGTACTTTGTCAGTGTAATTGCTACAATGATCAAGTCAGAATACTGTGATGAGAATATGTTGAACATTTTCTCATTTCAGTGCTTGACAGTGATCATGCTTCCTAGTTCTTCATCATTTACTGGTGATTTTGCATCATGATCTTTGTTTGTGTTGTATGCATGCTGATACACATTCACAAGGTTCACAAGATTTAACACTGATACTTGATTTTCGTTTCCTCATTGAGTTGCTCACTAGGCTCGTATGTGTCATCGCAGTTGCTGCACGTGTAACAGATACTAAAGTTAAGTTCTCTGTAGGTGATGTAGAAGTCGTTTACAGTAAAGAGGTATTTCCCAACTTTTCGCGTGATTTGTAGTTTAGAACAACTTGATGCTCAACCTTATCACAGCTTGCTAATCAATTTTCTGAAAACATAATGCTAATTAAGCAAATCCTGGTTCTGATTCCATTGGAAAGCATCCATCTTCTGTGCCATGAAATAATATGTATAGCTGCAGTTAGGATCCAAAGAAAACCAATGCAGCCACTGTATAAGCTGCACAGTCTTTCGGTTTCTTTTTCTGTTCTGTTTTTTATCTTCGAGATTTGCTGTCACACGCTGCAACATGATAACATCACAAAAAGTTCAATTTCCTTATCACATAAATGATCATGTTATTTTGTTATACATGCAGCTGGGGCAGTGTATTATCGGGGGTGATGTGGGGGAGGAAGATCCAGTTTTCTTGTTGTTCAATCTTGAACACACTCGCGCAATCAAGACTGCTGCAGAGCTGTCCCAGATGGTGTGGTTGCTGGGCCAGTCCAATGGTTTATCTGTCATGATGCTTTGCCTCTTACTCGACTTGTTAACCTCATGTTTTGCTTTGGTCCTCCTCAAGCCTGAAGCCTGAAGGTGATGTGATGAGAGAAAGTGTTTCTGAGTTGTTAACTCAAATCAGATGTTAATGCATTGTCAGGAAAATGTCCAAAAACAAAAGATGATGTGAGTGTGTGAGATATTTTCAAGAATATTGACCTGTTCATCATAATTCTTTCTTTGTAAACATTTAATGCAGCTTTACATATAATGCAACTTGTTAGCTTGTTGAATATCTGCCTGCTTTTTCTGTAACTTATTATTACCATGTTCTGTGGTGGTATCATAAGCCATGTTTGCTCCAACACATAATTGAAAAATGCTAGAAGATACGGGTTAGGCCAATTGATCAACACATTGCGGTTGCTTCTTTTCACCCAAGTTCGAATTTCCTCCCCGCCTATACATTAGAGAGTAGTTTAGAATGTTCCCCTTTAAAAAAATAATAATGATAATTATCAAGTATAATGTATGGACTAGCAGAAATCAATTAAAGTTGGTCTCAATCTCTTCTTACCATATTTATTTTAATTTTTTTAATTTTTATTATTAAGCATTTTTCACCCATTGGGGTGTCATTTCAATTAAAAGAACTTCATTGACAATGCATCTGAAGTTCTTATAACCAGAGGGGCGGAAGTGTAATATGAACAAAATTAAAACAGAATACGAATGGGCCCCACCTCACCCAACTCTGTATACGCCAGTCGGCTGAATTTCAACGCACACAACCGTCCATTACCTTTTTACTTTCCCGCCAAGTAAATCCCCCTCTCTCTCTCTCTCTCTGGTTTTCTCTCTGTCCACCATGTTCCAGCTCCGCCTAGACCAAGGCGCGGTTCTTCTGAAGCAGGCGGTGACGCCCTTGGTCGAAATGGTCCGGTTTGCCGACATTCGCATCTCACTGAGGATTTAACGCTGGTGTCCGTGAGCAACTATCCGATGTTCCCACAGGTCTTCATTGCGCTGCGGATGCGAAGCTTGATGTTCGCTCAGTTCCGGTGCAACGAGACCCGTTGGATTTGCATCAACCTCCGCCACTTGTTCTCCGCGCTGGCTCTCGCCCGCAGTGAAGATTCGATCGAGATCCATTGTGACGAAGGCGAGGATGTGGTTGGCTTCTTGTTCAACAATCCCAGTCAGTACAAAAACATCTTAGTTCACTAATTATTTCTTATTTCTTCAATTTCGTGGGTTTGATTTCAAGTTTCTGTTGTAAGTTTGATTTCAAGTATCCTGGAAATCAGTTTAATCGTTGTTAATTTGGCAATTTTTGTTGATATAAACTCGAAAATTATTGAAGGGGATTTTTCATGCTTCAAGTTTATGATAGGTTTTAGTTGGTTCTTGGAAAAGGAATTCACTGAAAACTCAAAGTTTTCAGAATCTTTAAAGGTTTTCATCCCCATTTTCTTTAATTTGTGATCATTTTCATGACCTTCAAAAGGAATATTGAAACTTTCTTTGGGGCACTCTTACCCATACTTGCTTGTTGTTTGGTTTCAGTTTTTTGAGAATCTTTGTCTGCATCTCTTTTTCTAATATGTTCTACTTGTGAATGGAATCACAGGAACTCGCCGAGTCAGGTACTCTGAAATGGCATTGATTGAAGTTTACCCTGCTGCTGATCAGATGCAGGCAGGCTTTGCAAATTTCAAATATCAAGTGATTGTTGGGATACCATCGGTGGAGTTTCAACGTCACATGATACGGTTGCGCTGTTTTGGAGAGACAGGTACTTGTCATTGTGTAATTACTTCTTGAAATTAAATGCAGTGCTACAATGTTCAACATGGAAATTTACTGATTCAAGTTCAGACCAAGCCCTTTTCATTTTCTTAATTCTTATGTGAAGATGTTCCTTTTCTTAGAATTTCACCTTTCGGTGGTGACTTTGATGATACTTCTTAGTTCTTTACCCTTTAAGATTCATTGTATGTAACTTAGCATTGCCACCATGGCCAACTTCAACGGAGGGAATTTTGGGGGAAATGGAATTTACTGGTCTGAGATGGACTATTTGTCTGCAACTTAGCATCATAAGTTGTAGTTTGAATCAGATTGTGATAATATTTTAATAGTGATAACTTAGGGGGAAGGGAGGGAGAATAGCCCAGTTTCTTTCTAGTGTATCGCTGTTGTAGAAGTAGCACAGACAAGTCACACCATGACATTTACAGTTCATTTGGGTTATGGTTTTGAGAAGAAGTCCAGATGGATTATTGCTGTGACTTTGCATCACTATGATCTTGTTTATGTTACTGGCAGCCTGCATTTTACATGGAATTCCTAGCTTTCCTCTTTTTACAATCATCTATGACAGGTTTACTGTTGCTAAAACAAATGATCACACATGCCATTTTGTTTTATACTGTCCCTTTAAACTGGTTTTCTAAAGGCACAATTTATCTTGACTTATCCTATGCATGCACCACTGGTTCACATTAACACCTTCTATATGCTACTCATTGCTCTTCTATGTGTCATCTTAGTTTATGCACGCATAACCGATACTGAAGTTAGGCTCTCTGTAGCGAATGAGGAGATTCTTCTGACAAACGAGGTAAAAGAACACTCTCTGTGATATAACAGCTTGTATACAATGGTTATATAATGAATAAGCTGCAGCAGTTAAAATTATAAGGAAACCAATACAGCCAGTCCAGTTTTCTTCATTGGTGGACGTCTAGGATTAAGTCCCTTAAGGGGAACCACAGCCTGCATTATTTTTTCTGGCTAAGTAGAAAAGATGGAGGCACCATCCTTCAACTTCATAGTTTTACAGTGTTAAAATTTGACAACAATTCCCTTGGCCACATACATGAATGATCAAATATATTCTTCCTTGGTTTAACTTAATGTGTTGCTGCAGAATTGCATTATTGGGGGTGATGTAAGTGAAGAAAATCCAGTTACTGCGGTGTTCAGCCTCCATTGCCAGAACGCAATCATGAAAGCGTCGCATCTGACAAGCAGGGTGTGGTTACTCCACTCCAATTCTTCACTTCCATTTTGCATGCTGAATTTCCCTGTTGGTGCACTGGGTAACCTCATGTTTCACTTTCCCTCACCTGAAGATGGTGATGAAACTTGACAAGTAGTTGTACTAATAGTCTAAAGTAGCCAACTCCGTTATGACTTCTGTTCTCAAATCAGATTTTAATGATGACGAGAATTAATCGCAAGTGTAAAAATCACCAACAAAAAGGATGTTGTGAGAGATCTTGAGATGTACTAAGTTTGACATGGATATATAGTTGTGCTAAGTTTGACATGAATATATAGACGGTTTCAATCATTAAAATACATTTTTGAATCATTCTAATAAAAGATGTGTGCACTTTTCAAATCTTTAACGTAGAAAAAAGAAAAAAAATATCTTTAACACGTAGAGGCTATAGTCTCATGCATATGCCTCTGGGTCTTGGGTTTAGGGAGCTGCATACATATTATATTTTTCTGAAATCTTTCGGGTTCGCAACTGCCTACCCAATACATGGCTAGATCCGCTACTGATGCTAAGTTTGACATGAATATATAGACGGTTTCGATAATTAAAATACATTGTTGAATCATTCTAATAAAAGACGTGTGTACTTTTCATATCTTTAATGTAGAAAAAAGAAGATATAATTGAGAAAATATATTTTTAACGCGTAAAGGCAGGTCAATGTGATTGCTTTGAAGGTTGATCAGAAACTTTTCTTAGTAATAGTAGTTCACTTTTTAAATTTATTTTTATTTAATAAAATATTTAAATACTAATTGTTCACTAAGTAAATAGTAATTAAAACATAACTACTAAATAAAGGAATTAAGAAAGAAAAAATAAATATTAAAAGGGTACAGCCGCGCGGCTATACTCTCGGAAAGTACAGCCGCACGGCTGTACTCTTAAAATATCCTTTTTAAAATTTTATTTTTTATTAATTAAATAATATATTAGCCTTATTTAAATACTTTCATTAGTAGAGAATAATTAGTGATAAATATTTTAATACAAATCCTAGAAATTTAATTTTAGTACCCAAATATATTAGTATTCTAAAAATGGATTTCAGTCTCGAAACTTAAATTTAAGTCACACGTGATTGGATAATATCATCTGCTTGTTGGAGTTTGATTGAAATACATGAACTTGAGTCCCACATTGGAAAAGAAGAGAAAGTATCTACTCCTTAGTAGGCTTATGGTTAGGGTTCGAGGCTTGAGAAATGTTTTGGAACAATTTTGAAAGCTAGGGTTTTTAGTTCGAGACTTGGATTTACCCAAACTAATATTGTGAAAATAAAAATTTAAAACAAAGTCCAAAAAAAAAAACTATTTATTAAGTAATTTATGAAATGAATATTTTGTAAATAACTTTGAAAAAAATAATTAATCACCCGTTGAAAAATAACTTCGTAAATTTTGGTTTCTCAGTAATAGTAGTTCCTTTTTTTCCCTCTTAACAATTCCGCCTCTTCTTCCTATCTTTTCTTTTTGTGAGCAAAATTGTTTTCCGTATTTAAAGAAGATTATTTTGCGTTTTGAAGACAGAAAAGATATTAGCTTTGTTGTCTATCATTTTAGGAAGTGCCGTGCACGTGATCTTTGGAAGAGGAGAGTGGACGGAAATGGCAACAAAACATACACCAGATTTGATTTCCACGTGGACCCCACCTGATAAAACTCCAAAGACAACCTCCCTCTCTCTCCTCCGTCGTTGAAAATATTTTTTCATCCACGTATTGAACAGGTGACCAATCAAACATGACCACATATTATTATCCATGTATTTGTAAAAGATAATTGTGCTCATCAATTTTATTGTTTATTATGACATGATTCATGGTAATTTTTTTTATTCAGTATTTTCATTTTAAATCATGTTTGGGGTCCCAGTTTAATTTCGTACATGCGGCCATGATTTCAAAGTCAACTCATTAGAGATATCTATACACCAATCAACTTGAATAAAATTATTCTCATATGCAGACATTCGTATAGATAAACAAATAAACATGAAGGAAAATATGGAAGGTAGTGGAAAATAAACTAAAAGTCACTTTTGGTCCATGTAGTTTTAATTTAGTCAATTGTGCCCTTATAGTTTCATAATTATAACAATTTAATGACAAGTCACGAATTCCGTAAATTTCTTTCACGAAATTAGAGATATTTTCGTCCATTCATGACATTTATCTAATCCTTAGGTTGTCTTCAATCATCAAGCCCTTGACAAATTTTCCCAAATCTTACAACGTAAAACCAAGTTTTGGAAGAGCCCCAAAATCTTACACCATGACCAAGTTTTCTACCCCTAACTTCGTGAAAAAAAATTGACGGAATTTGTGACTTGTCCTTGAATTGCTACAATTATGAAACTACAAGGGCACAATTGACCGAATTAAAACTATAGGAACCAAAAGTGACTTTTGTCCTAGAAAATACATGACGTCCGCATAAGAGAAATTTTTCACATAACAAAACTCAACAATTCACCGGCATTACCCTACAAAATTTCATAATAATCCTTTAAGGTTTCCTTTTTAGGCAGTGTATAGTGCCTAATTCACCCCATTTTCTATTATTTGTTAGTGATTCTCAACGTTTCTTGGGGTTTATTCATTTTCAAGTTTTATATATGTGCTATAATAAATTAATATGACAATTTATGTTAATTATAACTTAATCTTCTGACATATATAAGATTGCTTTGTTGTTTGGTTTCAAGGATCAATTAGGCTTATTTAAAAAAAAAATTAGGATTGTCACAGTTGTTTCTCTGCATATCATTAGTTAGTGTTTGGTAATATATTATTGTGTATCAGGGAGTGTAATTTCATAAATTATCTGCATCTCTTTTCCTAATATATATGTTCTAATCTTTCCCTTTGTTTATAATATCTATACTTGTGAATGGAATCTCAGGAACTCAGCAAGTCAGGCACTCTGAAATGGCATTGATTGGAGTTCACCCTCGTCGGATGCAACCAGCTAGAGCAGCGTTTACAAATTGCAAGTACCAAGTGATTGTTGGGATGCCTTCGACAGAGTTTAATGCGTTTGGCCTATTTTAGGGCCACAGGTACTTGCCAATATTGTGTAATTGCTTCTTGAAAGTTGTTATCTTAATTACTGATTGAACTTCTCAGACCAAGCCCTTTCTATTTTCTTGATTCTGATGTGAAGATGTTCATTTTGTAACTTTTGAAATATTTCTCATGTCAGTGGCTGACTTTGATGATACTTGCTTACTTCTATACCCTCGATCGTTCATTATGTATAACTATAGCATTAAAATAGCATATGTCGTCCACTGGAAAAGGCTATAGCATTAAAATATTTTATTTTTATTTAATCAAATATTTAAATACTAATTGTTCACTGAGTAAATAGTAATTAAAACATAACTACTAAATAAAGTAATTAAGAAAGAGAAATCAAGATTATGCTATTCAAATGGTATAGCCGGGCGGCTATACTTTAAAAAAAATTCTATTTAAAGCGTATAGCCGTACGGCTATACGTTTAAAATTCTATTTATAGAATATCGCCGAGCGGCTCCTCTGCTAAAATATTCTATTTGAAGAGTAAAGCCACGCGGCTTTACTCTTGAAACAGAAAAGTACAGCCGAACGGCTATACTCTGAAAATATACTTTTTATTAATTAAATAATATCTTAGCCTTATTTAAATACTTTCATTAGCAGTGAATAATTAGTGTAAAATATTTTAATAAAAATTCTAGAAATTTAAGGGCGTTTGGTATCTTATTCAAATAGGGAACTTAAAAATTTTGATTTTTCTTAAAAACAAGGAGTTCTTAAATCTATTTTTAAGATTCAAAAACTTGTTTGGTATGCAACTTGAAAATTGTTTTCAAATCTTAAAAATTTGAGAACTTGTGGGTTGTTTAAAAAAAAACTAACTAAAAAAACAGATTTTTTTTGTTTTTAATAATTGGGGTGTTTTTTAGTTGTTCCTAAGTTTGAGTTTTAAAAAATAGTAGACCAAATAGGTTTTTATTTTTGTTTGGACTCAAATTCTGTTTTGAGTTAAAAAAAAATTGGATTCAAGTTGAATACCAAACATGCCCTTAATTTTAGTTCCCAAATATTTTAGTCTTCCAAAAATGAATTTTAGTCTCGAAACTTAAATCCCAGTCACAACGTGGTTCGATAATATCAGCTATTTGTTGGGATTTGATTGAAATACATGAATTTGAGTCCCACATTGGAAAAGAAGAGAAAGTATCTACTCCTTAGTAGGCTTATGGTTAGGGTTCGAGGCTTGAGAAAGGTTTTGGAACAATTTAGAAGCTAGGGTTTTGTTCGAGACTTGGATTTATCCAAACTAATTTTAAGAAAAGAGTAAAATATTTAAATATTCACTAAAGAAATAATAATTAAACATAATTATCAATTAAAGTAATTTAAAAAGCTAAGATATTACTTAATTACATATATTAAATTAAATAAGTTGGCCAAAAAATAAAAGTAAAGAACCTAATTGATATCTTTCAAATTAAAAAAAGGCCAGAAAACCTCTCCTGACGAAATTTCATCAGCACAGGTCTATTCCGGCGAAATTTGCCGGATTAGACTTCCCCCGATGAAATTTCGTCGGCAAATGTAAATATCGTCGGGGAAAGTCTAATCTGGCAAATTTCGCTGGGATATAACTGTGTTGACGAAACTTTGTCGGGAGAGATTTTATTTAAAAATAAATATAAAATAAATATCTTTTAGGTCCAATAAAATTTTATTTTTAGTAATTAAATAATATCTTAGACTTATTTAATTATGGCGTAACTTATTATCAGTAAATAATATCTTAGACTTGTAAAAATATTTGTAAGTATTTCTTTCTTAAAAATCAATTTATTTTCACATTTTCTTTTCTAACAATTCAGCCCTCTTCGTATCTTAACTTCTGTTATAAGTAAAATTGTTTTGTTTTGTTTTTTTTTAGGAACATAAGTAAAATTGTTTTTCGTATTTAGAAAAGATTATTTTGCGTTTATGACGACAGAAAAGAGGATGTATATTTTAGCTTTGTTTTCCTATCATTCGCCTATCCTTTTAGGAAGTGCCGTGCACGTGATGCTTTAAAAAAGAGAAGAGAGTGACGGAAATGGCAAATGGCAGCATGCACCTGATTTGATTTCTATTTCCACGTGGACCCCGCGTGAACCTGATAAAAAACTCAAAACCCCCTTCCCTCTCTCTCCTCCGTCGTTGAATATCTTTGCTGAGTTTGCAACTCTGCGTCCTTGTCTTTAGAAAGAATATCCTCAGGCATATATAGTGGCTCAAATACAAATATACAAATATCAACACTTTTTATTTATTTATTTTAAAATATCCAAATTAATATCACCACTTCAAACCTTCAAGGGGCATTTCAATAAAAGAAAGAAAATATTCACACACTGGAATTCCTTTTTTCTGTGTAAATGTAAGAAGAGAAAAAAAAAAGGAAAAAAAAAGAAGCGTTGCATTATACAAATTAAACTTTTATATAACCCCATATTCTTTTTTGCCCAATAATCTTTCAAAATATTTCTTTGATTCGGGTTACTTTTAAAACTTAAAAAACAAAAGGAAAATAAATATTGGTTGGTATCTCTTTTCTAAAACTTCAAAGGATTGCATATTTGGATTAGGTTAATTAGCTAATGTGTAGTATGCTGGTCTCTGTATATCCGAGTTCGATGTATCTCATTCTCCGTTAAAGGAATTTAGTTAAATTCTTTCTTTATAAGATCGACTCTTTTTCATAATATTAATAATCTTATTGAAAGGGGATACAATTGTCATGTATGGAAATAAAAGAGTTTTGACAAATTTTAGAATTTCTTTTTCGTTCCAACAGATTTTAAAATCTAACGAGAGATGTGTTAGGTACGTACGTGTGTGGACGGATATAAGGAGACAAAATAGGTTGTATTTTCCTCGCCCGAAAAAATCAAAAAAAGAGGGCGCTTTATAGAATCTTCCCATTTTTTAATAAAACAATTATTTATTTATTTATTTATTTGGTTATTTTTAATTCGTCGCGATGACGGAGGCATGTTTACATTTTCCGACTTTCCAAACAGGGAGAGAAAGAGGAGGCAGTAGACTAGTAGAGAGAGAGAGAGAGAGAGAGTGTGTGGAGCTCAATTTCATTTCATTGCTTCTCTGAGACTGGGCCGAACTGCTGCTCACAAAACGACGACGTCGATTGGTTCTCAGTTCCGTCATTTTCCTTTCAAACACCGCCTTTGGATTTCTCAGCTCTTTCCCCCAATTTGGCTCTTCCCGATCGGTTAGTCCGCCTCATGCACTCACTTGCATTTACATATACGTATTCGTATACACTGTACATGTGTGTTTGTCTGCTTCTCTTTGTAGTTTTTGAAACTAATTTGTATTCTGATTATTCTCTCTCTGTGTGTTTCTGTGTTTAGGTTTGCATCCATCTGTGTATATGAGTTTGTTTTGGAGTTTGTTAATGGAAATGAACTTACGTGTGTGTGAATTTATGCATGTTGTGCGCGTACGTGTGTACGGATGTGTTTGATGGGTTTTAGGGTTCGAGCTAGCTATTTGTTGTGAATCTACGATTGGATTAAGCGATGTTGATGTGTTTTTACTTATAGTATATTGAATTTGTTTTTATCAGGTGTTTGTCTAAAATCAGTGAGAAATGAGAGTGTGCAATGTGATGCTGATTGCGATTATAGACATTTGAGTGGTTTGTGGAGGCTGTTCATCAAATATGGATCTTGCGTGTAGTTTTCGGCAGCTTAATGTGTTATGCGGCAATGAAGGGGCAGGTTATAAAAATTTGAACTGCTTCGATTCACCCATTATCTTTAGGAGTAAAGATGTTAGTTGTAACTTTCTGGGTAATTCGAGAATTGTTGTGAAAGCATGTTCCGGTAAGAGGGTGAAGAGAACTGTTTGTTTTAGTGGTTGTAGGATTTCACGTTTGGCCTACAGAGAAAAAACCGATGATCATCTGTGGAATTTGAATCTGAAAATGCCTTTATCTTGTAGCTTTGGTAATGTTGTTAAAGGGTCAAGAGCAGTTTGGTGGTCGCGGTGTCAGAGTAATGACTCGTTAGCATACGTTAATGGAAATGGTCGGAATGTAGAATATGTAGAAGGTCATGATGAGAGCTCAGGAGTTGGGTCTGTTCATGGTGCTGAGTTGAGTGGTTCCAAAGAAGAGGATGGACATGAAGAACAAAAAGAAGGGTCAGAGGCACCTATTTTGAATGAAATGAGGGAATTGCTGCAAAATGCCATGAAAGAATTGGAAGCTGCGCGACTTAATAGTACCATGTTTGAAGAAAAGGCTCAAAAAATATCAGAAGCTGCGATATCCCTGCAGGATGAAGCAGCAAATGCTTGGAATAATGTTAATTCAACCCTTGATACTATACAAGAGATCGTGAATGAAGAGTGTGTTGCCAAAGAAGGTGTTCAGAAAGCAACAATGGCTCTTTCATTAGCAGAGGCAAGGCTTCAGGTGGCATTAGAATCTTTAGAGGTTGCAAAAAGAGGGACTGATTCACCGGAAATTTTACAAGAAAGTGATGGGGAACATGATTGTGAAGCAGAAGAAAAAGCACTTTTGGTTGCCCAGGAAGATATTAAGGAATGCCAGGCAAATTTGGCCAACTGTGAGGTAGAGTTAAGTCGCTTACAAAGTAAAAAGGAGGAGTTGCAGAAGGAAGTGGACAGGTTGAATGAGGCTGCAGAGAAAGCACAGCTGAATGCTTTGAAAGCAGAGGAGGATGTAACGAACATAATGCTTTTGGCAGAGCAAGCTGTTGCTTTTGAACTTGAGGCTGCACAGCGTGTGAACGATGCAGAAATTTCATTACAAAGAGCAGAGAAATCTCTCTCCACTTCAATTGCTGATACCACAGAAAACAACCAAGGGCAGGTGTTGAGTGATGATGCTACTCTTGAGGAAGAGGAGAAGGTAGTCCAAGGAAGTTCTGCTGAGATTATTGTTGAAAGGGATAGAGATGTGGCAGTTGATGGTGATTTGTTGGCTGTCAAGCCTCTACCAGATAGCTCTTCTGACAAAATCAGCCTGAGTTTTGAAGACGCGAATCAATCTGTTGATTTGAGTGATCATGAGAATGGAAAGTTAAATTTAGATTCTCTTAAAGAAGCTGAAGTAGAAGCTGACAAGTCAAAGAATGTGGTTCAAACTAAAAAGCAGGAAACTCAGAAGGATTTGCCTAGGGAGAGTTCACCGTCAAATGCTCCCAAGACATTATTGAAGAAATCTTCTCGTTTCTTTTCTGCTTCTTTCTTCTCTTCTGCAGATGGGACTCCAACATCAGTTTTCCAGGGTCTGATGGAGTATGCAAGGAAGCAATGGCCCAAGCTGGTTGTCGGGATCTTCCTATTTGGAGTGGGGTATGTATTGTTGTTTATACTTGTTCTTTCATTTATTGTTGCCCCTCTTTTTGCTCCCCTCTAGTGTCAGAATTCTGCGCTGAAAGATTTATCAGGTATTTTCTGACTACATTTGTGTTTCTGCTCTATCTTAATCAATATTCTGGATGACATACCTGGATTTTCTGTGGAAATCTGGGGGAAAAATTGTACGCATTTAGGAATCCTCTGCATCTACTGTGTTTCAGGAGATGCCTAAAGAACTATACCAGGACTGAGATAAGCATGATAACCTGTTAAAATACAAATTATGAAATTCCAAAACTTTCCCAGTAAAAGTTTTCCTTTGTTGGTTACAAATTGCCATGGGAACATGATTGTATAATGAGTCATTGATTAATAGCTTCTGAAAGTGTTCCCTTCCACTACAAATCATGAAAGCAGCTGCTACTTTGTCACCGGGATGCATCTTTTTATTTATTTATTTTTTAATACAGCTCTTCTTCCTTTGTTCTTTCAAAAGGGCTTTCTGTTAAAGTTTTTCCTGCTCTTAATATTAAATTGTTATTTCGGGTGTACGACCTGCCTTCCTTTGATCTCAAGATGCTGAAATTTATCACAGGCTCACCTTTTATACTAATCGAGCAGAAAGGGCCGCACAACTGATACAACAGCCAGAAGTCATGACCACTAGTATTGAAGAAGTTTCCTCAAGTACGAAGCCTCTAGTTCGAGAATTACAGAAACTTCCTAGAAGAATTAAAAAACTAATTGATATGCTTCCACATCAAGAGGTATGTTCCAACATAATTTTGCTCCTGGTCTAACATGTATCTTTCTACTTTCTCATTTAATCTATCTTTTTCTCAGGTGAATGAGGAGGAAGCCTCTCTCTTTGACATGTTATGGTTATTGTTAGCAAGTGTGATATTTGTGCCTGTATTTCAAAGGATTCCTGGAGGTAATTGAATCTCTATACCTTTAATATCTATTTCATGCTTGGTTGTTTTGTTTTCCATTTCAAATGTAGATAGGTGCATAGTATTTTCTGTCTTGGTTACGGAGTTGCATTGCTTTACAAGCTTTTAGAGTACGAACCATAATGTTCAGAGTTCCACCAAACACTAGACATTTACTAAATATGCTAGCTATAGGTCTTTTACTGTTTCTTTTTTACTTGCTTTGCTTGTCCTATGTCCTTTCTAATTATGATCTAGACTTGCACTTATCCAATTTTTATACCACATCAATCTAAAATCCTTGGCCCTCATTACACTTTCTTGAACTTAGCTAGAATAAGTTTCATTAAGAAAATAATTCTATGGATTTGATGAGAAGTGACAAAATTTGTTGTGAATCCTTTCCACACCACACCATCATCTGTTCTATGGTTCTGAACTACCTGGGCCTAAATGTTGTGTATCTGAGATTTTTGATGCCATTTAACTGATGGGTGTCATCTGTATGCTTCTATCTTTAGGCAGTCCTGTTCTTGGGTACTTAGCTGCTGGCATCTTGATTGGGCCTTATGGCCTCTCTATTATTCGTCATGTACATGGGACAAAGGCAATTGCTGAATTTGGAGTTGTTTTCTTACTGTTCAACATTGGCCTCGAGGTGGACTCTATAAATTGGATATATTGCTATTCTACGTTTGCATTTCATCTTCAATTTGATGAAAGAATTATATGCTTGATCTGAATTACAATGAGGAAAATTAACAAGAAGACTTTGGCTTTGCATTTTTTAGCTTTCTGTTGAAAGGTTGAGTTCCATGAAGAAATATGTATTTGGATTGGGCTCTGCTCAGGTGATTTTCTCATATTCATTTCGTCCTGGCCATTATTAAGATTTTTTATTATTATATGTTGTTAATAATTAAGTTTGCTATTGAATTCTTAATATGCATAATGAATGCAGGTTTTGGTGACAGCTATTGTGGTTGGTGTGGTTGCTCATTATGTTTGTGGGCTGCCTGGTCCTGCTGCAATTGTAATTGGCAATGGCCTGGCTTTGTCATCCACTGCAGTTGTTCTGCAGGTAATGGTTATGGGATGATTATTATACAAGCATCTATAATTCTATTGATTACTCGTTCGAAAAGTAAATAAATAGGTAGATAGATGGTGAAATACAAGCCTTTTATATTTGAGTATCTGGATACCTTCAATACCTCCTTTGAGAAAGGGGTGTGGGGTGTGAATGTTCAATTTAAGGGAGCCTTCTTCATGTGAACAGCAGCTCACCATAACATTTTAATTGTTGATAATTTGTGGGTTAGAGGCGGAATATGGATGAATAGGTATTATTGTGTTGAGGGCAGCAGGGCAGCACAAAAGGTTGTTTACATTCTTCTGCATTGTTCAGTGGCTTCATAATATGGGGTTTTATCCTATCGTACTTTAGTATTTATCGGGATATACCTAGCTCAGTTTGTTTCATTGGGTTGGCATGCTCAGTTTGTTAAAAAAATTGAGTATGTAGGAAATTGTTCTTTATGTGTAAATTCTGGTGTGGTGGTCAGAGTTGTACAGAAGAGCAAGAAACATCAGGAATCTTATTTAAGGATGTTGGTTGAGTGGATGACAAAGATATTGGGTTTTTATTTTTCTTCTGCTCTAGATTTCTTGTTTTATCTGTGTTTTAATCTCTCCATGTTATATGTGGGTTGTGTACATGTGTTGCATTTCGCATGTTTCTCCCAATTAGTTTTCCTATAAGACTGCAAAAGCTTCTAATGGATATTCTTTTGAACTTATTTTTCAGGTCTTGCAAGAGCGGGGTGAGAGCACGTCACGCCATGGCCGTGCTACGTTTTCTGTCTTACTTTTCCAGGTCACTTTGAATTTTCAAAAATATATTAAGGCTCAATTGGTTTCAACAGAAATCATTTTCTGGAAATTGACATACATTTTAAGGTCAAACTAAGAGTCTGTGGTCATCTTGACTCAACTGAACATCTAGACTCATGCTGACACATAGATCCATGCTTTATGAGTCTTTGGGTTTGCATCTTTACAGTGGGCAATTATTGTAGGGTGATCAGCATCAGCTATGCATAATGTGTAGTTCCACCCATAAGCTCCTTCGATATTAGTGCCCTGCTACTTACAGCAAATAAGTATCAGAGTTTTAAATTTAACGCGTGGTTAAGTGAAGTTGATGGTTATGTGTGCTGTTTCTTGATAATTAAATTGCAAGCTGTTCCATCATCCATATTATTTATTCCTGTTTTACAAATCTTGGACCTAAATTAGTTACACACCTTACTTCTTGTTATTTTTCAGGATTTGGCTGTTGTGGTTTTGCTAATACTTATACCTCTCATTTCACCAAATTCATCAAAAGGAGGGGTAACATTACTTTTGCTCTCTCGAAACTCTTTCTATACATACATACATACATTTATATATATATATATATATATATATTTTATCTCCATAAGTCAAACCTGAGCTTTCGGTTTCTTTTTTGTTTGATTTACAGTTCAATGCCAGTATTTTGACCACTTCATTCAAATAAAAAATAGTGCAGTCTGTACTTATTTTTGTTGTGCTAAGTAACTTCATCTGCTACCGATCAGATTGGTTTTCAAGCCATTGCTGAAGCACTTGGACTTGCTGCTGTAAAGGCAGCAGTTGCGATCACAGCCATAATTGCTGGTGGACGCTTGGTAAGTCTTTTTTACATCTAAAGGTTTTCAGAATTATGTCAATGGGATGGTTGAATTCCTAGAACTTAGAAATACTTTTAGTTTTTGGCCAGAACTAAGAACTTGTTTAGTGTGAAGAACTAGTTGAGTACTTGACAGAGTTTCATTTTTATAATATTTTTATGTTCGGAATTCTTTCCCAAGCATCAGTTACATTTCTTTTGTCTTATTTATTTATTTTTATTCATGGGAGGGGGAGCACATTTTTCAAACTTTTGCCATGAGCATGGTGTAAAGTGCTCTGCCACTTGAGCTACAAGCCCCCACACATCTGTTTTGCCTATTAAGATTGGGATGTGACATATGGTTAAGTGTTTTAGATGGCGTTACTAGTATAGAACTTTGATCAGAACCTTGATGCTAAACTATGTTCTCTTAGAATAAAGAGCCTGGAGGAGGCCAAAAATATTTTCATATTGCTTGAGAAAACAATTTTGAAATGTTTTCATCTTTTTTACAATCTCTCCTTTTGATCTCATCTTCTTTTAAGATTCAAGTTTGTGCCTTGAGCCTAATGCTTCCTTTTTGGGGTTTGCAGCTGCTTCGACCAATTTATAGGCAAATTGCAGAAAATCAGAATGCAGAAATATTTTCTGCCAATACACTGCTTGTTATTCTAGGAACAAGTCTTCTAACTGCCAGGGTATATTCTGCATTATTTGCTTTTTGTTTTGTTTTGTTTTTTTTGAGTCATTCCTTAGAGTTAGTAATATTTTTTCGTTTCTTGAACAGGCTGGACTATCCATGGCACTTGGAGCATTTTTGGCTGGTTTGCTTCTTGCAGAAACTGAATTTTCTTTGCAGGTTGAGTCAGACATTGCTCCATATCGTGGTCTTCTATTGGGCCTCTTTTTCATGACGGTATGTGTTCATGATGGCAATTTTTTGTGAGAGAGAGGACCTGCACTATCTCAAAAATACTTTTTGTTATTGAAAAATAACCCCTTACAAACCCTCTGAGAGCGTGTACATGCCTTTAATTGACTGGGACGTCAATCCATGATTTTCCTAGCATTTCTTTCCATACCACCTCAAGCAGTTTTAACAAAAATGTATGTACCGTATAGTGAGTCTTAAAGTGTCACACTCTTTATGTGATGTTTGATGATCTTCCAGCTCATCAGCATCAGCTGTCTTATTTCTTCAAATGGCTTTTCTTGGGGATTTTCAATGCAATATATATGATATTATCAATTAATAATTGTAGCATTGAGAAGGATGTTGCTTGAGTTCTTGACTTGGACATTGCTTCTAATTTTAGTCAACTGATACTGTCAGCCTATTGATGTTAGAATGTTGCCCCTATATCTGCAATTTGTAACAACTATTTTGTGGGTTTTCAGGTTGGAATGTCTATTGATCCAAAGCTTCTTGTTTCTAACTTCCCGGTTATAGCTGGAACATTAGGACTCCTCATTGGTGGCAAATCCTTATTGGTTGTTTTAATTGGCAAAATTTTCGGAGTTTCAATAATATCTGCAATAAGAGTTGGTCTTCTTCTCGCTCCTGGTGGAGAATTTGCATTTGTTGCTTTTGGTGAAGCTGTTAATCAGGTTTGCTTCGTTTAGCCATCCTTACTGTTTGTGAGATTTACTGGTTTGCATTTTAACAACTACAAGGCTTTACTAAATTTTATATGGTCTCCTTGGTGTTTTGCTTCAAACATGCAAATGTAGTAGCGGATACTATGCCTTCTTTTAACGCATCTCATAGGTGTTAACCAATATTAAAAATCTAGTTTCCCAATGCTAAATTGCTCGGGTAAAAGCATTGGTTTAACCAATTGTTGTTTTTATTAATTGATGACTCATTGTTTTAACTGAATAACTAAATAAAACACATTTCTCTTCATCTGCAAAGAATTCTCAATGTGAAAACACAGAGATAATAGGCTGATCTTTAAAAAGAAAAAAGAGTGGATCCAGAGGGTCCCACATCAATTGGTTTATTTTAAAAAAGCCTTGTTATTTGGAAGCTCTATCTTCTTGGTTGTAATTGATATTAAAAATTAGTCAACTATTTTGCTAGTTGGTGTCATATGCAGCTCAATGTCTTAGCATTCTGCAATGTTGCTTGTAGAAGTATCATGCTAATTGAGTAAGCTGCAGGGAATAATGTCTCCTCAATTATCGTCTTTGCTCTTCCTTGTCGTGGGAATTTCAATGGCCATCACTCCATGGCTAGCTGCTGGCGGCCAGTTAATTGCATCTCGTTTTGAGGTGCATGACGTTCGAAGTTTACTACCCGTTGAGAGTGAGGTAAAATGCCTGATGAAGAATGTACTATTATGACTGATGCTCTGCCAGGACTAATTGCTGAAAAGTATTGTTGCCCACCCAGAAAATTCTTTTAATTAAGAAATTTCGGCGACAGTAATTTTCCTTATTTTATTAAAAACTCGGTTAGCACATCATAACTGCAGCTATCCATATGGTATCTGTTAATTTTTGACTTCTAATATCCATGTTGTGTTAGAAATGATATCAAAATATTTTTTCATTTATCTTTTTAGTTAATGTTTACTGATAATCTTGGTATCTCTTGGCTTAATTATATTTCCAGACAGATGATTTACAAGGTCATATAATCATCTGTGGATTTGGACGAGTTGGCCAGGTTGTAAAAGTTTTCAGCTTTTGTCATACACTGGTTTCAAAATCTTAGCCAAGCCTGTGCATGTATTGTAACAGTTGTAATTTGTTTTTTCCTCTCTTTTTCTTCTCAGATAATTGCACAGCTTCTTTCAGAGAGACTAATTCCGTTTGTAGCTCTTGATGTGAGGAGGTAATCTTGAAGATGTTTCATAATTTTCATTGTAATTGATTTTTTCTATTATTACTAGCTCTGGATGGCTGTATGTTAGTCTCATGTGTATTTTACAACTACATGTTAGTCTAGCTTGTATGTACATTTCAATGAATGGTTTTTGGAGTTTATTTGTGTTCTCTTAGTCAGCACTAAGGACATGATGACTATAAAAAAAGTAAACAATGAGGCCTGACAATCTTTGGAACGGTTTCTGAAGATTGCAATTCATAATATCTCATTAACATGTTCTTTGTTGTTCAGTGATAGAGTGGCAGTTGGACGTTCTCTAGACGTTCCAGTCTATTTTGGAGATGCTGGTAGTCGAGAGGTATGTATGATAAGTTAAAAGTATAGTTTTATCATATGCAGGTTTAGTGTATGACATGCTTTCTACCCCATGAATAGGTACTCCACAAAGTTGGTGCTGAACGAGCATGCGCTGCAGCCATCACTTTAGATTCTCCTGGTGCAAACTATAGAACTGTCTGGGCTCTAAGCAAGTATTTCCCAAACGTGAAAACTTTTGTTCGTGCCCATGACGTTGATCATGGCCTTAATTTGGAGAAGGCTGGGGCTACAGCGGTAATATTTTAATGCCTGTTCTTACTTTGCTCTCTGTTGACTGCACCTGTCTGAAGCAATCCCTATATTTAATGGAGTAGAATGTCTAATGACTAATGAGTGGCTTAAAAATTGGAATGCTTGTGTATTATTTATCTCTTATAGATTGCATTCATGAGAATTTGGCTCACTCTCAAGCAACTTACAGGTTGTCCCAGAGACCTTGGAACCGAGTCTGCAGTTGGCAGCTGCTGTTCTTGCTCAGGTGAATTACTTAATTGTCAATATCTTATCTCTTCATAAGATTGCCCGACCTTCGAGATTCTGTTTGTTGTATTGTGTTAAAACTTATTCAATAGCTTTGCACACATTCTTTTCTTGTTTTCAACTTGAGATTGCAGTTCTTATTGCTTTATTTATTTTTCTCCCGAAGATAATCGTGACATTGTTCTTGGTTGGAAGTCTCTAAGATTGTCGTCTCTTCGTATTTATATGCTGTTCTTGTTCAGGCTAAACTACCCATGTCAGAGATTGCAGCAACCATCAATGAATATAGGTCCCGCCACCTTGCTGAGCTAACTGAGGTACTTGACATTCGCCTTTTATTTTATTTTTTAACACAACATATTATTACAATTTCAGTTGTGGCTTTGCTCCTGATACTTGGGATCTTCAAATTTATGTTTTTCTCTGCAGTTATGTGAAACGAGCGGAAGTTCTCTTGGCTATGGATTCTCTCGAATGATGAGTAAACCCAAACCTCTGTCTCCCGATTCTATGGATGAGAACCAATTCACTGAAGGAACACTGGCTATATAAAAAATGCCCAATTGTAAACACAGCAAAAAGGAAAATGTAGAAATGGCGTAAGCACTGTATAGCAGATTACTTCTTCCATTTTGGTTGGACCCAAAAAGAAAAAGACTCATCTACCATCTTCCATTGGGTATAAGTTGTACAGAAAATACACTGAAGAGGCAATCAATAGCAAACAGCTGACTCTGACGACCCTTTTTGTTGGATAAACTTGGTTGAATCTTTTGTTCTTGATGCATCTTTGTCTAAAGGCAGGCTGAAGACTCAGCCTATCATTTGTTTTGGACTATGTTTGGGTCTATGGTGTAGGAAATATCATAAAATTTCAAATCTTCTCTCATGTTTTCCTCGTTTTTTGAATGGGTGAATTGGGAAAAGTATCTCCTATCTGACTTTTTGTTCATTGGAAATTTGGAATGAATCTTGGAATGGAGTGGACGTTCTTTTAAAATCACCACTTAGTTGTTTGCTTTACATATAATCTAATTGGGCAGCGATTTACATATAATCCCTACTTCGACCATTTGCACTATTAAACTGAATGTTTTTACATTTCTGCACTAGAGGATTGTATGAGATTTGTTAAAAGAGTAGTGTTAAAATCACTAGTCCTGAGATAACCAAAGAAATTCCCGTATTCATAATTTATTCTTAATCACTTAAATTTTAGGTCTCGTATAACTTGGTAATATTTCTAACAATGTTACCAATGTTAAATTGCTAATAGGTCCAGTCCAGTTATACTTTGGTAATATCTCTAATAAGAAATGTTAAATTGCTAACAGGATCCAGCCTGGTTAAAAGGGCCTTGACTTGTAGACAATTGGTCTTAGTTCGAACTCATATGACATCTTAAAGTGCGTGTGTGATAATACCTCCATGATCCCTGTATGAAAAAAAACAAAGAATTGTTATTATATTGGATTAATTATTTTAATTTAATTGGTTTTTCATGCAAGAAAATAATTGCGCCACCCTGTTACTCTACTGTCACTGCCACCGCACACATGGCGTAATAGTTACCCGGCTACTTCCATTCCATCTTTTATCTCACAGCGACAGAGGCGAGTAAAGCTAAACCCTAAAACGCCCAAAAGGGTTTTGAAGTTTGAGCATAACGTACAAAAGAGGACTATCTTCTTCTTGTTGTCTGGTAAAATCTCAATACCAGATGGCGTCGATGATGTTCACGGACTGCTCGTCCTCCACCACCGCTCGGCTCCTCCCCTTCAGACACAACCCTCTCCTCTGCAGAAATAACGGCGTCGTTTCCCTTCGTCGCCTCGTAAACCTTAGCTCTCCCAGAAGCCTCCGCCTTCACTCCTCTTCTTCACTCTCTCCATCACCCACTGGTACGGTTCTCTTCCCTCTCATACATAGCAGCAAATTAGAGTTTTCTGATAAGAATGTAATGTAAAAGCTGGTTTAGAGTGGTCGTATCCCCTGTTACATTTCTTCGAATATGTAGAAGCCCATGAATGAGCCCTTAGCAAAATTATGCTTTCTACCATGCTTTGGTATTTTTTGAGTGACTGATTAGTGTCACAGACTAGGTTTGATTTTTGTTCTTGGGCAAATGGGAATTGTTTTATTGCATTAACTGTTTGGTGGTCACATTACAAATCCTTGATAGATATTGATTATTCCAACCTTATTCTGCAATTTCTCTAATTTTTTTAATGAAATTTTCTCTACTGTAGTTAATAGATATTGGTCGATTTTACAGCTTCATTGGCAACTGAAACACCGGCTAAAGTGATTGATGGAAAATCAGTTGCGAAGCAAATCAGAGATGAGATCAATGCTGAAGTGGCGAGAATGAAGGATGCAATTGGAATTGTTCCAGGTTTAGCAGTTATTCTTGTCGGGGACAGGAAGGACTCTGCCACTTATGTGCGCAACAAGAAAAAAGCTTGTGATTCTGTCGGGATTAATTCATTTGAAGTGCGTTTGCCGGAGGATTCCACAGAACAAGAAGTGCTCAAATTCATCTCGAACTTCAATGATGACTCCTCAGTTCATGGCATCCTTGTTCAGTTACCTCTGCCTCCTGTATGCTTTTAAATTTGAATTTTGCTTTCCCTTTGTGAAATTATGTTGCAATGAGAATATAAATAACAAGTTGTTTTGAAGGCATATCTTGCAAAAGTCTTCAAGCTCTTCTATTCATCCATTTTAGCCAATGCTCTCTTTTAGCAAATAGAGAACTGTTGGGTCATGTAGGTGCATGTTTTAGCTTCTGAAGAATGATTCACTCTATAGTTTGTTGTAGATGAATATTTGTTGTTTCTTGAAGAGTTTATTATATACATGCCTTTGCGTACTTAGCTATGAATTAGGTAAGTGTACGTTTGGTTGCCCATGTATCTTTCATCCCTTAAACCTCAAGTTGTCAGTAAAACATGATCTATGGATCATTACGATCATGACCATGTTCATGTATATGAATTGTACATTTGATTAGATTTACAGTTGTTCTCCCATGATTTATTATGACTAAACAATCTAATTGTTTTCGTGTGTATGTTACTAGCATATGAATGAGCAAAACATCTTAAATGCCGTTAGCATTGAGAAAGATGTGGATGGGTTTCACCCGCTAAATATTGGTCGTCTTGCCATGCGTGGAAGGGACCCCTTGTTTGTGCCTTGTACACCAAAAGGGTGCATAGAGTTGTTGCATAGGTATGGTGTACCTATCAAAGGAAAGAGAGCAGTTGTAATTGGACGGAGCAATATTGTTGGGATGCCAGCTGCTTTATTGCTGCAGGTGACATTCGTTTGCCCCAGTAGTAATTTGCTTATTTGTGTTCATGAGTTAAACTTGATTTTTGAATGTTGGTAGAGGGAAGATGCTACAATCAGTATAGTCCATTCCCGAACCAAGAATCCTGAGGAGATCACAAGACAAGCAGATATCATAATCTCAGCTGTAGGGCAACCAAATATGGTGAGGGGTAGCTGGATTAAACCTGGTGCAGTGATTATTGATGTCGGAATAAATCCAGTTGAGGTGAGAAGGGCTCATAGTTTAACAATTCATTCCTTATGAACCCCACCCCCAACACCACCCCACCCAACCCCCTCCCCCCCCCTCTTCCCTCTCTCTCTCTCTCTCACACACACATTTCGTTGTCAGATGTGAACAGGAAATGAATTATCATTGTTAAAATAAAATTGGATGATTTGGTCGTGACATGTTGATGTTTGTATCTCATTCAAGGCTGCAGGTTATTGAGCTAATGATGTGTGTATTTTTGACAGGATGAAAAGAGCCCTCGAGGTTATCGGCTGGTTGGAGATGTCTGCTATGAGGAGGCCAGCCAGATTGCTTCAGCAATTACTCCAGTACCTGGGGGAGTGGGTCCAATGACAATAGCAATGCTTCTCTCTAATACTCTCGTATCAGCAAAAAGGGTACACAACTTCCAGTGAAGATGTTCAGAGGTGCTGCTACTGGCGAAGATCTCCCCTCTAATTCAGTTAAAGACGCCACCATAATATTCTTGATCCTGAGCTACCATTGGTTTTTTATTGTGGGAACATTTCCTTCGTGTGCTTTTCAGTTCTCACCACTTGAAATCGAGAGAGATTTTTCTGAGTGCTAAAAGGCAGGTTTTTTTTTCTTGGTCAAAAGAGTTGAAAGCATCTTTGTTTTAACTGTATGATGTATTTCGATAAGAGAGGGTTTATGTAGCAGGGGTTCCATGTTGACTAGGAACTCTGATATGTTATCTGATAAAAAAATCTTGGAAGGCATCCTCTTTACCCATAATAGAAATGGGGTTTGCAGACTAAATGTAATAAGTTAAATTTTTTAGGTTTGGTATTAGATTGGAGATTCATCTCCAAAGAAAATGTAGATGAATTTGTTCATGGGTTGGTCTTTTTCTATCTCTTTAATAGAACTGGTGATGGATGATGCGAAATGGTACTTTGCCCAACTCATGGAAGAGACTCGTTTTTCTTTTTTCCTGTTCTTTTGCAATAAGGAAAGATCTCGCATACCAGAGAAAAGAGCTAACATATCAGAAGTACTGCTGATGTAAAACATCCAAATGTAGTTTGACAAGGAAACAGTAGAAGAGTAGCCAATACTTTAAAACCTTTGGAATACAACTAGTAACCAATTGATAGACAGATGATCTTCTACGTCAAAGCATAAGTGGCCAAATCCAGAATATTAAACAAACAAGATAGTCATAGCAGCTTTCCACCAGTAAGGTCAATTCGCGCTTCGAAATGGTCCACACCAGTTTTGCTTTGCAATTTTGTACTCCTAAGAATTGAAACCTGAAAGATGGAAACAATTTAGTCCACAGCTTCACAACGGATCCTACATTCTTGTTAGAAATCAACAGGTATTGACAGTATGAGGACGAAGGAAAGAAGGGAGATAAAAATGCAAAGATCAGACTGTGATACATACCTTGGGCCGCTCCATAGAGCTTCCAAAGTATCCTATTCCAAAGGATAAGGAAGAGTAAGCAGCTGCAATCTCTACAGTTTTCAACTTTGAAGAACTTCCTGAAACCTGAAAAGCAACATATAAACATACAATTGCTTCAGACAACAATTCCTGTAGAACAAAAAAAAGGAATTCTTACAGACAACTAACAAGGTTCTAACTTGGAACTCACTGTTGTGGGATCATCAGCTTGCACAAGTAGAATTCCAGCACTTCTATCAGTACAATTGTGAGTACTCTCTTGAACAACAGAGCGTAAAACTTTCATGCAAGCAGAGGCAGGACCTGCCTGTGAACTAGGCAATGAATATGAAAGTCAAGTTTACATACTGGGCATTATCTGAACATGAATAGACATGGTATATAAACTAAAAAATTCATAGACATTGTAGGTCATCCCAACGGATGTTCTACAGTGCTAACTATAACTTGGAAGGATCATGATCACTCCAACTTTGGTGGATCCAATATGCAATAAGCAGGATTCTTGGTGTGTGTGTGTCTGAGAGAGATACAGAAGCTATCTTGAATTTCAACCTTCACGTCAAGGAAAATTGAAAAAAAATATTATATAGTAATAGGACAAACATACAGTGACAAAGAGACGCAGCACTCCCGAGCTGCAAATCCTTTCATTAGATATTCTCCAGCACCACTTACACAACAGCCAACTATACATGGGGCCCCAAAAAAACCTTTGGAGGATGCCCAACAACCTGAACCATGCATTGCTGCTAATCCCACTCGCCCACCAACCTGTATTTTTTATTTTTTTTATTTTTAAATACAAGAAACCTGTTAGATTATTAGTCACCACAAACAGGCGACAAACAAATGAGTGCAAATTATTAGAAGCATCTGTCACCTTCAGAGCAATACCCCCACTTGAGGCACCAGAAGCTATTTGTCCTTCAGCATCCACACAAATAACTCCAACAGTGTCCATGACGCAATCATCTTCAGCCCCATTACTCTTCAAAGAATCACATGGCTGACCTTCTAATTCTAAAACATAGATACAACGATCACTTATAAAGAAGTATAATTCTTTAGGCTTTTTTCTTAATAAGGTCATACGAACTACATAATAAAATTAAGCAAGATGCTAGCTAAAGCAGAGAACTGCAGACTGGAAGAACCAAGAAAAATATCATCATAATAGGAACAGATCATCAATATATATCCGGAGATTATAATAAAACAACAGTTTTGTTGCTATGTCAACAGAGTATCAGATTATTTAAAAGGAAAAAAACTAGAAGAAAATTAAATGCACACATAGAACAGACTTTGATATGAAGTGCAAGTGTATCATGCTGCAACGTACTTTTACGAATTCATAGAGAGCAAAAGTTCAGAATTGGCTTTGGCACCGTGATTTAAAACATATCCCTCAAATATTATAACGTGCCTCTTTAGCGCATGTTAAGGCAAGAATAGACACACAGATTACTATACAGTATGGACGAAGAAGGTAAACAGAATGAAAGTGTCATTGCCAGGACAGGTATACATGTAGATGGTAAGTTGCACTATAAACAATATCAGCTTTGAATGACAGAATTGATCTGTTTAATATCAAAAGGTGATGAAATACCTGACATTCCAGCAGTCTCTTGAGGACAGCAAGAAAGTCCAAAAGCAGATTTTTCTGTCTTTCCTTTTGCATCATCTACCATTGCTTTGTACTTTTTCCATTGTGCTTTTGCCCTTTCTGTCACCAGCCACTGTTTTGAAATACACACATGATTAATTCATCCCTTCTAAGAAATAAATTTGAGGCTGAAATATCCGTGCCATTAAAATTCCAAAATTTGAACATAAGCATAAAAATATAAAGATAAGTGATTGAGATGAAAATTAAATATAAACACTAAAACAAATTACCTCATCAGCAGCTGGCGTGCTTGATGTCAAAGCAATGCCCTTGGACTTCGCCCATATGCGGGCACCTTCACCAACCAGGAAGCTACACAACAAAAAATCTGCTCCATTATTAAATAAGTAAAAGAAAACAAGGGAAAGGAAAGAAAAACAGAGGATTAGGAAAAAAAGTCCATTAAGGTTTACAAGTATTTAAGGGACAAAATAACAGAAAGAAAATACTGCTGAGTTAAACAGAATGATTAGAATGAAAACTATAATTGTCTGATTAAGAGAGAATAATTAGTACATGGGAGGTATTCGGCCCAACAGAGGAGATCCCATCATTTGCTCCTTGGCCAATAAAGCAGCAACCTGGATGGGGTTTCTGACACCTGGTCTACAACATATGCAAGGGATATTAAGTAACATAAGGGAAAAAGTATAGTATATGTGAATAAAATATGTGATTTTTGGCTATGAGAAAACCTGGAATTGCTCCAACAGCTCCAAAAACTCCAGAACTTCCATCCATAATACTGGCATCACATTCTACATGACCTTCTTCTGTCAAATTGGAGCCTCTACCCGCATTCGTGCTTGGGTCATCCTTTGGGCATCAAAACCGAGTTAATAAACAATACACGATATGGTAGGCATCAAATATTGCTCTCAAAGAAAGGAAAGAGGCCTCTACCAACAACCTCTCTACAATTCCATGTGAAGCAAGAGAGACAAATATCTAATCTTCTTTGGAACTTAAATCTTCCTCTTAGATTGTTCTACAAGCATGTTGGTGCTTTTATAAAGCACTCTGTTCTAGCTATTTAAAGTTAATTGGACTAAAGCTCTCTTCAAATTTAAACTCCAAAAGTACACTTCAAAGCAACAGAGTAAACCATGTAAAACAATGATTATTCATTAGAAGAATTAAACCCTTCTACACAAAACATGAGGCTAAACTCATCCATAAACTGCATCGGACAATTCTTTCCACATACAGAGCCATACCCATTGCATAAGAAGAAATAACAGAAACAATCATGCATGTTTACATAGCTAACACTTCGGATACGCAACAACAAACTATGAATTTCTACTTCCTAAGAAGGAGTTTTAAAAAGTAAATTAACAAGAAACTTAAAAAAATAGATATCTACAAAAAGAAAATATACCTCCAAGACTTGAATAGCAGCCGTAACAGCATCTATGCATCTACCAGAACCCTGAAGCAAAAGAAACAAAAAACATTATAAACAAGCTTGTAGTGTAAAAGGCATTACTAGCGTTTTTATTAATTTATTTTCAATCATCACTTTCGTCAACATAAAATTCCTAAAAATGCCATCACCAATGTTTTCAAGTTTTAATCTTTCCTTCTCTATTTCCCTCAGGTTTTCTAGGCAACCAAACAGGAGCTGGAATAGTATAAATTAAATATGCGCACGACAGAGAGAGAGAGACCTTGCGGAGAAGTGAAGCGGCAGCGAGACAAGCGCGTTTGATGGCGGACCTGAGGGCTTTCTCGTTGGAAGGCGCGTGGTATCCCGCGCCGACGTGAACCGCTACGAAGAAGGTGGCGTTTTCATCCTCTTGTTGCATTTGGGTAGCGGCAGCCATGGATTGTTTGATGGAACTAAACACAGCGTTTCAGTGCTCTTCTTTACTTCAAGAACACAATTACACTGTACACACCTCATATTTTAATAAATATTTTCCTACGTCATAGAAATTTGTTAACTTTAATTGCAAAATGAAGCATTTGCTTGACTTGTAATGAGACGATTATTGGCACCATTTCTTTTTTAAATCCAAATTAGACAATCATGGAGGCTGAAATGTGTAATTAAGAACTCGAGTTAGCTCAAATGGCAAGGGTGAGTGCAAAAATGGTAAAGTTTAGGGTAGGTCAAAGCTCAATTCCTTTTCATTACAACTAGAAAAAGTGTGTAAAATAATAGACTTTTGCTACAATGATGGTGATTAGTTTATGGGTTAATTCCACTTTAATACTATGTGGTTACATTTTCAAGACATTAATTTCTATTTTCTAAATTTTTATAATAACATACCCCAAACTTTTAAATTTGTTACAATGTGGTTGTGCTATTAGGGTTTCTATCATAACATGGTTACACTCTTAAGACATGTTAATCCTTATCTTCTTAATTTTTACAATAACATACCCTGAACTTTTAAATTTGTTACAATGTGATTCTGCCGTTAGGATTTAGGTCATATCTCTCCATTAGTTGCCTACATAGGATTGTGGGTCCCACATATTTCAATTTTTGTTAATTTTAAATTGATTAAAATATTACAAACCAAAAAAACCAAAAATAAATTTAAACCTTTGCTGTACAAATTATCGAACTGGGTCACATCTAGCAGAAGCAATGTGGAAAAAAGTGAACAATTCTTTTCAAGAAAGATTTAAATATATAGGAACAAGTGGTACAAAAATACAATGCAAAAGATGCAATTTCTGAACCAATAGGTTTGCGTCTAATTATAATATTACACACTGCAGATTTCAGCTTAACATTTATTCTCAAATACAGAATTACAAATGGCATACAACTTTTTCTTCTTGTTTGAAAAATGGCATATAATCCGAAACCAAAAGGTTGGAACGAAATCAGGGGCTCAGAAAGAGAGCTTTGCACTGCTTGATTGTATCTTCAGGGCTGGTAACTGCAAAAAGTGTAGAGCATCAGATAATCATGTTGGATATGTGCATTTAAGTGTGCTAAGCAATGATGAGACGGCTGGAAGTCACTTCGACCTGAAATGAGAGCTTACCTGTATGACCTACGGTTCGTTCAGATTCATAAATTTCATGGTCATTTCCTCCCTGCAGAAGATGAAACTCACAAGTCTTAAGGCCCAGATAAAGGAAGTATAGAACAGAGGACTTGAAAAAAGAACTTACGAAATAACAGAAGGAAGCTGTCAATATGGTAACATGTGTAACTAAGAAGAGGGTAGAGCCCTGAAATTATGGACTAACCTTGTAAGTTTTGTCACCAAAGAAATGGATTTCTTGAAACTTCTCTAGGTATCTCAAGCAGTATGTCTTGTCCCAACCTTGAGGGAAAACCTGTTACAAGCATTGAAAACCATCCATGTTCAATTTCAAATGTCATCCCAACGACCTTTACTAGACCATTCCAAGAGAGGACAAGCAAAAATAAAAATGAATAAATAACCAGAAATCATCAAACATGAATGAATATCAACTATTGCTTACATCAAAGCTTATCTGTCCTCCTATGGAAAATGTCAAGTTAAAGTGAGCAAACTTCTCGCGAAGGATGGATACCATTTTTGGGCGTATGTTTTGAACCTGCAGACCAAATATCATCTTTCAAGTTATATACAAACGCAAAAGACAATTCATATCCTTTATAATGAAAATAAACTCACAATTTTAGTTTTTTAGTTAAGTATCTAACCTTGTCAAATCTTTCAAATTCATCCCTTTCTTCTTGGCTACAGTTTCGCCCAATTGGTGATACATTAAGCATCCCACTTCGGAACTCTATAAATGTACCCCTGCAGTTACAATTAACAATGAAATTATAAGTTTACTATAAATAGGTTAAGAATAAACAAGGCTTTCACTCCACTAACCTTTTTATAGGTATGTCCAAGTCTGCGATATAATGAAGTGTAAAATTGATAAATTCCTGCAGAATTGTATGCAAATCATTGCAAATAAATCTCAAGAACAATTTGATTAAGTTTCCAGGTTCTTTGTGCATGCTGTGTTTGACACCTTAGGTATCTTTCTAATAAGGAACTTGAGAGTCATAGCATACAACAGAGCATGGGTTTTACCTTCAGCTTCTCTTCTCCAAGAAATGTCTTCAAGCTCTAAAGAATCCAAAACGCAAAATCCATCAATTTGGAGTAATTACCAAATTAAGAAAGATGTAGGAGAAAAGGAAAAAAAATGCAACACTGTCATGGATGTTAACTTCACAAAATCAACTTCAGAAAACATCACTTTAATAAGGACACTGTATGAATGTGATAACTTGTTTCTATTATCACATTAAGTTGTATAATACCTGGGTGCCAATCAGTGTCCTGTCTTTGTGAGCCACAAGTCCATTCTCAGAAAATACATAATCATAGTCATCAATAACTGCAAAGACAAAGACACAATTAATAGACATAGTTCAACAGATTTTGAAAATTAGTAAATTAGACAGCTAAGCACGTGTCCACAATATCCCTCAAGAACTAACACTAAAGGATTTCTTAGAGTTGAAGGGAAAAGGAACAAAGCACCAAACTTTAGCAATACTTTACTAAGACAATTTAAAGGCCAACAATAGATGCAACCAAAAAATTTGAATAGCATCTTATACACAAAAGTAAATAAGCTGAGCTTAAATCTTTTTTCTTTTGGCAGAAAGCTAAAACCTTCAAACTCCTTGGTTGTCAAGATCCAATATAAACAAATTGATTTTGAGAGGTGCATATGTATATATATTGCACGCATAATGAGTAAATATCTAGACTTAAATGTCTTTTGGAGTTATATTTTCTACAAGAAAAAAGTACACACCTGTCCTCCCAAGCTGCTCTGTTATCTTAGAAAGGTCAGATCCTCCAACTATTCCCACTGTAACAGCCTGCACTTCAACAAGGCTTTTGATCATGCACAAAAAACTAACACATACCCCCACCCACCACCAAAAAGAAAAAAACAGAGCCTACACTTTGAAGGTAATGGGTGATGTACCTTCCTAAGTTCTCGAATAAACCCCAACATTTCTGGAGTAGCCGCCTAGTATTCAAGTGAACGGTACTGAATTAGTGATGTTTTCAACAACAGATATACATGCATAAACTGATTTGGAAAAATGCAGAAAATTTTCTTTCAAATTGATAAGCCCATGTAATAAATTGGTTGATAAGATGCTAATTTAAAAAGAATAAGCAATTTAAGAGGACAAAAACAATCAGAGATCTTTACCTTTCTAGGAGCTGTGAGAGTCCCATCAACATCAAACAAGGCAATCACACCAGGCTTCCTGACAGCCATTTACACTTGAAATCTAATTTCCCTGTCACCAAATCCATAATACCACAGTTCTCAATTAACAATTTGATCTCTTAATTTCAACAGCTGCTTATGGAAGGTTGTCAAAATGGACAATTGGGTTGGGGACTGGAATTCCGAATTGCAAAAGAATATAAAAAGTATCAGGTAAGAAGCAGCGCCCAGTAAATCAAGCAAGCTTGTAGGAAAGAGCAAAACAGATTCTCCCCAGACGCTAAAAAGCATTAAGATCCAGAACCCAGTACTTTTCTACTTAAAAGTACATTGCTTTGACAATGCATTTGACTGAATGAGGCCTAGATTGCAAACTAAAAGTACCCCAAAAAACCAACAAGGATTAATAACTGAAAAACAAAAGAAACCCAAATTTAAATGCACCCAAATGAGGGGAAAAAGAAGAAGTAAACTTTAAGATTCAGGCTCTGAATGAGGTTTAAAGATTATGACCATTCTCTAATGGGAAGCTGTAAACAAATTAGTGAATGAATAATTGATAACACGAATAAGAAAAAAGATTGTACCTTGTAATTGGGTTATCGCGAGAGAGAAGAAAGTGCAGGTTGAATGAGAGCTCCGAAATGGAAGTTTGAGCAGTACAGAAAATGAACAGATCTTCTTCAGTGGCGCAACTTGGGCAGTTGTTGGGATATATAAAGACATTTATAATATTATTTATTATTATTTTCCAATATAACAGTTGAGAAATGAGGGTTTTTTATTTTATTTTATTTTATTTCTGATTTGAGAATGAAGATATGTGGAAAAACTGCACAGTGACTGAGAAATTTTTGTATATACCAAACATAGAATTGGTTTGAAATAATTGAATCATACTATTTTCCCTATTCCTACATCAAAATATGGAGTTCAAATTCCCATTGTTTGACCAGAGTTGGTAACAAAAAATTAAAATTTTAAAAAGAAAAGAAAAATGGAAGGTTCTTAATCATTTTCCTTGGCTAAAATTCACAGCTTCTGATAGAGCCTGTTCCTATCCATTCTGTCTTCCAAAATTGAGTGGTTGTCCTCTGAAGTGAACCCACCTGGCGCTAATGAAAGTGAAGATTGTTTTTTTATTATTTTTATTGGTCAATAAAAGTGACGATTGTTTAACATTCATTTTCAGTACCTTTTCTTTTTATTTTGGTAGGAAACTTCTTTCTTTGGTTTTATTATTACTAACCTCTTCGCACGCACTCCCGCAACTGCAAGAGACTTTAAAAAAAAAAAGTATTTTATTTTAGAATTAAAAAAGATAATATAGTTGTGTTCCATAAAAATACACACCATTATCTATTTTTTTAAATATAAAAAATTGTGAATTTACCGTATTATCCTCATTTAATTAATAATTTCAATTCTTAATGTTTGTATTAACCAAAAATATTTTATAGTATTTTGAATATTTCACAATTCTCTGCCTTTTGCTTTATATATATAGAAGATTATGAACTTCTTCATGGTAATGCTGTACATTTTGTTTGTGCATTTGGGAGGTAACTTCTCACCAACGTGCGGCCTGTCCTTGACTGCTTTTGGTTCATTGTGGGCTTGCCTTTTAGCTATTTCCACCAGAATGCTTTTCTTTCAAAACTTGGGCACTGACACATAAACCGTGTTAACAACTAGTGGAAACTTGATTTCCTTATGAGTATGCCAAAAAAGAAACAAAAAATTTCAAGTCATTCAACTTCATATGTTACATTGTACATAAGCTATTGATGATCATTCTTCATGAAACATATGAAGGGCCTCTGTGATCATCTATGAAAATTCAAAAAGGTGTCACTTCATTTCGGCTAAAGTAATGGCCAGTAGGACCACCATTGGGAAGCAGCGCCAACCTGACGAGGCTTTCAGCACCTTCGTCGATGGTTAAGATGCCGGTATTGAGGCTCAAATCTGTTTTGACAAATCCAGGGCTGACAGCATTGATGCAGAAACTTGGATACTTGTTGGCCAGAATCCTAGTGTATGCATTCACGGCTGCTTTTGAGACTGAATAGGGTGGAAAGATAGGAGGCCAGCTTTTGGAGTCTAGAGAACCTTGTTTAAAGTCTTCCAAAAACCCACTAACCACAGCATCTATTCTCTCTTCTGTAAGGCTCTCAGCATCACTTAGTACCTCCTTAGCCCATGCATTTGGAAAATTCTTAAGCAAAATGAAATCAGGAGGGTTTTAAATTGATTTGAAAACAGAAACATTGCATCTACATGTAAATAAAAAGATGGATTTCTAATAATTAAACCTTTCACTACCACTGTTCAGATAAAATTTTGAAACCTTAGCATCACTAAAAAAGTGGTTTATTCTGGAATTTAATTAATCTTCTAATGTATAATCCCAGAGTTCCAATAGAGTTCATTCAGAAAAGAAAATCCTGCATAAGGGTTAGTACATTTCCATCAGCCCCGTTTATATAAGAAGAAACGAAAAATAGATTAAAGACAAAGAATTCTCCACACCATTTGTAAGGCAACTAAATTGACTGAAATATTTAGTTCAACTTATCAACCATATGAACAACCAGTGGAAACTTGATCTTCTTAGGAGAATGCCGAAAAAGAAACATCTTTTTGAATTTGCTCATACCGTTAGCTTAGAAACTCCTGAAGAAACATTAACGATTCTTGGTGAATTGGATAGCTGGAGGAGGGGCAAAAGTGCTGCAGTCACACTTTTTGTACCATAGTAGTTTGTTTTCAAGCATTCCTCTGCTAACTCGTAGTTTGATGTTGTCGATATTGCACTCCAATCGATTTCTTCAGCCTTCTGCATCCGGTGGAAGTTTTGGTCATTACTTTCCTAACTTATAAGATTACTAAAATTGTACAAGGATTGTTTTCACAAAGAATTGCATTGCCTAAGTCCCTAACCTCACCTCAAACAAGGAAAATTTTTTTGCATCTAACAAAATTTGGCATAGTTTTCTTATTAGAAGCACAGAAACAAATCAACAACAAGAAGCATTTCGACCAAAAAAAAACAAGAAGAAGAAGCGGTGTCCAATTTGGCTTTATAGTGTAACAATATAAGGTCCAGCCAACCATACCCACAAGCAAGTCACTCTTCTCAATTAGTGTTGCATATAATTCCAAAATCATCTTTACTTACTGATGAAGATATATATGATATATAATAGAAAAGCCTTACCTTACTACCACTTACAGCTGATTTAAAAGCTTCAGGCGTTACTATGCTTCCATTAATTGCTGCATTGTTTACCTACACAGTACAGAAAGATCCAAATGTTGCATCTTTGTTATGTTTTTTGCTCTCTATATTGCTTCAAGCAGTAAAAAAATCAACTTAAAATTTCAAGATATACCAAGATATCAAGTTTCCCAAATTGGGTTTTGACAAAATCTGCAAAGGAAGCAATGCTAATGGAGTCTGCTACATCAAGCTGATGAAACACCACGAGGTCGGAGAGGCCAAACTCTTTTAACTTTTCAACGGCTTCAATACCCCTCTTCTCATCTCTAGCAGCTAACACCACAGTGACCCCATTTGAAGCCAACTGCTTAACTGTGCCAAATCCAACCCCTTTATTAGCCCCTGTGACAACTGCATACCTGAGGAAAAAAAGAAACACAATGAAAGATCAGAAATGGGTGTTATTTATGTGGGCAAGAAGATTTGATTGGAAAGTCCAAACACCAAAGCATAAGAGGAACTTGGTATTATTACCTCTTTGTTGCTTCTGCCATTGTTATGAACTTTGCTTATTTCTTTCTCAGATTGTTTCTAGCAATTCTCATGCCATCATTTATAGTTGGACTTTTCTAGTTCTCGGATTACCTTCTCACCCTCGCTCTTTCCCAGCCCACCTACGATCATATATTGAGATTGAGATTGAGATTGAGAGTAGGCAATGAGGTCATATTTCAAACAATGTTGTGCATGCAATGAGGTCACGTCTCACCAAACTTTGACGTTTTCTTTTCTTCTTTTATAAAAAGTTTGAACCATTTGTTTTGGTTTAGTTTTCTTTCCTTTTTCTGGGCCTTTGGACCTCCTTTTTGAGCAACGGAAAAGATGAGTTTTGGGCCTTCGGCTTTTTTCTTCTATGTTTGTTTGGGCTTTAAGCCCTCCTCATTACCCTTCATCTAATTTTTTTTGGGGACAAATCCTTACCGTTCATCTCAATCAGAATTATCTAATGTCGCAAAACCAATCAACCAATCTTCATCATTTCATCTTCGAGCATTTACATTCGAGACTGGACCAAAGATAAGTCTTTCAGAAATTTAGCTCCGACACCATATTGATAATGTATGTGAGAAATAAAGCATGGTTTTATTTGTTTAAGCAAGAAGAAAAAGGTAAGACACATGAGAGAACTAGAGCAATTGTCAATCATTTACCAAAAGACAGAAAACTAGAGCATTGCATTGTATTTGGTGCAATTTGGATCTCATCAAATTGTATGATTAATTTGCCGGAGGCAGGCTGCATAATGTGAATAATTGTATGATTGATTAAGAGATCACATTAACTTGTGCCCGACGGTTTTTCTGTCTAAATTATAAATGCAATCTATTGTCTTTATTTCAACTTATTGCTTTTTTAATTAATTGTTTATCTCGTGAATCTCCTACACAAGCCCATCAAACATTTAGATTTAGTAGAGCATAATTGAATTAAGGAGCCATTGATGAGAGGGTAAGATGGTCAGATCAAGGGTAAGATGAGAGGGTAAGATGGTTGCACAAACTTTTTCCTTCTGATAATGAGAAACAGTGCTCCAGACTGTGTGTTCTGATATCTTGCATTAGACCTTGGGGTTGCTTTGCTTGTAACAATGGCATCAACATGCTCAGACAACATTTCTTGCATGAAATCCATATCATCATCAACAGTCCACGCATATACTTTCTTCTTTCTCCTGTTAAAACCAAGATATAATATTAAAGCATGAAATCTCATAACATGCATATACGCTAGGTACCACAATGTTTACGAATCAAGTCAAAGTCATGCCCATATTAGAATTCTCACAACTGACTCATCAATCGATGGGTGGTATACACCAACAACGACAGCACCTTTCATCCTCAGTAAGTTGGTTCTGGCCCTGGTAGACGGATCGATCATAACAATGTACCCGACCTGCATCATCATATATCATAGTGCGAACTCAAATTTCTTCACCTAACCCTTATGATCTATGATCAGTAGTGGATCCAAGATTCCAAACTTGGGTAGGCAAAAACTTACATACAAAGCTTGACAAGAGATTTTTTTGGGGTCAATAACTTGACAAGAGCTTATAGTAATTTACTATACCAAATTTTGCGTTTAGCAACGGATAATATCCATTGCCAAATCACCCTTCCTACCGTGGTATTACTTACCTTTGCCTATAACATTACCTTTATATATTTACAACATCAGTTCTATAATAAACACCGATGCTAAAGTTCCTTATGTGTGTGCCAAAAAAGTTGACCCCCGATGCCTAAACATGCAATGGCATTGGTAGTTTTAATAGTCATGATACTAAATACGGTTTATAACATAAGAATTTTATACTACACTAATGCATTTTTTGACTTACAACATCACAAAAACCAATAGTAGCAAATGCTACTTCTAGTTATAGACATCAGTTGTCTTATGAGTGATGTTGTTTTAAATTTTGAACTTTAGTTATTTGTGCAAAATTAGGTTGTTATGAACAATATCATGCTGTGTTGCCCATTGCACATAAAAAACATATATAATTTAAATATATCCAACACTACAATTTTTCCAACCCCACATATGACAACGAATTTTGAAAATTACATATAACAACAAATTTCTTCATTTATCAACCTTGAAATTTGAGTACAAAAGATAAATATAGTCTAACAAATCAAATAAATATAAATTAAAGTAAGTAACCCTCTATAAAAACTATCATAATAAATTCCAACAAAATACAAGAGGGAGTCTCAAATATTTGCGAGGGAGCATGGAAAATATTTTTTGGGAATTAGGACTACAGTAAAGAAACCATATAGGAATATGAATAAACATTTCATATTAGATATGTATTGCTATTTTATGACATGAAAAATTGTGAAGGCGTGTTGAATTTGTATCATGTGGGCACCTGAGAAGCTTTTTGGGAGATGAAGCTCATGCCTACCTTGCCTGTAACATCCCACATCGACCAACAGAGAGGAGGTACACTGTGCTTTATATGTAAATGCCCGCCTTAATCTAGCACAAGGCCTTTTGGGAACTCATTGGCTTCGGAGTCATGAGAACTTCGAAGTTAAGCAAGTTGGGCCTATGGCAATCCCAGGATGGGTGACCTACTAGGAAGTTGCTTGTGAGTTTCTAGAAACAAAACTGTGAGGGCATAGAGGGGGGCCCAAAGCAAACAATATCGTGCTACGGTGGAACCGATCTTGAGATGTGACAATTTGGTATCAGAGCTCCCTAGTGCCTAGTGCAATAAAGAAACTAGATAGGAATATGAATAAACATTTCATATTAGATATGTACTGCTATTTTATGACATGAAAAATTGTGAAGGCATGTTGAGCTTGTATCATGTGCGCACCTGAGAAGCTTTTTGGGAGCTGAAGCTCATGCCTACCTTGCCTACCTAGTGCCTAGTGCCTACGTTGCCCTTAGCGTAGGACCGCCACTGTCTAAGATCGTACAGTTCCAATGTTGGACGAATGAAATCAGTAACGTACTTAATGTATTAATTTCCATGAACATTGTTGATGTCCAAAATTGGATTCAACTTAGATAGAAGAAATGTGGAGTCTTCAACATAACTAGGGGGCTGTGGACCTTGAGAAAGGGGGATCTTCGGTCACAAAATCATACACTTCGAAGTTTTTCATCATTACTTTCCTAACTTATAGGAGAACGAAAATTGTACCAGGATTTCATCTGCAGAAACCACAAATTGTAGCATTGACATTGACTTATAAATTATAATGGACAAAGAATAAATCCACCAATACGAATTACTTTTATTGCAGAATCATCATAAAGAATCTCTAGGGAAGGTGATCACTCACATACCTCTAACATAAGTCTCTCAGCATCATTTGTTACATTATCGTAGATGAACTCCCGATGACCCTTATTCATGAAACATATGAAAAACCTCTGGGATCATCATAATTATTCAAAACGGGGTTGCTTCTTTGCATAAAAAGAAGTGGCCAGTAGGACCGCCATTGGGAAGTAGCGCCAACCTGACAAGGCTTTCAGCACCTTCTTCGATGGTTAAGGTGCCAGTATTGAAGGTTATATCTGTCTTGACAAATCCAGGGCACACACAATTGATGTAGAAGTTGGGGTACTTCTTGGCCAGAAGTCTAGTGTATGCATTCACAGCTGCTTTTGAGACTGTATAGGGTGGAAAGATAGTTGGCCAGCTTTTGTTTTCTACCAAACCTTGTTTAAGGTCTTCTAAAAGCTCAGCCAACACTGCATCTATTCTCTCTTCTGTAAGGCTTTCGGCGTCACTTAGCACCTCTTTAGCCCATCCATTTGGAAAAATCTAAAGCAACATGAAAAACATGAGAGTTTTGATTTGATAGAATACAGAAACATTAAACATTAAACCAGTAGACTTCATTAAACCAGTAGAAAACACTGATTAAGAGTTAATGCATTTCAAGTAGGCCCATTTATGAAAGAACTAAAGAAGAAGAACAGATTATAGGGACAGAATCCTACAAATATCTTTTATAAAGGCAAATAAGTGGACTGAAATATTACGTTTCGTCAACCATATTGACAACTAAATAAGTGGAACATGATCTTGTTAGGGGAATGTAAAAAGAGAAACATAAATTTGAAGTTTCTCATACCACAAGCTTAGAAACACCGGAAGAAACATTAACGATTCTTGGTGAATCAGAGAGCTGGAGGAGGGGCAAAAGTGCTTCAGTCACTCTTTTGGTACCATAGTAGTTTGTTTTCAGGCCTTCTTCTGCTAACTTGTAGTTCGGTGCCGTCGGTATTGCATTCCAACGGATTTCTTCAGGCTTCTGCATGCAGTAGGAGAAAGTTAATCCTCATGGAAGTTTTGCATCATTACTTTCCTAACTTATAAGAGAATGAAATTTGTACAAGGATTGTGTTCCCATAAAATTTCATTGCCTAAGCCCCTAACCTCACCTCAAACAAGGAAATTGTTTTGCATGTAATAGAATTGGCATAGTTTTCATTGATTCATAATTGGATAGCTAAGAACAAGTAGTTTTCTTATTAGAAGCACAGTCACGAATTGCAAAACATGAACAACAAGAAGCAGTATCCAATTTGACTTATGAAGAAGATATATATATATATATATATGATATATAACACAGAATCTTACCTTACCACTTACAGCTGATCTAAAATCTTCAGGCTTTATTTGGTTTCCAATCATTCCTGCATTGTTTACCTACACAACACAGTACAGCAGTTGCAAACATTTCATCTTTTTATGTTTATTTCAACGTAAAATGTAAATCAAAGCAAGTAAAATCAGTAGATAATTAGAGATTATGTATAATAAAAAATTGTAATAAATATTATGCTTGATTGCAATAAACAGTAAAAAAAAATCAACTTGAATTTCAAGATATACCAAGATATCAAGTTTCCCAAATTGTGTTTTGACAAAATCTGCCAAGGAAGTAATGCTAGAAGGATCTGTAACATCAAGCTGATGAAAAACCACAAGGTCAGAGAGGCCAAACTCTTTCAATTTATCAACAGCTTCAAGACCCCTCTTCTCATCTCTAGCAGTTAACACCACAGTGACCCCATTTGAAGCCAACTGCTTAACTGTGCCAAATCCAATCCCTTTATTAGCCCCTGTGACAACTGCATACCTGAAAAAAACAAAAAACAGGAACCCAATTTTGAAAGATAATAAGAAATGTCCAAGAAAATATGTATACTGCTTATTTGAACCAGGCACTACCTCTTTGTTGCTTCTGCCATAGTTAATGCTTCAGCTATCAGCTTATTTGTGGCTTATTTATAGGCCTCATACAGTCGACCATCATTTATACACTCAAAAGTCATATAGATATTTCAAATAACATTGTGTATGCAATGAGGTCATATGTTATGCTTTTGCATTTCAACTTTCAACCAACCATTCCTTTTGGTTCAGTTTTCAACCACACGCTACAATACTGGGGCCTTTAATCGATGCTTCTTCTAGGCTAGGCATTAATTTTATAAGGGATACAGAGTACAGAACTTCCAATCTTTCCGTATATCAACTTGAAATAAAAGTGAAAACTCAAGCAAAATGCGTTCTCTATTTCATGAATTTAAGAAATTTCAGCAATGCCAAAATTTATTTTATACTGCGCAGAATCTTCATATGAAATCTCTAGGGAAGTTGATCACTCACGTGCCCCTCCCCATCTATAACTCCCCCAATTTTTCATGTCACATTTGTACATAAACTCTGGAGGATCATTATTCCTATGTTACATTGTACATATACTATAAATATTCAAAAAGGAGTCACTTCTTGACGGAGAAAATAGAGGCCGGTAGGACCACCATTAGGGAGAAGCGCCAACCAGACGAGACTTTCGGCACCTTCGTCGATGGTTAAGACGCCAGTATTGTAACTTATATCAGTTTTGACAAATCCAGGGCTCACACAGTTGATGTAGAAATTTGGATACTTGTTGGCCAAGATCCTAGTGTACGCGTTCAAGGCTGCTTTTGAGACTGAATAGGGCGGAAAGAGAGGAGGCCAGCTTTTGGTTTCTGCTAAACCTTGCTTAATGTCTTCCAAAACACACCAAGCACATCATCTATTCTCACTTCTGTAAGGCTTTCAGCCTCACTTAGCACCTCTTTAGCCCATCCATTTGGAAAATTCTGAAGCAACATGAAAAAAAGAAGAGTTTTAATTTGGTTAGGAAACAGAAAACGTTGCATCTAAATATAATTGATAGATTGCTTACAATTTAACCTTTCACTACTAATGTTTAGCATCACAATAAGAATGGTTATTACTATCTCGAATTTTGAACAACCTTCCAAAGGGTTGAATTCAAAAAAAAAAAAAAAAAAAAAAAAAAAAAAAAATCAGGTCGATTAGTGAAAGAATTAACTAAGGAAGAACAGATTAAGGACAAAGAATTCTCTAACATCTTTTCTACAGAAACTTCATCAACGATATTAACAACTAGTTGAAACTTGAGAATACCAAGAAAGAAACACATTTTTGAAGTTGATCATACCATCAGCTTAGCGAAACGAGAAGAAACATTAACGATTCTTGGTGAATCAGATAGCTGGAGGATAGGCAAAAGTGCTTCAGTCACTCTTTTGGTCCCATAGTAGTTTGTTTCCAGGCATTCTTCTGCTAACTCGTAGTTTAGTGTTGTTGATACTTCACTCCAATCGATTTCTTCAGCCTTCTGCATTCATGAAAAGACATGTAAAACCCTGTTGCAAGTTTTGCATCATTACTCTCCTACACTAAAAGATACAAAAAAATTGCAGAACGGTTGTGTTCCCAGAAAGCCTAAGCCTCTAAGCTCACCTCAAACAAGGAAATTGTTTTGAATGCAGCATATTCATAATAAGGTAAGGTCCAACCAACCATATATGACCCAGAAGCAATGTCGCATCCAATTCCAAAAACCCCAATTACTTTTAAGATCACATATTATATGCAGAACCTTACCTTACCACTTACAGCTGATCTAAAAGCTTCAGGGTTCAGTTGGCTTCCAATAATTCCTGCATTGTTTACCTACACAGTACAGAAGTTAAAACATTTTGGATCTTTTTTATGTATATTTCAACTAAAAATATAAATTAAAGCAAAGCATGAATTTCAGTAGGCAATCAGAGATCATCACAATTGCAACATTTTGCTATCTCTATTTCTTTAAGCTGCAAAACTGAACTTAAAATTTCAAAACTTACCAAGATATCAAGTTTCCCATACTGGGTTTTGACAAAATCTGCCAAGGAAGCAATGCTAACAGGGTCTGTTACATCAAGCTGATGAAAGACCACGAGGTCAGAGAGGCCAAGCTCTTTAATTGTTCAACAGCTTCAAGACCCCTCTTCTCATCTCTAGCAGTTAACACCACTGTGACCCCATTTGAAGCCAGTTGCCTAACCGTGCCAAATCCAATCCCTTTATTTGCGCCTGTGACAACTGCGTACCTGAGAAAAAAGATATCCCCAAGAACCAAGAAAGACAATAAGAAATGGAAAAGTACAAAGCATATAGAAGAACCGGACAAGACAACGCTACCTCTTTGTAGCTTCTGCCATTGCTAATTAGCTTTCAGCTCACTCTTGGCTTCTCTCTAGTTTTCGCACCATTATTTATAGTTGCATTTATAGTTGCACCATTAGGCTTTTACCATCGTCTTATTCATTCATATCGTGTATGCAATGAGGTCATATCTCAAAAATAAAAATATTGTGCATGCAATGATGTCATATCTCACTATACCTCACCAAACCCAGTTATTAATTTATTATTACTTTCATGACCAGTTATTAACTTATTATTACTTTCATGACAAAAAAAAAAGGTTACTTTTACGTTTTTCTTTTTTTGCTATACCACTTTTTTGTCAATAACGGCAAAATTGTACTTTCCTAAATCCAAACTAACAAAGGCCATAATGGGCTTACTCATTGACTAAAAACTAACAAAAATATAAAATCACTTGAGCAAGAACCAAAAGTGTATAGGCTCTTTAGAAGATCTTAATTAGTGCGGTTTTCACATGTAAGCCCATAAATAAAGCCCTAGATATAAAAGAATTCTACAATACCCAACCAAATCTTAGGAAAAACCCCATTTGCCTTTTGGAATCAAAATAAGGAACTAAATTCCTATTACGGACACTCCTATGTTTACTTCACATGGAGGACTGAAAATGCGAGTGACACCCACACAAAAGCAGTAATTCAACTCTTGATTTTTAAGGAATTAGGCTCTTGGGTGGGAAGTGGTATTCTAATTCGTGGAGAACTAAGAATTCAACTTTTTTATCCATTACATTCTCACATAAGTTTTAAAATTCTAAATTTGGCATCTACTTTAACCCAACAACGAGGGCATTTTAGTAATCAATTTGGTTTCAATTCTAATTCATGTGAATTTAACTTGTAAGGAATTAATACCACTCTCTCCCCAATTCCATATGGTTTAATAAACAAACTTCAATAGGAATTCGGAATCTAACTCTCCTCAATCCAACTTCTCCTCAATTCAATTCCTCATAATCCGATTATGGATTAGTAAGCATGCTATATACTGTACAACCCTTGAAAACCCTAAAAATTACAACAATGCTATTAGTGTTTTTTTTTCTCTTTCCTAAAAATCATAATCCAAGGACAAAAATGATATTACTCATATAATTCAAATTAAAAATATTACAGTTCAGTTGGTCCTCAATTTTAGGGTGTATATATAAATTCAATGCAAGAAATGAATTTTATTATACATTTCTCTAAATTTTTCAGAATGCCCACTAATCAAGGCCCAGGAGCCTCAGTGTTTAGTTTCGCTTCTCTCTCTAGGCTTGGTTCCCCCATTGCCAAAAAAAAAAAAAAAAAAAAAAAAGTGGCACTGTGGCACCTAATTCTTTTTCTAATAAGAAATTATATTTTTCTTTCTGGGTTACCTGGAACAAGGAATGAAAATTTCAGATCAGTGATAAAGAACACAAAAAAATATTAAAATATTCAAAATAATATGGCATTAATAATAGCATTCCGATATTTTAGCCACTAAACAATTAATGAATGAACTGAATAAACTCAACAATAAGATCACGTGCATGCTCCCCAGGAAATCAGAAGGCTCGGCACAACTTGTTCTTGTTCAAAACCCGACCTCGTTGCGGCTTTAGCTTTGGTGAAGGCATAGGCAAGTTCTTGACGTCGATAACTTGAATTTTCTTTCGCTTGTTTTGGAACTCTCGATAGCCTTGGTGAAGCTTTCGAACACTAGTCTCCAACTTCTCTTCATCATCCCAATCTTGCCGATGATGAAGATCATGATCAGTAGATTTTGTGGGCCCCTTAGGATTTTGTTGGCTCTCCAAAAAATCAGAGAAGGCTCCGCACTTCGTCGAACCGGTCAATGGCTTGTTCTTGCTCAAAACCTGGCCTCGCTGCGGCTTAGACGGCAAAGGCAAGTTGTTGATGTCAAGAAGTTGAATTTTCTTTTTCTTGTTTTGGAACTCTTGATAGCTTTGGTGAAGCTTTTGCTTGCTATTCTTCAACTTCTCTTCATCATCCCAGTCTTGCCGTTGATGGTGAGCATCAGACTTTGTTGGCCCCGTAGGGTTTTGTTGACAAGAAGATGGTGGTGGAGCGCTTAGCATCAAGCGGAGGGTCTCCAAACTCTTCCCTTTGCCGTGGGATGGTGGTTTCTTGGGCTTCTCTTGAATTGCCATGTCGTGGTCATCAAGTTTGACGTCGTCGAACAAGTTGGAGGGATCGAAAGTCGCGGTTTCACTTTCAAGGATGAAGACAGCTTCGAGGTCGTCGAGGGGAGGGCAAGCGAGTCCAGCGAAGTCGTCATCGTCTACACCAACGCCAACAGGAGGGGAGGGCTCTCGCTCGCATCGCTGTTCCTTCAAAGCCTTCATCTTGTCTGAAAGAGAAAGTAGCTAGTGAAGTGAAGGGTCTCGATCGTTTGAAAGAGAAAATATTATAGCGAATTTTGGAAACCCTAAATCACAGTAGCTAGTGTTTACAAAAGCCTCACGCTACATATGTATTTATAGTTTCCTGTTTCCAAATCTCAATGGGAAAACCAATATTTAATTCAAATTAATTATAATGTACTTTTACAATTTGCCAACTCACGTTTGGATCTACTTATCTTGCTGTGAAAATATTAAAATATTCGAAACAATATGGCAAGAATTAAATACCCAAGTTTTCTGTTGGAGTTGGACTGAAATTAGCTTGGCTTCCAAGTTTTTTGTTTTCTTGATTTATTTTCCTGATAGGACAAGAATTAAATACCCTAATCGGACAAGGACTATATGAGAGATTGTATAAGGATAGCAAACCCATCTCACTTTTCCTTACTTTGTTTTTGTTGATCACTTTCACTCTTCACAGTTTACTTCATTCAATTTCTCATCAACTAGAACAAAGATTTCCCTTTTCGGTTCTCTGCCAATTTTGTTTTGTTGATCATGGCTTCTTCTTCACTGGGTTCTTTCAATCTCTCAAGTAGGACCAAAAGAGAAGGAGACGAAGCAGAAGACAAAGGGAACATGGGGTATTTGACAATGGAAGATTTTAAAGGCATGAATTTTGATTCTTTGTGTCCTTATGATCAACTGACATTGGTTGCCACTGTTCTTGTTGAAAAAACTGAGCAAGAGAAGAAACAATTGAAGAATGAGGAGCACTAGATACAGAGCAGACCCTCCTCATCACCACAAGTTTCTTCTTCTTCTCCAAATGCATCACCCCATTTTCATCCCTTGGTCCCTGGCTTGGTTCAAGGCAAATATGTCAATTGGGTGCAGCAGGGATACCCTAAGAAACCAAGGTCTGCTTCTAATTTTGGGCAAAAGTCAACAATGAAGACCAGCCCCCTTGCTACTGTTGCTGCTACTGCTACTCATGATGATCATATTCAGGGGCACAGAAGGAGTAATAATTATGGGTTGAAAAGAACTCCCAATCTATGTGGAGTTCAACAAAAAAGAACTCCCAAACCATTAGGGAGCCAAGAGCTACCCAAAGCTAGCTATGTTAGGGAGCCAATAAGCTCACCAATCAAAGTGTAAGGGCCAAATAGCTAATCTAAATCAAGTGTGGTGGCCAATAAGCCAATATGCTAAGGAGGCCAATTAGCCTACACCATGCTATGTACTATTCTCCTCAAATCTAATAAAATCACTTTGTTTCCCCTACAATTCTAACAGAAACAAAGGGCTCAAGTGGTGAAAATTGAAACAACAACCTGACGAGATGCCAAAAATATGAAAACTCTTCGTACCTTTAACGATCCCATGCTAGAAGAAAGACTGACAACTCTTGGTGAATCAGATAGCTGGAGGAGAGGAAGGAGTGCTTTGGTCATTTTCTTGGCACCATAGTAGTTTGTTTTCACACATACTTCAGCTAACTCATATGTTTGAGTCATTATTTCACTCCAATTTACTCCTACACCATCCTGCATCAAAGAAAGAAAGATTGCATTGAGCTAGTCCATTTTTGAAATTAAAGATTTGTATTTGAAATTTATATATGAGAAGTTTTAATCAAATCCACATATAATTTGGACTCTTTAAGATGCTAAAGAAAAACTTACCTTATCAATACCTGCAGCTGCAGCAGCTCTCATAGATTCAGGGTCTACAATGGTTCCACTAACCCCTGCATTATTTACCTACAGATTAAGTTAAAAGTTACCAGTAAGTAACATAGCGGAAAGTCAATGCGCTTTTCATAGTTACATGACCTTTTTTTAACATGAGCATGAACAGAGAGATAGAGAAGTTGATCATATATGGTTTCTTATCATACCAAGATATCTAGTTTCCCAAATTGGGTTTTGACAAAATCTGCAAGGGAAGCAATGCTAGCAGTGTCAGTTACATCAAGTTGATGAAAAACCACCAGGTCAGAGAGGCCACACTCTTCCAATTTTTCAATAGCTTCAACACCCATTTTCTCATCTAAAGCAGTTAACACCACCATGATCCCATTTGAAGCCAACTTTCTAACTGTTCCAAATCCAATCCCTTGATTTGAACCTGTAACAACTGCATACCTGAAATAAAAAGAAAAGAGAAAAGGAAAAATGGTATTAAAATTTAATGAAATATGGATTGTGGTGGCCAAGGAGTCTGATAGAAGTGAAGCTTTAAAACATCATGGAAGCAGCAGGTAGTACTTCTTTGCTACTTCTGCCATTGTTGATGGGATTCCAGATTTGCTTTCTGATTTCTGTATGAGCAATAACATGGGCTTTGTTTCTATAGTCATTTTTATTCTTATCATGTCCTTCAAAATATTCAAGTTCTGGTCTTTGATTACTCTGTCTTGTTTGCTGATAGATTCTTTTGTATATGCTCTCTTGTTTTTTGACTAAACAAATCAAGATTGACCAACAAAAGAAACAAATTAGCAAAGAATTGTCGGTGCTTTTGTATGGCCATTTTATAGTAGGTCCTTTTCTTAAAATAAAAATTAATTTTTAAAAACTATCATAAGTGAAAGAACACACCAATCAACCGATGCTTCAACTCTTGATTCATCCTACCTGGGACCCACAAGGAAATATGTAATTTCTTCATCTTTTGGATGCAATGGGGGCCCCAAGGCCCAGAGAAACAGTCCCTGGCTAGTGGTTTAGTGGGCTTTCTGGAATATGAATTTGGTTTACTGGGTCTAAAAGAATACAAATGAACTCATATAACATACAATGTATGGAATTATTCATCAATACAACATATAGAACAGCAGCTAGCTATGGCTTTCATTATTTTAGTTAATTACACTCAAAAGGGAGTGACTTCTTGAGAAAAGAAGAAGAGGCCAGAAGGAATGCCACTTGGAAATACTGCTAAGCGCATAACATTTTCAGCAGCTTCGTCAACGGTGAAGATGCCAGCATTGAAGGTCATGTCTGTTTTGACAAATCCAGGGCAGATGCAATTTACACAAAAATTTGGGTACTTCTTGGCCACAATTCTAGTGTATGCATTCAAGGCTGCTTTGAGAGTATATACGCAGAGAGGGCTGGAGGCCAGCATTTGGTTTCCAGCATATCTTCTTTGAAATCTCTTAGAAACTCATTCAAAACCTCTTCTATTCTCTCTTCTGTAAGTTTCTCAGCATCATTCAACACCCCTTTGGCCCATTCATTTGGTATAAGCTGAAGAAACATGCATCATAGGAGAATTTCAGTTGGCTCATTATGCGAAATAGGAATTTTGATTTTAAGGGATTAAGTGGTAAAATCTAATGAGGATGACAAAATATGAGAACTCTTCGTACCTTTAACCTCCCCCGGCCAGAAGAAATATTGACAACTCTCGGTGAATCGGATAGCTGGAGGAGAGGAAGAAATGCTTTGGTCATTTTCTTGGTACCATAGTAGTTTGTTTTAATGCATTCTTCAGCTAACTCATACGTCTGAGTCAACATTTCACTCCACTTGACCTCTACATCTTTCTGCATCAAGAAGAAGAAATTTTATATATTTTCTTGGTAATAATTATTGATTACCGTCCAATAATCCTCTACCAACTCCACCAAAGCAAACTATTGTGCATCTAATATCAGACATAGCCTTACTTAAGTTTCAAGTAATTTATATTTGATTGCTAATATAGCAACAATTTATCAGTACTCTAAGAACTCTGTAACATGTACTAACCAACTAATCAAGCAGCTAAGGTCCATAATCTCACTTCATAGGCTCGGAGGAACTCTATTATGGAGTGCATATCATACGAAAGGAGTCATTAGCGTCATGTAATGGAGGCTACAATGGTATTACAAAGATTTTATTCTTATGTGGAAATTTAAAGAAAAAAAGGGCATATAATTTAACTAGACTAGTCCACTGGATAAAATCTCCCCCTCAGTTAATTCCATAACATCAATCACATCCTAGAACAATAGTACAAACCATGTAAAGCGGAAAATTAAACCATGACTATGCTGACTAAGTGCTGCATTCCTAACCCCAACTTGCATTTTCTTACTGATCAGCTTACCTTACCAAGTCCTGCAGCTGCAGCAGCTCTGAGAGCTTCAGGGTCCATAATAGTTCCATTAACCCCTGCATTGTTTACCTATGGAAGTTCAACACTTCTCATCTTTGTTAAATCCTTGTCAACTACAATCATAAATGCATTGAAGAAAAAAATTTATCGATAATTTTCTAAATGAGCATAAAATTTGAGAAAGAGAAGCTGGTTATACATACCAAGATGTCTAGTTTCCCAAACTGGGTTGTGACAAAATCTGCCAGGGAAGCAATGCTAGAAGGGTCTGTGACATCAAGCTGATGAAAAACCACAAGGTCTGAGAGGCCACAGTCTTTTAATTTTTCAACAGCTTCAATGCCCTTCTTCTCATCTCTAGAGGTTAACACTGTCATGACCCCATTTGAAGCCAGCTGCCTAACTATTCCAAATCCAACTCCCTTATTTGAACCTGTAACAACTGCATACCTGAAAAAAAAGAAAAAAAAAGAAATTCACACTATAAATTAGTGAAATAAGGGTGTTAATGTGAACAAGGGCTTGAGATAGGTATGGTACCTCTTTCCTGCTTCTGCCATTGTTGATGGGAATTCAGCTTTCTTTTTCTTTTCTTATTCTTATTCTTGCATTACTATATATAACCTGGAGTTGTCTTCTACTATCATTTTATATTGGTATAATTGTTTTAAAATATTCAACTTTTGGTGTTGGGTTGCTTTCTTTCAAGTACAGATTACTTTTTATAGATTCCTTATTAGTTTTAAGTTTTAGCTTAGCAAAGCAAGACTGCTAGTTTGTAATGCAATGGCCAATTAGACCATATAAGACAAAGCAAAGCAACACTAGTCTTCTGGACGTTGACTTTCGACTGTATGAGAATTGCCCACCAACCATAAGTGATGCCCCAATTCTTAATTACTGGGAACCAATAAAGAAAATTATAATTTCTTATTAAAAAAGGAATTAAGTGCCGCTGCTCCTTTTTACTCTTTTGGGTACAAGTTATAACTTATGCTGATTTAGATTAGTAGGAAAATATGTATAAAAATTGATATTTCATCCAAAAAAAATCACTTGCACAGTGTTTACATATATATGGATGCAATGTATTAGCATCTGAATTGATTAACTCATCAGCAACAAAAACAAAAGCTAAGTAATCAGTTAATTACACTGCAAATGAAACCTGATCAATGAAAACCTGATTAGAAAATCTTTACAAAAAGAATATGAAAATCACAATTAGGGCCTTAAAAGTCTTCATCTTCCTGCTTCTTTGACAAATGAATCTGGTGTGCTCCTGTCCATAACTTCACTGCTACCCTCCACTCCTCTACTTCCTTGGCCACCGCATTCATCGCCAATATCAACAACATTGTCACTCTTACTAGAACTCCCTTCACTTTGGTTGGTACCAATTTTCCCAGCTCTTTTTACCACAATAATAGCCAAGTGAAGCTGATTGTTGTTAGCTCGGAAAGACCAAACTTGGATTACATCACCAGGAACCAGCTTGTTTTCCCTAACAACCTTACCCCAAGTAGTTCTCAACACATACGTTTTTGTTTCTGAGTTTGACAGCGTCCACATAGTCAAGTTTATCCCTTCTTTATCTTCAAGCTTAAGACTCGGATCTATAAATGGAACTTTGAGGGCAGGCGATGGACCTTTTAAGGAACCCTGATCGTGATTTTTCTTCTCTTTCCTCTCTTTAAGAGCTTCGATCTCACTAGGTGTGAGGAAATCGTTGCATAAGACTTGGTTTGGAGGCAATGAAAACCTGTTTAGACTGCCTTTTACATCACTTCTGAACAATTCCTTTTGTATGAGACATCTCAGCTCTGTGCCATTCATCTGGCCTATGATCATTTTCTTGAAATCTTCAGGCAAATCAGGACGATGGTGAAGAGTAGCACCCTTGTTGTTCTTGATGTACACCTTCTTCTTCTTGGGAGCAGCCCAATCTTTATCTCTATCATCATGATCATCATTGGATTTTCTTTTCAACCCATAATTATTACTCCTTCTATGCCCCTGAATATGATCATCATGAGTAGTAGCAGCAGCAGCAGTAGCAGGAGGGATGGTCTTCATTGTTGACTTTTGCCCAATATTAGAAGCAGCAGACCTTGGTTTCTTAGGGTATCCCTGCTGCACCCAATTGACATATTTGCCTTGAACCAAGCCAGGGACCAAGGGATGAAAATGGGGTGATGCATTTGGAGAAGAAGAAGAAACTTGTGGTGATGAGGAGGGTCTGCTCTGTATCTGGTGCTCCTCATTCTTCAATTGCTTCTTCTCTTGCTCAGTTTTTTCAACAAGAACAGTGGCAACCAATGTCAATTGATCATAAGGACACAAAGAATCAAAATTCATGCCTTTAAAATCTTCCATTGTCAAATACCCCATCTTCCCTTTGTCTTCTGCTTCATCTCCTTCTCTTTTGCTCCTACTTGAGAGATTGAAAGAACCCAGTGAAGAAGAAGCCATGATCAACAAACAAATTGGCAGAGAACCGAAAAGGAAAATCTTTGTTCTAGTAGATGAGAAATTGAATGAAGTAAACTGTGAAGTGAAAGCGATCAACAAAAACGAAGTAACGAAAAGTGAGATGGGTTTGCTATCCTTATATAATCTCTCATACAGTCCTTGTCCGATTAGGGTATTTAATTCTTGTCCTATCAGGAAAATAAATCAAGAAAAGAGAAAACTTGGGAGCCAAGCTAATTTCAGTCCAACTCCAACGGTAACTAAATCAGATGAATATCTTGATGGAGAGAGAGTATGAAAGTAACATAGTGTGAACGCCGCAAAATAGAAACTCTGTTATTCAGGTCAATGTGTGATTGACGCTTTAAAAACATTAGTGGCTAAAATATAGGGATGCTATTATTAATGCCATATTGTTTTGAATATTTTAATATTTTCACAACAAAAATTTAAATACATAAATAACCTACAAGTTTGATTGATGGAGATTATTTATTTATTTATTTATTTGGTGGGTTCTTTATTTTTTAACGGTGAAATAAGAATTACAAAAATTCTAATTACAAAAAATTAAGGAGATTATTGGTCAAATTTGGAGAAGAACAATAAGCCAATCTAGGGAAGATTTCTAAGATAGAAATTAATGAGCATGCATCCATTTAGTTAACAAACTAACTTGTCACATCACTGATTTATATAAATTTTAACAATATATTTTGTTACATTGAAAATCCAAGATTCTGCCCCAACGAATGACGTGTATTAGCACAAATTGCTCGTCTTCAATCATGCACATGATACTTCAGACCGAACAAAGAAGAGGCCAGAAGGACCATCATTGGGCAGCAATGCTAACTTCTGAACACTTGCAGCACCTTCTTCAACAGACAAGATGCCGGTATTGAAGGTTAAATCTGTCTTGACATAGCCGGGGCAGACAGAATTGATGCGGAAGTTGGGGTATTTCTTGGCTAGAATCCTTGTATATGCATTTATTGCCGCTTTTGAGACTCTATATGCAGGATAAACAGGCCAGCCCTTGCTTTCAATTGAACCCTCCTTGAAGTCTTTTAGTAGCTGTGTCAATACCTCATCTACTCTCTCTTCTGTTAGATATTCGGAATCACTAAAAACGCCTTTAACCCAATCACTTGGTATGTTCTCTAACTTCCCCGCGGAGGAAGAAACGTTAACAATTCTTGGTGAATCGGATAACTGGAGGAGTGGAATAAGTGCTTCAGCTGTTCTTTTAGTACCATAGTAATTTATTTGCAAGCATTCTTCTGTCAACGGGTATGTTTCAGTCAGAAATTTAGTCCAATCAATGTTTGCTCCTTCCTGCATCAGTACGCAGAAAATTATTCTTTGGCCCTGTTCTTATAAACCCACCTCAAACAAGAAAGTATGGTGATTAAAAGTTAGCGCATCACACTGAAAATACTATTCAGATCAAAGGAGTCAAAGGAGAACTTATATCTATATTTTCTTTCAGATAAAAAACCTATCAAAGTTCTGAATGTGGAAACTTTTACCAGGCAAGAAAAGTGAATCCATATAAGATAAGCAATGTATTTGTTAACTCTAACTTAATTCATATCTGTTCTAGGAAGCATCAGAATCTCAGATATATGTGCATTAGACTATTGAAGTATCTTAAGGAATTCTGGAATGGCACAACACAGATAATTTTCCCCTTGGAAAAAAGGCAAGGCATTAACCCCAACGTCGCAAACAGACCCTTGGCCAAACCACAGATAAAGTTATTTTGCACATTAGCAAATTGAAGAGTAACTTTTTGATATAGCTATGATAAGGTATTGTGTTAATAATATCAAGATGAAGTCTAACCAGAATCAAACAGCAACATATATAGCCAACATTAGAAGCTTCCCTCCTCAAACATCACCTTCAGTGTGTGGTGGAACAACAAAAAAGAAATGTACGACTTACCCCACCACCAGAATTTTCTGAAGCTTTAAAAGCATCAGAATCCAGTCCGACACCACCAATCCCTGCATTGTTCACCTGTAGATAATCAAATTCTTAGCTTCTGCAGCACCCTAAAAATAAGAAGGATAGGTTTTTTCAGAAGCATCCTATCTAGAAAATACAGAGAAAAAAGAAAGTTGAGAGATCCTTTGATTACTATGTTGGTCTTTCTTCTTATAACTAACAACAAAGTTCAAGCCCTTAAACGGCTTAGCTTTGAAGGCCAAATATGCTAGTGTGCCAAACCCATTAATGCCAGCCACTTATCTTTCTGGGGTAACTTACAAATTGAACAGAGGGATCAAATCAGATATGGGAGAAGAACTCAAAGACCGATTGACGAACAAAATTCAACTCTCACAATTGAAAGTGGTGACAATAAGATGATGGGTTTGTTGCCAACCACTCAATTTTACAGTCTCAACATCAACTCATCTATGCTTATATTCAAAGGGAAATTGGATTTGACGAATTAAATTGAAAAGACAGAAACTTTTCAGGAAGTGAGCTTTGATCTTACCAAGATATCGAGTTTCCCAAGCTGGGTTTTGATGAAATCTGCCAAAGAAACAACGCTTGCGGGGTCCGCCACATCAAGTTGATGAAAAACCCACTTGACCTGTGAGGCCAGACTCTTTGAGTTTATCAAAAGCTTCAAGACCCCTCTTTTCATCTCTAGCAGTTAAGACTACAGTGATTCCATTTGAGGCCAACTGCCTGACAGTTTCTAACCCAATCCCTTTGTTTGCCCCTGTAACAACTGCATATCTGAAAGAACAGAAGAAGAAAGCAACAACAAATTCAGGGAATAAAGTGAAACAAAAGAGATAAATTTTCGTATGGAGATACCTCTTTGTTGCTTCGGCCATGGATGATTTGAGAGACTCTGCAATTTCGAAGCTTTTGACTGTCAATAATTTTGAAAATAAGTTGACACTTTTAAGTGGGCCCCAACTGAGTAACAAATGCTTAAAGTAGGCCCCGTTCTCATGATGAGTTTGTTGATATAAGAATTAAAACAAATAAATAAATGGAAAAGAGAACTTTAAGTAGGCCCCATTTCACTCTTGTAGTCTCCATAATGCACCACGTGTTCATACCCCATTGCACTTGATTTTGTAATTCCAGTCAAGCCTCTTGGTTTGGTATGCAGCAGGACTGAATTAGATTGGTGTTAGATTGCATGAATGTTTACCATTATGCAAATCTAATGATTATCTTATGCTTTTGTAAGCTAAGCTGCTGGGTGGGGACCAATGAGTACGTGGACAATATCCTTCCACGTATAGCTAGTTAATCTGGAATCACAACGGAACATTATCTCCTTGGACCAATAGGAGTATCTGTAATAGGAATTTAACTCCTTATTTGATTCCAAAAGGCAAATGGAATTTTTCCTAAGATATATTGTTGAATTCTTCTATATTTCGGGCCCTATTTATGGACTTACATGTAAAAAGTGCACTAATTAAGATCTTCTAAAGAGCCTATATACATTTGGATCTTGCTAAAGTGATTTTATATTTTTATTAGTTTTTAGTCAATGAGTAAGCCCATTATGGCCTTAGTTAGATTGGATTTAGGAAAGTACACTTTTGCCCTTATTGACAAAAAAGTGGTATAGCAAAAGAAAAATAATAAAAGTAACTTCTTCTTTTTGGGGTCATGAAAGTAATAATAAGTTAATAACTGGGTTTGGTGAGATATAGTGAGATATGACATCATTGCATGCACAACATTTTTATTTTTGAGATATGACCTCATTGCATACACAATATGAATGAATAAGAAGATGGTAAGCCTAAATGTATCTTTCATAACGTAAAGTTGTTGGGAGCTTTGCATTTTGAGTATTATATTCAAATCGATTCGTTTGTTCCTATAATGTTTTCTAGAAGTCATTGAATGGGAAAGATGGAACAACATTTGCTTGGATTTTTATTTTGGAGTATTAGAAAAAAGAGGGGGCTAGTGACGCAAGTGCCCACGTTGTTCATAACATGCCAAGTCTCAAGTAGTTTTGCATTTACATTGGTGAATTGGCTGCTCCAATCCAATAACATGATTGTTAAAGAGACTCATGTTGTCTTTTTCTTTATTAAACAAACAATTGAATGTTCAATTCTTCAGTACACCTACGTCATTTCTTAATTAATAACGGATCGTCGATAACGTGTTAATATAATTATTGTCACATGTACATAAGAAGTATATACCGAAATGATATTAATAATTTCAATCAATGATGCACATCAATCACATAGAATTTCTTATTATAATAATGTAAATGATAATATGGGTTTAAGAGCCAGTTGATAAGTAGAAATGTAAACAAGCAATGTATTAGGGATGCAATCATACAGAACTATTGAATCTATGCCATCCCCGAGTCAATTTGAATGTAGAAAGAACTTAAAAATGATCTATTGCTGGGTCCATATACTTTGTTACATTAAAAGTTCAAGATACTGCCAAATAAATGACATGTATTAATTTTCATAAATGGATCATCTTCAATTAAAAATCTGACACTTCATAGTGATCAAAGAAGGAGCCAGAAGGGCCATCATTGGGCAGCAATGCTAACTTCATAACCCTTGCAGCCCCATCTTCGACAGGTAGGACACCGGCATTGTAGTTTAGATCTGTTTTGACAAAGCCAGGGCATAACGAATTGATACGAAAAGTGGGGTACTTCTTTGCTAGAATCCTTGTATATGCGTTCAGTGCAGCTTTCGAGACTACATAGGCAGACAAACGAGAAGGCCAGCCCTTACTTTCAAGTGAACCCTCCTTGAAATCTTTTAGAAGCTCGGTCAGTACCTCATCTACTCTCTCTTCTGTTAGGTTTTCGGCATCTGTAAAAACTCCTTTAGCCCAGTGGCTTGGTATGCGCATTAACTTCCCCAGGGAAGACGAAACATTAACAATTCTGGGTGAGTCAGATAACTGGAGGAGTGGGATAAGTGCTTCAGCTGTTCTTTTAGCACCATAATAGTTTATTTGCAAGCATTCTTCTGTTAACTCATAAGTTTCAGTCATTAGTTTACTACCAACTTCTAATCTCCCCTGTATCAGTAAAAACAAACTTATTATTATGGTCTCTATAGCCCACACCCACCACAAACAAGAAAAATGTTGACCAAAGTTTGAAATGAACATCACAATGAAAATTTTTCAAGCCATACATTGAAACTTTCAGGTTTTGATGGCTATTGAAAAATTTAATTCGAAAGACTTACCATTACCAAAGACTTTACTAAAGCTATAGGGCATCAGCATCTCCTATGGCTCCACTAATCCCTGCATTGTTCACCTGTGCAAAGCCAACTGTCTCACTATCTATTTTAATTTAGCAAAGAAAATAGAAAATGCAATTAAAAGAAAGTTGGTAGATTCTCGGGTTACTGAGATAATCTATATGGTTCTATACCCAACCATCAAGGCATTGCCAAATCCCTTAACGCCAGCCACTGATCTTTCTAGGGTACTTGTAAATTGTACAGAGGGTTCATATCATCTAGATAATTTTAAGAAGTAAAATATTCCACAACTGGAAGTGCACACAATAAGCAAGCATGATATGATAAATTTACAGTCTCTAATGTAACCTTCACCTGTGTGGATATTGTGTAAGCCTGAGACTTCGAATTATTTCAAAAGACCAAAACTTTTTTCAAGAAACCTGCAGCTATGCTCATACACATACCAAGATATCGAGTTTCCCAAACTGGGTTTTGATGAACTCTGCCAAGGAAGCAACAGTAGCAGGGTTAGCCACATCAAGTTGATGAAAAAACCACTTGACCTGAGAGGCCAGACTCTTGAGTTTCTCTGCAGCTTCAAGACCCCTTTCTCATCCTCTGGCAGTTAAGACTACAGTGAATCCATTTGAGGCCAATTGCCTCACAGTTTCCAATCCTATGCCTTGTTTGCTCCAGTACAACTGCATACCTGAGAAAACACAAACACCAAATTCATAACACAAAAATAGTGAGAAATTGTTATGGAAGCAGTACTTCAAAGCATAAAGGACTTTAAAGTGCTACCTCTTTGTTTCTTCTGCCATTGATATATTCGAAACGGGAGCGGTTTGTGAGAATTGGAGATTAATTAAAAGAAGGAGGAGCCTTCTTTTCTTTATAGTGTAATGTTCTTGGAAAGCCTTTGAATTTTTGAGGTCTATTCAAATATAATAATGAGAAGAAGAAATTTTTGATTCGTTTGTTCCTATATAAATACTGGATGTTTTCTAGAAGGAAAAGAACGGGGGTGGTGACGCAAGTGCTTAACTCAACTCAACCATCAAGTAATTGTATGGCATGTTTACTAATCCGTAATAAGATTAGGAGGAATATAATTGAGGATGAATTGAATTGATGAGGAGTTAGATTGAGGAGAATTAGATTCTAGATTCCTATTGAAGTTGTTTAGTAAATTATATGAATTGAGGGAAGTTAATATTCCGAATTCCTGCTTTTTTGTGGGTGCCACTCGCATTTTCATTCCTCCATGTGAAGTAAACATAGGAGTATCTATAATAGGAATTTAACTCCTTATTTTGATTTCCAAAAGGCAAATGGAGTTTTTCCTAAGATGTATTGTAGAATTCTTCTATATTTCGGGCCCTATTTATGGACTTATATGTGAAAAGTGCACTAATAAGATCTTCTAAAGAGGCCTATAAACTTTTGGGTCTTCCTCAAGTGATTTTATATTTTTTGTTAGCTTTTAGTCAATGAGTAAGCCCCTTATGGCCTTGTTAGATTGGATTTAGGAAAGTACAATTTTGCCCTTATTGACAAAAAGTGGTATAGCAAAAAAGAAAACGTAAAAGTAACTCTCTTTTTTGGTCATGAAAGTATAATAAGTTAATAACTGGGTTTGGTGAGATATAGTGAGATATGACATCATTGCATGGCAACATTTTTTTTTTTTTTTTTTTTTTTTTTTTTTTTTTTTTTTTTTGATATGACATATGACATCATTGCACAACATGAATGAATAGGAAGATGGTAAAAGCCTAAATGTATCTTTCTAGGAAAAAAGCAAGGGTAGGAAATGAGACTAACAGAAGGAGCCTTATTTTATTTTATAACGTGAGTTACTTGGAAAGCTTTTGTATTTTGGGTATATAATGTTTCTAAAAGTCATTGAATGGGAAAGATGGAACAACATTGCTTGGATTTGTGTTGGAGTATTAAGGAAAAGAGGGGCTAGTGACGCAAGTGCCCACGTTGTTCATAACATGCCAAGTCTCAAGTAGTTTTGCATTTAACATTGGGGAATTTGGCTGCTCCAATCCAATAACATGATTGTTAAAGAGACTCATGTTGTCTTTTTCTTTATTAAACAAACAATTGAATGTTCAATTCTTCTGTACACCTACATTAATTCTTAATTAATAACGGATTGTCAATAACGTGTTAATATAATTGTTGTCAACATATCATAAGTAGTAATACCGAAATGATATGGATAATTTCGATCAAAGGATGGACATCAATCACATAGAATTCTTATTATAATAATGTAAATGATAATATGGATTCAAGAGCCAGTGAGAAGTAGATATGAAACAAGCAATGTATTAGATCCTTCATCAATTCCAGATGTGGAATAGAGATGCAATCATACTAATCTATGCATCCTCGAGTCATGTGAATGAAGAAAGAACTTTAAAAAGGATCTGTTGCTGGGTTGTTACATTAAAAGTTCAAGATCCTGCCAATAAATGACATGTAATTCATTTGCATAAATGGATCATCTTCAATTAAAAATCTGACACTTCATACTGAACAAAGAAGGAGCCAGAAGGGCCATCATTGGGCAGCAATGCTAACTTCATAACCCTTGCAGCCCCTTCTTCAACAGGCAGGACAACGGCATTGTAGGTATATCTGTTTTGACAGAGCCAGGGCATAACGATTGATACGAAAAGTGGGGTACTTCTTTGCTAGAATCCTTGTATATGCGTTCAGTGCAGCTTTGAGACTACATAGGCAGACAAAGGAGAAGGCCAGCCCTTACTTTCAAGTGAACCCTCCTTGAGTCTTTTAGAAGCTCACTCAGTACATCATCTATTCTTTCTTCTGTAGGGTTTCGGCATCTGTAAAACTCCTTTAGCCAATGGCTTGGTATATGCATTAACTTTCCCAGGAAAGACGAAACATTAACAATTTCTCGTGAGTCAGATAACTGGAGGAGTGGGATAAGTGCTTCAGCTGTTCTTTTAGCACCATAATAGTTTATTTGCAAAGCATTCTTCTGTTAAACTCATAAGTTCAGTCCATAGTTTACTACCAACTTCTCCTCCCCTGTATCAGTAAGAACAGACTATATTATGGTCTCTATAGCCACACCCACAAACAAGAAAAATGTTGATCAAAGTTTGACATGCACATCACAATGAAAAAATTTTCAAGCTAGAGAGGAAGAAAGCATGATAACTTATGTGCATATTATTTATTTATAGCAAAGGGCTTCAAAAAAAATTATGGATAGAGAGCAGAAAGATTTATAGGTGAGATAAGTAAATCCAGAAAGGTAGCAGCTTATTGGAACTCCCAAATCAATTAATGAGATCATTTCCCCTACTAAAAACGGGCAAAGCATAAGCGAAACAGATCTTTGGCCAAACCAGAGATCAAGAAATTTTCACATTAGCACAAACATGTGAAGGTTTTTTTTATTTTTTTTGATTTTATGACTAGGGGGATCAAACCCAAAACAAACAGACTACGAACTGTCCACAAACTAAACGGGTGCTAACACCCCTAACATATCATCAATCAAGAAGGAGCTAATCCAGATAGGCTCAGAGGCAAAATAGCACACTCCCAACACATTACAGCGCATACATGAACCTCTTAGGTTTGATAGGAAATTAAAAAATTATTCGAAAGACACCATTTCCGAGACTTTAATAAGCTAGGATTAGGCATCAGGCATATCCTGTGGCTCCCCAATCCCTGCAATGTTCACCTGTGCGAGCCAACTGTCTCACTATCTATTTTATTTAGAAAGAAAAGAATAATGTAGAAAAGCAATTAAAAGAAGTGGTAGATCCTCGGGTTACTTCGATAATTGATGGTTCTAATAAACCAGCCATCAAGGCATTGCAAAATCCCTTAAACTTCCAGCGCAATGATCTTTCTAGGGTACTCGTAAATTGTATAGAGGGTTCATATCAATCTAGTTAGGACTTAAAAAGGAAATCTGCCACAACTGGAAGTGGATGATCAATGCAAGCTGATAGATCAATTTTACCAGTCTCTAATGTAACCTTCACTGTGTGGATATTGTGTAAGCCTGAGACTTTTAATTATTTCAAAAGACCAAAACTTTGTCAAGAAATCCTGGCAGCTAGATCATAACATACCAAATATCGAGGTTACCAAAACTGGGTTTTGATGAAACTCGGCCAAGGAAGCAGCAACAGTGAGCAGGCGTTAGCCCACATCAAAGGTGATGAAAAACACGGTGACCTGGGAGCCAGGGACTATTTGAGTTTCTTGCAGCTTCAAGAACACCTGTATCATATCTGCAGTTAAGACCTCAGTGAATCATTGAGGCCATTGCCCACAGTTTCCAATCTATGCTTGTTGCCACAGTAACAACTGCAGACTGGAAAAAAACAAAAAACACCAAATTATAAACACAAAAATGATTAGGCAGAACAAATGAGAGGGAATGGAGATGTGACAAGGAACCAAAAGGATAAGGACTCTAAAGGCTACCTGCTTTGTGGCTCTGCCATGAGATGCGATTGGGACGGGTATGTGAGAAGGAGCCTAAAGCAGAGGAGGATTTGCTGTTTGTTTTATAGTTAAAATGTTCTTGAAAAAAGGCCGTTTGTTCCTCTACTGAGAGGAAAGCAAAGAGGTGGTGGCCGGAATGGTTCTAGAAGTCATTGAATGGGAAAGAGGAAACATTTGCTTGTGATTATTTTGTTTTGGAAGTCTTAAGGAAAAGAGGGTGGGTAGAGGAAGCAAGTGCTCCAAAGTGGTTAGAACATGCCAAGTATCAAGTTGTTTGGCATAACATTGGGAATTTGTGGCCAAATCCAAAAACATGATTGTAAGAGGGACCAGTTGTCTGTTATTCTGTATTAAACAATGAATGGTCAAAGTTCTTATGAAACCTAAGTCCTTTATTAATTAATGAACGGGATGGCATAACGTGTAATATATTGTGTCAACATGTCCAAAGATAAGTATAGTACCGAAATATATTGATAATTTTGCGATCAAGGATGGACATTAAATCACATAGAATTTCGTATTATAATAATGAAAGGAGACTATGGGGTCACGAGCCAGTTGATAAGTAGAAATGTTAATGTAAACACGCAATGTATTAGGATGCCTCATAAGGACTATGAATCTTGCCATCACCGAGTCATGTTGACTGTAGAAAGAACTCTTTAAAAGGATCTGATGGGGGTCAATATACTTGGTTAATTAAACGTTCAAGATCTGACAAGACTGACATTGTATTTATTTTATAATGGATCACTCAATTAAAAGTCGACACTTCATTGTGAACAAAGATGAGAGGAGGCCAGAAGGGCATCATTGGGCAGCAAGCTAACTTCATAACCTTGCAGCCCATCGGCGACGGTAGGGAAACGGTTATGGTAGGTTAGATCTGTTTTGCAAAGCCAGGGCATAACGATTGATACGGAAAAAGTTGGGTACTTCTTTGCTAGAATCTTGTATAGCGCTTCAGTGCAGCTGTTAGAGGACACATAGGCAGACAACGAGAAGAGCAAAGCCTACTTACAAGTGAACCCTCCATTGAAATCTTTAGGGAAGCATCGGTCATCACCAACTATACTCTCTCATCTGTTAGGTTTAGTCGGGTTTTTTTTTTTTTTTTTTTTTTTTTTTTTTTTTTTTTTTTTTTTTTTTTTTTTTTTTTTTTTTTTTTTTTTTTTTTTTTTTTTTTTTTTTTTTTTTTTTTTTTTTTTTTTTTTTTTTTTTTTTTTTTTTTTTTTTTTTTTTTTTTTTTTTTTTTTTTTTTTTTTTTTTTTTTTTTTTTTTTTTTTTTTTTTTTTTTTTTTTTTTTTTTTTTTTTTTTTTTTTTTTTTTTTTTTTTTTTTTTTTTTTTTTTTTTTTTTTTTTTTTTTTTTTTTTTTTTTTTTTTTTTTTTTTTTTTTTTTTTTTTTTTTTTTTTTTTTTTTTTTTTTTTTTTTTTTTTTTTTTTTTTTTTTTTTTTTTTTTTTTTTTTTTTTTTTTTTTTTTTTTTTTTTTTTAAGGCGACAAGCCTCATCTCCATTGCAGACAAGGCTGCTTTACGAAGCACAAACTCAATGGAGTCTTTTTCGAGCATTGTGTCCCTGACATGCGCTCGCAGGCGACAAGCCTCATCTCCATTGCAGACAAGCTGCTCCACGAAGCACGAACTCAATGGAGTCTTTTTCGAGTATTATGTCCCCGACATATGCTCGCAGGCGACAAGCCTCACCTCCACTGAAGACAAGCTACTCCTCGAGTACAAACTTCATGGAGTCTTTTCAAGCGTCATGTCCCCGACATACGCACACAGGCGACGAGCCTTACCTCCATTGTAGGCAAGCTACTTCACGAGTACAAACTCAATGGAGTTTCTTTCAAGTGTTGTATCTCCGGATATACACTTACAAGATACAATGAGAATTGAAGTTTGAAAGACAACTGAAAATTCCATAACAAAGCGGCCGACAAGCACCATCTACTCAACGGCCTCACCTGCCTGCTCCTTCGCATCTGGCCTAGCCTTATCAGCTACGCCACCTTGGGAGTTGTCTTCCTCCATTGCAGCTTCATCTGCTATTTGCTTTTCAACTGCTTCTTCATCCACAACATTGCTCTGCTCACTTTGAGCAAGGGGCAGGTCAAGATAAAGCTACTTACCGTCTTCATGTTCGAGAGGGCAACAAGGAGAAGCACTATTCCTGCAATCCAAGTATCCCAGCTTGTACGCATTAGCAACGATCTCATGCTTGGATGCCTCCGTGGCTTCAACATGAGTGTCGAACTTGACCAGCGGAGCTATCACCAACTTCTGGATCGGCAGTTTGCGCAACTTAAGGACTCTTTGCTCGAGCAGACGACTCTTTAGCTCTCTTGGCCGAAACTCGCAACATTGAGTCAGCTCCGTGCTTGACTGTTCGTGGCTTTGCAGACGAGTCGTGATTTCTAGACAAATGTACAGTCCTCTCAGTTTGATCCCAAGATCGGCACAAGCAACTCAAACCCTGCTTCTCAACAGCCTCCTCACAGGGTAGATCATGGGTTTTAGGCAGTTCGAGCGGATACCTGAGCAGAATGTCCCAGACCTCCTGCATGCCATTGATCTTCTTACTGTTCGTGCTGACAAGGCGCTTGATCCTGGCAGATGAAGAAGCAACTCCCATGGGGACATTCCCAGCAAACGAGACCCCCTTACGGAAGACTTGCTCGTGGAAGAATGAGGAAGCTTGGTCGAGGACTTCTCCCGCTCAACTGGCAGATCATCTAGGTCCGAGCCATGCAGCTCCCATCTTTCAACATCTTCGGCTGGGGGCAGACCATCAGCCTCCTTCTGATGTTCACTCAGCAACCAGCGCAATCCACAGAACCTGGCAAGGATGTTTAAAGCTTGATGAACATTGATCGTGTTCGAGCCGAGATTGAGCTTCTTGTGGATGTCATTTTCTACAAGCATGAGACAGAAGTCAGTCAAACACACAGCAAAGAATTCCATGGCAACTGTAGCAGATCATAGGGATGCAACTTACCATCACAGTAGGTGAGAGGAATGAGCGGACCGTCGCCAACCTCCCCTACCCGTCTGCCGCTGACTTCCAACATGTCCGTGCTCCACACGTGATCGCCTTGACTCATACTGTTCCTAGTTCGTGACACAAAAAGAAGAAGGAATTGAAGCAGTTTGGATCAACCACAAATAAGCCGACCCAAACTGCCACCTGCTCCAGCAGCAGGCCAGCTTGCCTCCAGCCCAGTTATAGCTGGACAACCCAAGTCAAAGACCAGTTGGCAAGTCAAAAGCCTCCTCCATTCAGGAGCCCAAATCCAAGGAGGAAGCCCAATTACAGCTGGACAGCCCAACAAACAATTCACATCTCCTACATGCCACCACGTGCCATGCAGAAGCTGGGGGGCATTTGTGGGAACCGAATTAAATCATACCCTAGGTCAAATAATTCCTTCCATTTGGGGATTATTTGACCTATTTGGGAATTACTCAACCTAATTGGGAGTTACTCAATTTAATTGGGAGTTACCCAATTAAATTGAGAATTACCTAATTAAGTTGGGAATTGATTTGATTCCTACCCCAATTCCCAATTAAATGAGGAGTTACCTAATTAAATTAGGATTTGATATGATACCTACCACGATTAGGGATTTGATTTACCCAAATAAATCAAATCCCTAATTAATCAAATCAATGCCAAATCAGGGAGGAATAATTCCTTACCAACTACGGAATTATTCCTCTGAAACCCTAATTTCCGAGACCATTATAAATACTTGGCTACGCACAAAGGTCAAGGTACGTCTAAATTCCTACTGAAACTCTGCAGAAATTATTTCTCACAAACCCTAGCCACCACTTTCTTTCTCTCTCTTACACAAGGCTCCGGCCACCACACACGGGTCCGGCCACCCGGTTTTCCTTGAAATACCCTACCTAACTTAGGCATCGGAGGGCCTTTGGCCAACACCCCCCGGGTGTGGTCCTTTTACCCCGATCTGTTTTGCAGGGAGAAAGAGAAGTGGAGAAGACGAAGGAATCTTAGACGAATATTCTAGTGGGACGAAATTTGTACAAACATTATGGAACAGGTAGGTTATAATTTCTAGAAGCTTCCAATTGAAAAAACTACTGCAAGTATTGATCTTAGGGAAAAAGAAAAAAGCGATTTTAGAAGATTTCAGTGGAAAAACTATTACAATTCTGCTGTTCTGTTTCCAAAACTCTCCTTGTTCTGTTGGTAGAATAAGTTGCATTTATAGTCATGCCCACTTGACTGAAAACTGGAGGAATTTCTCCTTTTTAATCACTTATTTGCTGCAGGCTTATGATTATATATCACCAGTTTTGTACTTCTCTGTTTGATAGAGATGAATATTATGCTCAGCTAGCTTGATAACTCTGAGACCACCTTTTGCCATTTGCCTAGGTTATTTTCTAAAGGTGAAGTTTTTAACCTGAATTCACCAAATCTTGATAGATCCCTGTTCTTTTTCTTTGTTTCTAAATTGTTAGTGTAACATGATGTGCTTAAAAAGCTTACCCTGGACTGAGTTTGAGGAGCAATTAGTTCAACTACAATATGTTCATTGCGCATGACATGTAGTTATATCCCTTTTATAACCTTGAAAACTTTACCAGTGTGACACAATTGCTTGCAATTTTTAAATATTTTGAAACTCATTGTTTTTTTAGAAGTGTACTTTGAAGCTGAGCTGGTACAATTCATAATGCTTAGATGTATAGTACCCTGCCTGCAGTATGATGCCATTTTCAGGCCTCAGATTTTAACACTTCAGGGATCCTTTGCCATATTTGAGGATTCCTCATAGTACCTCTTTTATCGTCAAATATATATATGTGAGCCTTTATAGCTGTAATCTCAACTTTTTGTGCTTTCTTCCTGGTGTGTGGATTTTTGAAATTCAATCTCAGAGTGGTATGCTATACCGTGATGCATTACTTTGAAGATGTCAAGAAGAATGAAAACTCGGTTGCCATCAGCGGGCAGCACGAATGTCCTGATGTCTTGAGTTATTTTGAATCTTCCATCAACCTAGCAGATAATTGGTTGAACTTCATTCTGGAAAATGATCTGGGATATGGTCTTGTTTGCATAATTTGTTTCCTGGAAAGCTTCACTCACAGATATACTGAGAGTAAATGTTGTCCTTATTTGGTCGAGACTTTTCATTCCAATTAGTATATGCATAACATCGGCTACCTTTAGGATTTTTTGGAAGAACCTTTATATGCCCTTTCAGGATCCACTGTGCCCATTCGTGTTAGAAGATTTCTGTGGAAAAACTATTACAATTCTGCTGTTCTGTTTCCAAAACTCTCTTTGTTCTGTTGGTAGAATAAGTTGCACTTATAGTAATGCCCAGTTGACCGAAAACAGGAGTTTCTCCTTTTAAATCGCTTATTTGCTACAGGCTTATGATTTTATATAACGAATTTTGTACTCATCTGTTTTGGTGGAGATGAATATTATGCTCAGCTAGCTTGATAACTCTGAGACCACCTTTGCCATTTGACTAAGTTATTTTCTAAAGTTGAATTTTTTAAACTGAAGTTATATCCTCCCCTTCGCCAGTGACAGAAATCATAATTTTGTAGCAAAGCCGTTGGTTAACAAGTATGGGTTAATCGTAATTTTGTAGCGGCGACATGGGTTAACAAGTAAGGGGTAGGGGCGTGTTGAACGAGTCCAATTTTCCTGTCACAAAATACCCTGTGCAACCCTGTTTCCCTTTTAGTTTTTGACATGTGGCAAACCACTTAACATCACTTAGAGCCATTCCACCCATGCCACAGAGCCTTAGGCTGGGGAAAAAAAACAAAATTTTCGTTTCCAGCGATGAGCCCAAGCTCGGGCAACACGTGGGTCCTACCAAGACGGGCTGGCCCGAAGGTTAGTTCAGCCCGAGGTCCAAAACGAAGGCTAGTGATGATGTCATCGCTGACGCCAAGCGTCAGCCCTGACGCCAAGCGTCATCCCACTAATGTGATTTTTTTTTCTGTTGCCATGTGGCGTCGTCTGGGCTCTTCGATTTGATTTTTTCATCCAATCCAACGGCAGCCAATTTTTTGCAATAAAATACTGGAAAATTTTTTAAAAAATACCCAAAATTAATGAATTTTTTCTATAAACACCAGCCAAATTTTTTTAAAATTTATATGAAATTTGAAATTGAAAATTTTATCCGATTATGAGATATGAATAGTATGACAAGTAGGAATTCGAAATCTTATCCGAAAATATTATCAAAATTAATTATTGAAGTAAAAAAATTTGTGAAAAAAAAGAAAAAGAATAGTAATTGCCCTTAGCCATGGCAACATGTGGAAACACAAAATCCTATTTGCAAGGGCAACCACTATTCACGTGAATAGTGGCTGCCCTAGCTCCCCCCTTGCCATGGCTAAAGGCAAATGGGTGGAGTTGCTCTTAACTCTGTTAAGTTCACCTCCCATCATCCAACCCACCCAACCAAACCCCATCCTTCCCCCTCCGACTTAAGCCCTCTCGGATCCAACCCAACCCGCCACCACTGCCTCTCTCTCTCTCTCTCTCTATCTCTCTCTCCGACACAGCCAAACTCCACCCTTCCCCTGCTTAAGTTCATCCATCTCTTCCATTCAAGTTCTCTACCTGATGCTGCTTTAGCCTTCTCTTTTTCAGCCACAACAATCTCACACCCCGTCCTCTCAGCCCATATCTCCAGCTGGTCACAGGCAGCTGCTCGAAATGTATCCCCTGCTGCCATCAATACCCGGCACAATTTCAAACCACAATGCAATTTAGACCAGAAAAGCCATGAAGTTCAGTTTTGCTCCCTTTGTAGTTAACAAGTCCAGCACACTCTTCTTCAATGCTTCCTACAAACAACCCAATTCAGATACCGCCACATTAAAATTTCACGCACACACAAATCAACTAACGAGCACTCAATTTGATTGATCAGAAAATTCAGGACCCTCCACTCAAGTTTGTTTTATTTACCTAATTATGTAATATAGGGCAATGTTGGGTACTTTTTGGAGCCTAAAATCATAATAAAAAAAAAAATTCAAAAAAAAAAAAAAAAAAAAAAAAAAAAAAAAAAAACAAAAAATGCTGCCAAATGCTGCTGCCTATGAACATAAAAGGCTTTTCAATTGTTAACATTACCTTTATTTCGCTTCCAGATTTCAGCTTCCCAGCAACTATGTCCTCCCTCAAGCTTTCCACAATCTTAATTGTGATTTTTGGACCAAAATCCGATACCAGCAGAGCCTGAAACCGAAAACAACAGAAATAATCAGATTTTCCACGAAAGCATTTCTTTTTTCTCGAGAAACAAACAGGGGGAGAAGAAAAACCTCTTCGAGTTCGTCGAGGACTCGATCAGTGTCAGCGAGATAACAGTAGAGCAAGAGCTCGTCGATGACAGCGAGATTATCGCGAGTCTTGGAGAATCCCGAGGAGAGCTTCTCTACGTCGCTCTTGGCCTTCTCCTTGATAAGCCTTCCGAGCCCGGTGAAGAACCAGGTCTGGCCCGCCCGGCATTCGAATCGGGAAATTTCGGGTCGGGTAGGGGTTACAAGGAGGTTGTGGTTTTGAGGTGGTGAAGGTTTGGAGAGGAGTGAGAGCCGATGGAGAGACGAAGGCAAAGGCGAAGCCATTCCTTTTCAGATATCAGATAATGCGGAAAGTTTTGCAGCGGGTCTTCTTGTGTGTTGGCTTGGCGCCTTAGACGACGACGTCGTATTCAACTGTGAGTGAAATTGAATTGAATTAAGTTTTATATATTCTTTTCTGAAAAAAATGATTCATTGAATTGAACCTAATTATTTTTAAATTAGAGATTGTATTAGGAATCTCTAAATTTATCCATCCAAATAGAATCTTATTGATGTTGTCTTTTTAACTTTGCACCTGGGAATTTTTTTACCTTTTTGGTATAATTGTTTTGTTTTTTGGTTGCCTTTTAGCTATATAAAATGTGAACCGACGATCTGTATGGACTCTCCGATTGCGTGTTTGTGTTTCCACCTTCATTTTAATTATACGGGATTTCGAGGTCGTTTCCTAGAAATTTCATCATTTTTTATTTTTCATTGTATAAATAAAGTACTTTAGAAAGAAAAAAAAAAAATTGTATATGGAAAGTCAAACAAAAAAAGGTGTCTTAGCTGAGAGCTTCTTCTTCACACGTCGGATGGAAGGGTAGTTTAGTCCAAATACTCACGTGTGACTTATATGATAGAAAGAGTGGGTTATTGACCAAAATTATTTCAATATCATTTTGGTCCATCAACTAAAATTTTCATTTGAACCGTCCTTCAACTCTTCATTTGGTATCAAGATAGTCTTACCATCAAAGTCTATCAATTTTATTGTTAAATTGAGGGGTAAAACCGTCCATATACAATTACCAAACTCATTCCTCATCTCACAACTTCAACCCATATATCCATCTCTCTCGCGACTCCAACCCACATCTCAGCCTCCTTCATCCTCAACCCAACCCTCCTTCCCCACCCCCCTTGATCTCTCGCATAAAGTAGCAATTTCAAGCCTAAAGGAGCCCCACAAATCAGACTAACCCGATTCAAATATAAGCCATACCCAACAAAAACAACCCCATATCAGATCTGAGTTGGTGTACATAGAGAGAGAGAGAGAGAGAGAGAGAGAGAGAGAGAGAGAGAGAGAGAGACCCCCATTCATAGGTTTTTATTTTCGTAGCTTTTCAGTAGTAAGGTCCGTCTAGTAACGTTTTCGAAGAATGTTTTTTGAGAATATTTTCAGAGAATGAAAATAAGTAAACAAATTTGCATTTTAAGAAATGAAAATGCGTCTAGTAGATTAATTAGAAAACAAAAAAAAATGAAAACGTGTTTCGTAATACAATTTGATAATAATAATAATATGAATTATTTTTCAAGTGTATTTTGCTAATTTATGTTCTAAAAAATATTTTTTTAAATATATAATTTGAAAAATAAAAAACCATATTGTTTTTTAAAAGTTAAATTTATTTTTATCTTTTTTTTCTTCCTCTTTTCTTATTTTTTCCTTTTCTTTCTTCTCTCTTTTCTTCTCCCTTCCTAGGCCATTCCTTTGTTTCTTTCTTCCTATACTTTCTCTTTTGTTCTCCCTTCCCTCTTTTTTACTATCTCTTCATGCCGCCGCACCCACTCATTCCTTCCATGGCATGAATCCTATATCTCTCTCTCTCTCGCTCTCCCCCCTCTCCCTTTAATTGGGTGGTGATGGCGATGGTGATGCTTTGATTGGGTATGGGTGGTGGAGGCGCTAGGGTCGATTGCTTTTTTTTCCAGGTGGCGATATGTGTATTGGGTTCGATTGGGTGTTTGGTGGTGATTCCATTGGCATGGTGGTGGTGTTGGTGTTAGTGTCGGTTGGGTTTCATAGGTGGAAGTGATGTGGGGATGGGTATGTGAGGTTTGGTGGCAGTGGCAGAGTCAGTGGCTGTTGAGGTGATGATGGTCTTACAGTCGTGGCCGTGCTAAGTTTGATTTTCGTTTCGTTTTTGTTTTGCTGGGTAGAGTGATGGGGTTGTGCGTTTCTATTCTTTTAGGCGTTTGTTTCTTGTGAGAATGAAACATAATTTTTTTTTTATTCTGTTTTTCCAAAGTACAAGTGATGTTCTCATTTTATGAAAACATTCTCAATGTTTTCTGTTTTAGTCCACCGAATAGATTCTTGGTTTATTTTGTTCTCTGAAAATAAAAACGGGCGCTAAAAACTTAAATGAAAGGCCCCTAATTATCTTGGATTTGGAGGGGAGAGGGAGAGAGAGGGTGTGGGTCATGGTGAGAGCCAGAGGCGGCCCATGGGGTGCGCGACCACGAAGGGCCCCCAAAATTTAGGGGCCTCCAAATTTTTTCAAGTCAACACATAAATTAACTACAACATGAAAATAAAAATGAAATATTAATATCACCCCACAATACCACATGCAAGGCACCAAAACCAAAATTGAATTGAATATTAATTATCAACAAATTCTACGACTTAGAGAGTAGAGGCCCTAATTTAATTCATTTTCCTCTTCCCAACTCTCACGCTGCAACTCTTCTTTTTTATTTATTTATTATGGTTTGAAACCTGTGTTTTCCTCTTCCCAACTCTCAAGTTGCAAAACCATTCTAATATTCTTTTCTCTTTCAGTAAGTCTTTCTCCTTTTTTTTTTTTTTTTTTTTTTTTTTTTTTTTTTTTTTTTTTTTTTTTTTTTTTTTTTTTTTTTTTTTTTTTTTTTTTTTTTTTTTTTTTTTTTTTTTTTTTTTTTTTTTTTTTTTTTTTTTTTTTTTTTTTTTTTTTTTTTTTTTTTTTTTTTTTTTTTTTTTTTTTTTTTTTTTTTTTTTTTTTTTTTTTTTTTTTTTTTTTTTTTTTTTTTTTTTTTTTTTTTTTTTTTTTTTTTTTTTTTTTTTTTTTTTTTTTTTTTTTTTTTTTTTTTTTTTTTTTTTTTTTTTTTTTTTTTTTTTTTTTTTTTTTTTTTTTTTTTTTTTTTTTTTTTTTTTTTTTTTTTTTTTTTTTTTTTTTTTTTTTTTTTTTTTTTTTTTTTTTTTTTGGGGCTTTGGTTCGTCATTTTTTAATTAAAGAAAGTGGTAGATTCTCGGGTACTGAGATAAATCATATGGTTCTATCCCACCAATCAAGGCATTGCCAATCCCTAACGCCAGCCAATGCTCTTTCTAGTTTGTGTTACTTGTAATTGTTACAGAGAGTTCATATCATCTAGAGAAATTTAAGAAGTAAAATATTCCCACAACTGGAAGTGCCACACAATAAGGCAAGCATGGTATGATAAATTTACAGTCTCTAAGAAACCTTCACCTGTTGTGGATGATGGTAAGCCTGAGACTTCGAATTATTGCAAAAGCCAAAAATTTTTCAAGAACCTGAAGCTATGCTCATACACATACCAAGATATTCGAGTTTCCCAAACGGGTTTGATGAAACTCTGCCAAGGGAGCAAACAGTAGTAGGGTAGCCACATCAAGTTATGAAAACCACTGACCTGAGAGGCCAGCCTCTTGAGTTTCTCTGCAGCTTCCAAGACACCTTTTCTCACTTCTGGAGTAAGACTACAGTGAAATCCATTTGGGCAATGCCTCACAGTTTCCAATCCTATGCCTTTGTTTGCTCCAGTAACAACTGAATACTGAGAGGGGGAACACAAACACCAAATCTCATAACACAAAAAAAATAGTGAGAAATTGTTAGGGAAGCAGTACTTCAAAAGCATTAAAAGGACCTTGAAAGTGCTACTCTTTGTTCTTTCTGCCCAGATATATTCGAAACGGGACGGTTTGTGAGAATGAGGATTAATTAAAGAAGGAAGGAGGCTTCTTTCTTTCTAGTGTACTGTTATTGGGAAAGCCTTTGAATTTTTTGAGGTCTAAGGCAACTAAAAATAATGAGAAGAAGAAAGTTTTTTGATTCGGTTTGTTCCATATAAATACGGAGTTGTCTAGAAGGAAAAGAACGGGGGGGGGTGGTGACGCACAAGTGCTCTACACTAAACTCAACCATCAAGTAATTGTATATGCATGTTACTAATCGTAATAAGATTGGAGGAATATAATTGAGGATGAATTGAAATTGAATTGTGGAGGAGTTAGATTGAGGAGAATTAGGATTCTCGCTTCCTATTGAAGCTTGTTTATTAAAATGATATGATGAGGGATAAGTTAATATTCGAATTCCTGCTTTTTTGTGGGTGCCACTCGCGCATTTCATTCCTCATGGGAAGTAAACATAGGATAATCTATAATAGGAATATTTAAATCCTTATTTTGATTCCAAAAGGCAAAGGGGAGTTTTTCCTAAGATGATTTATTGTAGAATCTTCTATATTTCGGGCCCTATTTATGGACTTATATGTGAAAAGGCACTAATTAAGATCTTCTAAAGAGCCTATAAACGTTGGGTCTTCCTCAAGTGATTTTATATGTTTGGTACTGTAGTTCAATGAGTAAGCACCTTATGGACTTTTTAGAGGAGTTAGGAAAGTACAATTTGCCCCTTATTGACAAAAAAGTGGTATAGCCAAAAAAGAAAACGTAAAAAGTAACTCTCTTTTTATTTGGTCATGAAAGTATAATAAGTTAATAATGGGTTTGGTGGATATAGTGAGATAGACATCATGAAGCACAACATTTTTTTTTTTTTTTTTGAGATATGACATCAGTGCAGACCAACAGTGAATGAATAAGAAGATGGTAAAGCCTAAAGTATTCTAGGAAAAAAAAGCAAAAAAAGGGGGGTAGGAAAATGAGACTAAACAGAAGGAGCCTGATGTTATTTTATAACGTGAAAGTACGTGGAAAGCTTTTTGCTGGTATTTTGGGTATATAATTGTTTTCTAAAAGTCATGAAGGGGAAAAGATGGAAACAACATTTGCTGGATTTTTGTTTGGAGTCTTAAGGCAACAAGAGGTAGTGGACGCAAGTGCCCACGTGTTCATAAACATGCCCAGTCCAAGTATTTTTGCATTTAACATGGGGATTTGGCTGCTCCAATCCAATAACATGATGTTTAAAGAGACTCTGTTTGTCTTTTTTTATAAACAAAAATTGAATGTTCAATTCGTCTGTACCACCTACTTTAATTCTTAAGTAATAACGGATTGGCAATACGTGTTACTATATATTGTTGTCAACACTCATCACAGATATACGAAAATGAATTGATAAGTCGATCAAAGGAATGGACATCAATCCAAGAATTTCTTATTATAATATGTAATGATTATGGATTCAAGAGCGTGAGAAGTAGATATGTAACAAGCAATGTATAGATCCTTCAACAATTCAGATGTGGAAGAAGTTCATAGAGATGCAATCATACAGGACTAATTTAATCTGCCATCCTCGAGTCCATGTGAATGAGAGAAAGAACTTAAAAAGGATCTGTTGCTGGGTCCAAATTACTGTGTTACATTAAAAGTTCAAGATCCTGCCAAATAAATGACATGTAATTAATTTGCATAAATGGATCATCTTCAATTAAAAATCTGACACTTCATACTGAACAAAGGAAGCCAGAAGGGCCATCATTGGGCAGCAATGCTAACTTCATAACCCTTGCAGCCCCTTCTTCAACAGGCAGGACACCGGCATTGTAGGTTATATCTGTTTTGACAGAGCCAGGGCATAACGATTGATACGAAAAGTGGGGTACTTCTTTGCTAGAAATCCTTGTATATGCGTTCAGTGCAGCTTTTGAGACTACATAGGCAGACAAAGGAGAAGGCCAGCCCTTACTTTCAAGTGAACCCTCCTTGAAGTCTTTTAGAAGCTCACTCAGTACATCATCTATTCTTTCTTCTGTTAGGGTTTCGGCATCTGTAAAACTCCTTTAGCCCAATGGCTTGGTATATGCATTAACTTCCCCAGGAAAGACGAAACATTAACCAATTCGCGTGAGTCAGATAACTGGAGGAGTGGGATAAGTGCTTCAGCTGTTCTTTTAGCACCATAATAGTTTATTTGCAAGCATTCTTCTGTTAACTCATAAGTTTCAGTCCATAGTTTACTACCAACTTCTCCTCTCCCCTGTATCAGTAAGAACAGACTTATTATTATGGTCCTCTATAGCCACACCACCACCACAAACAGAAAATGGTTGGATCAAAGTGGGACATGCACATCACAATGAAAAATTTTCAAGCTAGAGAGGAGAAAGCCATGATAACTTATGTGCATAATTTATTTTTATTTATAGCAAAGGGCTTCAAAAAAAATTATGATAGAGAGCAGAAAGATTTATCAGGTGAGATAAGTAAATCCAGAAAGGTAGCAGCTTATTGGAAAACTCCCAAATCATTTAATGAGATCATTTCCCCTACTAAAAACGGCAAAGCCTAAGCGAAACAGATCTTTGGCCCAACCAGAGATCAATTGAAATTTTCACATTAGCACAACATTGAAGTTTTTTTTTATTTTTTTTTATTATTTTATGAACTAGGGGGGATCAACAACCCCAAAACAACACGACTACGAACTGTCCAGCACAAACTAAACGGTTCTAACAACCCCTAAACATATCATCATCAAGAAGGAGCTAATCCAGATAGGCTCCGAGGCAAATAGCACACTCCCAAATCCACATTAACAGCCATACATTGAACCTCTTAGGTTTTGATAGCAATTGAAAAAATTATTCGAAAGACTTACCATTTCCGAAGACTTTTAATAAAGCTATATAGGCATCAGCATCTCCTGTGGCTCCCCCAATCCCTGCATTGTCACCTGTGCAGAGCCAACTGTCTCACTATCTATTTTTAATTTAGAAAAGAAAAGAAAAATGTAGAAAATGCAATTAAAAGAAAGTGTGGTAGATCCTCGGGTACTTCGATAATCTATTTGGTTCTATAAACCAGCCATCAAGGCATTGCCAAATCCCTTAACTCCAGCCACTGATTTTCTAGGTACTCGTAATTGTATAGAGGGTTCATATCATCTAGTTAGACTTAAAAAGTAAAATCTTCCACAACTGGAAGTGGATGATCAATAAGCAAGCATGATATGATCAATTTTACAGTCTCTATGTAACCTTCACCTGTGTGGATATTGTGTAAGCCTGAGACTTTTAATTATTTCAAAAGACCAAAACTTTTTCAAGAAATCTGCAGCTATGATCATACACATACCAAGATATCGAGTTTCCCAAACTGGGTTTGATGAACTCTGCCAAGGAAGCAACAGTAGCAGGGTTAGCCACATCAAGTTGATGAAAAACCACTTGACCTGGGAGGCCAGACTCCTTTGAGTTTCTTAGCAGCTTCAAGACCCCTTTTCCTCATCTCTGCAGTTAAGACTACAGTGAATCCATTTGAGGCCAATTGCTCACAGTTTCCAATCCTATGCCTTTGTTTGCCCCAGTAACAACTGCATACCTGGAAAAACAAAAACACCAATTCATAACACCAAAAAGATAAGCAGAAACAATGAGAGGGAATGGAGATGTGACAAGGACCAAAGCATAAAGGACTCTAAAGTGCTACCTCTTTTTTGCTTCTCTGCCATTGATGATTCGATATGGGACGGTCTGTGAGAAATGAGACTAAACAGAAGGAGGCTTCTTCTTTTGTTTTATAGTAAAATGTTCTTGAAAAGCCGTTTGTTCCTATACTGGAGAAAGAAAAGAGTGCTTTGCCTGTAATGTTTTCTAGAAGTCATTGAATGGGAAAGATGGAACAACATTTGCTTGGATTTTTGTTTTGGAGTATTAAGGAAAAAGAGGGGGCTAGTGACGCAAGTGCCCAAGTTGTTCATAACATGCCAAGTCTCAAGTAGTTTTGCATTTAACATTGGGGAATTTGGCTGCTCCAATCCAATAACATGATTGTTAAAGAGACCATGTTGTCTTTATCTTTATTAAACAATTGAATGTTCAATTCTTCTGTACACCTACGTCATTTCTTAATTAATAACGGATTGTCGATAACGTGTTAATATAATTGTTGTCAACATGTCCATAAGAAGTATATACCGAAATGATATTGATAATTTCGATCAAAGGATGGACATAAATCACATAGAATTTCTTATTATAATAATGTAAATGATAATATGGGTTCAAGAGCCCGTTGATAAGTAGAAATGTTAATGTAAAAGCAATGTATTAGAGATGCATCATACAGGACTATTGAATCTATGCCATCCCCGAGTCATGTTGACTGTAGAAAGAACTTAAAAAGGATCTGTTGCTGGGTCCAAATATACTTTGTTACATTAAAAGTTCAAGATCCTGACAAATAAATGACATGTATTTAATTTTCATAAATGGATCATCTTCAATTAAAAATCTGACACTTCATTGTGAACAAAGAAGGAGCCAGAAGGGCCATCATTGGGCAGCAATGCTAACTTCATAACCCTTGCAGCCCCATTCTTCGACAGGTAGGACACCGGTATTGTAGGTTATCTCTGTTTTGACAAAGCCAGGGGCATAACGATTGATACGAAAAGTGGGTACTTCTTTGCTAGAATCCTTGTATATGCGTTCAGTGCAGCTTTCGAGACTACATAGGCAGACAACGAGAAGGCCAGCCCTTACTTTCAAGTGAACCCTCCTTGAAATCTTTAGAACTCGGTCAGTACCTCATCTACTCTCTCTTCTGTTTAGGTTTTCGGCATCTGTAAAAACTCCTTTAGCCCAATGGCTTGGTATATGCATTAACTTCCCCAGGAAGACGAAACATTAAACAATTCTCGTGAGTCATATAACTGGAGGAGTGGGATAAGTGCTTCACAGCTGTTTCTTTTAGCACCATAATAGTTTATTTGCAAGCATTCTTCTGTTTAACTCATAAGTTTCAGTCATTGTTTACTACAACTTCTCCTCTCCCCTGTATCAGTAAGAACAACTTATTATTATGGTCTCTAAAGCCCCACACCCACCACAAACAAGAAAAATGTTGACCAAGATTGAATGAACATCACAATGAAAATTTTTCAAGCCATACATTGAAACTTTCAGGTTTTGATAGCTATTGAAAAAATTAATTCGAAAGACTTACCCATTTCCAAAGAGTTTAATAAAGCTATAAAGGCATCAGCATCTCCTATGGCTCCCCCAATCCCTGCATTGTTCACCTGTGCAAAGCCAACTGTCCTCACTATCTACTTTAATTTAGCGAAGAAAATAGAAATGCAATTAAAAGAAAGTTGGTAGATCCTCGGGTTACTTCGATAATCTATTTGGTTCTATAACCAACCATCAAGGCATTGCCAAATCCCTTAACTCCAGCCACTGATCTTTCTAGGGTACTCGTAAATTGTACAGAGGGTTCATATCATCTAGTTAGACTTAAAAAGTAAAATCTTCCACAACTGGAAGTGGATGATCAATAAGCAAGCATGATATGATCAATTTTACAGTCTCTAATGTAACCTTCACCTGTGTGGATATTGTGTAAGCCTGAGACTTTTAATTATTTCAAAAGACCAAAACTTTTTCAAGAAACCTGCAGCTATGATCATACACATACCAAGATATCGAGTTTCCCAAACTGGGTTTTGATGAACTCTGCCAAGGAAGCAACAGTAGCAGGGTTAGCCACATCAAGTTGATGGAAAACCACTTGACCTGAGAGGCCAGACTCTTTGAGTTTCTTAGCAGCTTCAAGACCCCTTTTCTCATCTCTGGCAGTTAAGACTACAGTGAATCCATTTGAGGCCAATTGCCTCACAGTTTCCAATCCTATGCCTTTGTTTGCCCCAGTAACAACTGCATACCTGGAAAACACAAACACCAATTCATACACAAAAATGATAAGCAAAACAATGAGAGGGAATGGAGATGTGACAAGGAACCAAAGCATAAAGGACTCTAAAGTGCTACCTCTTTGTTGCTTCTGCCATTGATGATTCGATATGGGGACGGTCTGTGAGAAATGAGACTAAATAGAAGGAGGCTTCTTTTGTTTTATAGTAAAATGTTCTTGAAAAGCCGTAATGTTTTCTAGAAGTCATTGAATGGGAAAGATGGAACACCATTTGCTTGGAGTATTAAGGAAAAGGATGAAGGTAGTGACGCAAGTGCACACGGTGACAGACCAGAGAGACCTTTCAACACCTGTCGAGGACTTCCCCAATGGGGCCCCTAAAAGGGACTCAACCACCGTTTGGAGTATATAGGCAAAAAAGTCGTAGCATGCAAAGTCGTAAGTAGTTTTGCATTGAACATACCAATTGTCTTTTTTCTTTATTAAACAATTGAATACAATAATATTGATGGATTGACGGATTGACGGATTGACGGATTGTTGGATAATCAATTCTTCTCTATCCCTACATTATTTCTTAAATAATGACAGATTGTCGATAAAGTATTAATATAATTGTTGTCAACATATCTATAACAAAATATACTGAAATGTTATCGATAGTATCAATCAAATGACGGATATGAATCACGTAGAATTTCTGGTTGAATAATAATGTAAATGATAATATGGGTTTCAAGAGCCAGTTGATAAGTAGAAATGTAAACAAGCAATGTATTAGATCCTTCAATCAACTCCAGATGTGGAAAATAATTTCACAGAGATGCAATTGCAATCATACAGGACTATTGACATAGTATGTCGTCCTCGAGTCATATTGAATGTAGAAAGAACTAAAAAGGATCTGGTGCTGGTTCCAAATATACTTTGTTACATTAAAAATTCAAGATCCTACCAAATAAATGACATGTATTTAATTTGCATAAATGGATCATCTTCAATTAAAAATCTGACACTTCATACTGAACAAAGAAGGAGCCAGAAGGGCCATCATTGGCAGCAATGCTAAATTCATAACCCTTGCAGCCCCTTCTTCGACAGGTAGGACACCGACATTGTAGTTTATATCTGTTTTGACAAAGCCAGGGCAGACCGAATTGATACGAAAAGTGGGGTACTTCTTTGCTAGAATCCTTGTATGTGCGTTCAGTGCAGCTTTTGAGACTATATACGCTGACATAGAAGAAGGAAAGCCCTTACTTTCAAGTGAACCCTCCTTGAAGGCTTTTTAAAAGCTCAGTCAGTACCTCATCTAGTCTCTCTTCTGTTAGTTTTCTGCATCAGTAAAAACTCCTTTAGCCCTACCGCTCGGTATGTTGTTTAACTTCCCCATGGAAGACGAAACATTAACATTCTCGGTGAATCGGATAACTGGAGGAGTGGGATAAGTGCTTCAGCTGTTCTTTTAGCACCATAATAGTTTATTTGCAAGCATTCTTCTGTTAACTCATAAGTTTCAGTCACTAGTTTACTAAAATCAACTCCTCCTATTTCCTGTATCAGCAAAAACAAACTTATTATTATGGTGCCTATTGCCCACCACTTACACACGCACCCCAAACAAGAAAAACGTTGATTAAAGTATGCCAAACCACAGATCAGTTTAAATTCTCACTTCGGCACATACATTGAAGCTTATAGTTTTTTATAGCTATTGATAAAAAAATTATGCAAAAGACTTACCGTGGCACCGGAGGCTACAGAAGCTTTAAAAGCATCACCATCTACTATCTTCCACCCAATCCCTGCATTGTTCACCTGTGCAGAGTCCAACTGTTTCACTATCTGTTTTCTTTTAGCAAAGAAAGAACAGAAAATCTTTATAGAAAATGAAGGAAAAGAAAGTTGATAGATACTCTGATTACTCTTACAATCTCTTTGTTGTTAAACCAAACTAACCATAAAGGCCAATGCCCTTTAAAGAAGCCCAATAATTATGCCACTTTGCCAAACCCCGTAACTCCAGCCACTGATCTTTCTAGGGTACTTATAAATTGTACAGAAAGGGATCATATCATATATGAAAAGATTCCAAGAAACAAAAACAGAGTGGCAGACTGGTAGTTATGTGAAACTTGTTTTGTTCTTCAAAATGCCCAAGACTTCTAATTATTTCAAGGATTAACTTGTTGAAGATATTACTAAGCTAGTTATTACTTGGTTTGCAATTTTTATTTTCCAATTCCATATTTCATCTCCTCCAACTAAATCGCATTCGGATTAAGAGTTAGATTCAAAAGACAGAAACTTTTTCAAGAAACCTGTAGCTATGATCATACACATACCAAGATTCGAGTTTCCCAAACTGGGGTTTTGATGAAGTCTGCCAAAGAAGCAACAGTACAGGGTCAACCACATCAGTTGATGAAAAACCACTTGACCTGAGAGGCCAGACTCTTTGAGTTTCTCAACAGCTTCAAGACCCCTCTTCTCATCTCGGGCAGTTAAGACTACGGTGAACCCATTTGAGGCCAACTGCCTTACAGTTTCCAATCCTATACCTTTGTTTGCTCCAGTAACAACTGCATACCTAAGAAAACACAAACACCAAATTCATAGAAACAAAAACATTTAAAGGGATTGGAAATCGGACAGGGAAACAAAGCATAAAGAAGTCTAAAGTGCTACCTCTTTGTTGCTTCTGCCATTGATAGATTCGAAATGGGACGGTCTGTGAGAATTGCGATGTGTGTTAAACAGAAGGAGCCTTCTTTTCTTTTATAGTGAATGTTCTTGGAAAGCCTTTGAATTTTGAGGTCATATTCAAATAAATAATATGAAGAAGAAAATTGTTGATTCTTTTGAGTAAGCCCATTATGGCGTTTGTTAGTTTGGATTTATAAAAGTACAATTTTGCCTTTATTGACAAAATAGTGGTATAGCAAAAAACGGAAAACGTAAAAGTACTTTTTTTTTTTTTTTTTTTTTTTTTTTTTTGGGGAAAGTAAGTAATAAGTTAATAACTGGGTTTGGTGAGATATAGTGAGATATGACATCATTTGAATGGGAAAGTTGGAACAGCATTTGCTTGGATTTTTATCTGTAGAATTTTCGTTAAGGAAAAGGATGAAGGTAGTGGACGCAAGTGCACACGTTGACAGACCAGAGAGACCTTTCAACAACATGTTCACAAGGGCTTCCCCAATGGGGGCCCTAAAAGGGTCTCACCACCATTGGAGTGTATAGGCAAAAAAGTCGTAACATGCGAAGTCTTAAGTAGTTTTGCATTGAACATGACAATTGTTCTTTTCTTTATTAAACATTGATGAATACAATAATATTGATGGAATGAGGGATTGACGGATTGTTGGATAATCAATTCTTCTCTATATCTACGTCATTTCTTAATTAATGAAGAATTGTGGATAAAGTGTTAATATAATTGTTGTCAATATATCCATAACAAAATATACCGAAATGTTATCGATAGTATCGATCAAAGAACGGATATCAATCACATAGAATTTCTGGTTGAATAATAATGTAAATGATAATATGGGTTCAACAACTAGTTTGATAAGTAGAAATGTAAACAAGCAATGTATTAGATCCTTCAATCAATTCCATATGCGGAAGATAATTTCACAGAGATGCAATCATACAGGACTATTGTATGTTGTCCTCGAGTCATATTGAATGTAGAAGGAACTTAAAAAGGATCTGGTGCTGGGTCCAAATACACTTTGTTACATTAAAAATTCAAGATCCTGCCAAATAAATGACATGTATTTATTTGCATAAACGGATCATCTTCAATTAAAAATCTGACACTTCATACTCAACAAAGAAGGAACCAGAAGGGCCATCATTGGGCAGCAATGCTAACTTCATAACCCTTGCAGCCCCTTCTTCGACAGGTAGGACACCGACATTGTAGTTTATATCTGTTTTGACAAAGCCAGGGCAGACTGAATTGATACGAAAAGTGGGGTACTTCTTTGCTAGAATCCTAGTATATGCGTTCAGTGCAGCTTTTGAGACTATATAGGCTGACAAAGAAGAAGGAAAGCCCTTACTTTCAAGTGAACCCTCCTTGAAGGCTTTTAAAAGCTCAGTCAGTACCTCATCTAGTCTCTCTTCTGTTAGGTTTTCTGCATCAGTAAAAACTCCTTTAGCCCAACCGCTCGGTATGTTGTTTAACTTCCCCATGAAAGACGAAACATTAACAATTCTCGGTGAATCGGATAACTGGAGGAGTGGGATAAGTGCTTCAGCTGTTCTTTTAGCACCATAATAGTTTATCTGCAAGCATTCTTCTGTCAACTCATAAGTTTCAGTATTTAGTTTACTCCAATCAACTTCTCCTCTTCCCTGCAATCAGTAAGAACAAACTTATTATGGTGGCTATTGCCACTACTTACACACCCACCCGAATCATACCGGACTGGTGATGTTACACAGATCATTTCCCCTACTAATTGCCATAGCCTTAAGCCAAACCACAGATGAATTTAAATTTTCACATTAAGCACATACATTAAAGCTTTAAGTTTTTGGTAGCTATTGATAAGAATTATCTGAAAGACTTACAAAGGCACCAGACTCTACTACAGCTCTAAAGGCATCAGGATCTGCTGTGCTTCCACCAATCCCTGCATTGTTCACCTGTGCAGAGTCCAACTGTTTCACTATATTTGTTTTCTTTTGCAAACAAAAGCAAAGAAAAAAACATCTAGAAGATGGAATTAAAAGAAAGTTGGTAGATGCTTTGATTACTTGGATAAACTATCTGCTATAACCAACCAATGCCCTTCAAAGAAGGCCAATAAGTATGCTACTTTGTCACACCACTTAATTCCAGCCACTGATCTTTCATATAGTTAGAGTTAGATTTAGGCTTCAAAGTAAAACCTTCCACAACTGGAAATGGACACAATAAGCAAGATATAGATCACTCATTTTACATTAACCCTGCAGCTATGATCATACATACCAAGATATCGAGTTTCCCAAACTGGGTTTTGATGAACTCTGCCAAAGGAGCAAGACTAGCAGGGTTAGCCACATCAAGTTGATGAAAAACCACTTGACCTGAGAGGCCAGACTCTTTAAGTTTCTCAACAGCTTCAAGACCCCTCTTCTCATCTCTGGCAGTTAACACTACAGTGAATCCTTTTGAGGCCAACTGCCTGACAGTTTCCAATCCTATGCCTTTGTTTGCGCCAGTAACAACTGCATACCTGGAAAAACAAAAGAAAAAACACCAATTTCATAACAAAAATAGGAAGGCAAAAAGGAAACAAAAACAAGAGTGAGAAATTGTTATAGAAGTAATCAAAGGGTGTGGACTCTAAGGTGCCACCTCTTTCTTGCTTTCTGCCATTGCTGATTCGTTTATGGGATCGTCTGTCTGTGAGAAATGAGACTAACAGAAGGAGCCTTCTTTTGGGTTGTAATATAATGTTATTAGCAAACCTTTGCATTTCAAGTTTTATATTCAAATAAATAATAATAAGAACAAGAAAATTGTTAAGACTCGTTTGTTCCTATACTGGAGGGAGGATGCTTGCTTCGAATGTTTCCTAGAAGTAATCTGATGGGAAAACAACATTTGTTTGGATTTTTTCTTTTAAGAATGAAGGAAAAGAATGGGGGTGGTGACTCAAGTGCCCCCATTCGCCCCCATTGTTTAAGCATTTTGGTGGTGGAGGCAGAGCAGAGAGAGCTTAACTCAACCATCAACCACATGCCAAGTCTGAAGCAGTTTCGCCGGCAAGATTGGTGAATTAACCGCTCCAAAATTACATAATTGTTAACGAGACCTATGTTGTCTTTTTGTTTTTTTAAACAATTGACTGCAGAAGTTCGCGATTGTGCTACTACAATTCAAGTTGCATAATATTGAATAATAAATTCTTCTCTACAATTATTTCTTAATTAAATGACGGATTGCCAATAAGGTGTCAATATTATTGTCTCTGACATATGTCTAACAAAATATACCGAAATGTTATCAATATACCATCGATAATATCGATCAAAGGATGGACATCAATCACATAGAATTTCTGACTGTATAACAATGCAAATGATAACATGAGTTCAAGAGCCAGATGAATAGTAGAAATGTAAACAAACAATGCACCAGATCCTTCAATCAATTCCAGATGTGGGAGATAATTTAACAGAGATGCAATCATAGAGGACTATGAGATAGAGAATGTTGCACAATTGAATGTGGCTACAAGAATAAGCATCATATATGTCATCCTCTTATTGAATGTAGAAAGAACTTAAAAAGGATCCGCTGCTGGTTCCAAATATACTTAAATTACATCAAAGTTCAAGATGCTGCCCAACAAGTGACATGTATTAAATTTGCATAATGGATCATCTTCAATCAAAGATCTGACACTTCATACTGAACAAAGAAGGAACCAGAAGGGCCATCATTGGGCAGCAATGCTATCCTCACAACCCTGGCACCACCTTCTTCGACAGGCAAGACGCCGGCATTGGAGTTTAGATCTGTTCTGACAAAGCCAGGGCATACCGAATTGATACGAATATCGGGGTACTTCTTTGCTAGAATCCTTGTATATGCGTTTAGCGCAGCTTTTGAGACTATATAGGCAGACAAAGAAGAAGGCCAGCCCTTACTTTCAAGTGAACCCTCCTTGAAGGCTTTTAGAAGCTCAGTCAGTACCTCACCTACTCCCTCTTCTGTTAGGTTATGAGCATCAGTAAAAACTCCTTTAGCCCAATCACTAGGTATGTTCTTTAACTTCCCCAAGGAAGAGGAAACATTAACAATTCTCGGTGAGTCAGATACTGGAGGAGTGGGATAAGTGCTTCAGCTGTTCTTTTAGCACCATAGTAGTTTATTTGCAAGCATTCTTCTGCCAACTCATAAGTTTCTATCTTTAATTTACTCCAATCAACTTCTCCTCTTTCCTGCATCAGTAAGAACAAAATTATTATGGTGGCTATTGCCAACCACTTACACCCATCCCAAACAAGAAAAATGGTGATCAAAGTTTGACATGCACATCACAATGAAAATATTTCAAGACAGAGGAAGACATCAAGAGAACTTACATTCATATTAAGCACATACATTGAAGCTTTTAGTTTTTGATAGCTATTGATAAAAATTATGCAAAAGACTTACCATGGCACCAGAGTCTACTACAGCTTTAAGAGCATCACCGTCTACTTGGCGTCCACTAATCCCTGCATTGTTCACCTGTGCAGAGTCCAACTGTTTCACTATTTGGGTTCTTTTAGCAAAGAAAAGAACTGAAATTTTTTCTAGAAAATGAAATTAATTGGAAGAAGGTAGATCCTCTGATTACTTGGATAATCTCTTTTGTTGTTACAACCAAACCAACCACAAAGGCCAACAATTATGCCTTTCCCGAACCCCTTAACTCCAGCCACTGATCTTTCTAGCGTACTTGTAAATTGTACAGAGAGGGATCATATATCATATATATGGAAAGAATTCCACACACACACACACACACACACAAAAAAACAAAAAACAAAAAACGAAAAACACTGTGACAGACATAGAGTCAGATTTGATAGTAAAATCTTCCACGACTGGAAGTGGTCCCAATAAGCAAGCAATATATGGATCCGCCACTCAATTTTACAGTCTCTAATATAACCTTCACCTGTGTGGATATTGTGTACGCCTAAGACATAATTATTTCAAAAGACAGAAACTTTTTCAAGAAACCTGCAGCTATGATCATACACATACCAAGATATCGAGTTTTCCAAACTGGGTTTTGATGAACTCTGCCAAGGAAGCAACAGTAGCAGGGTTAGCCACATCAAGTTGGTGAAAAACCACTTGACCTGAGAGGCCAGATTCTTTGAGTTTCTCAACAGCTTCAAGACCCCTTTTCTCATCTCTGGCAGTTAAGACTACAGTGAATCCATTTGAGGCCAATTGCCTCACAGTTTCCAATCCTATGCCTTTGTTTGCTCCAGTAACAACTGCATACCTGAGAAAACACAAACACCAAATTCATAACACAAAATATAGTGAGAAATTGTTATGGAAGCAGTACTTCAAAGCATAAAGGACTTTAAAGTGCTACCTCTTTGTTGCTTCTGCCATTGATATATTCGAAACGGGACGGTCTGTGAGAATTGGGATTAATTAAAAAGAAGGAAGGAGCCTTCTTTTCTTTTATAGTGTATGTTCTTGGAAAGCCTTTGAATTTTGAGGTCCATATTCAAATAAATAATAATGAGAAGAAGAAATTTTCCGATTCGTCTGTTCCTATATAATAATACTGGATAGAGGATGGTTCTAACGCTTTCTAGAAGGAAAACAACGGGGGTGGTGACGCAAGTGCTTAACTAAACTCAACGATCAACTAATAATATGTAAGGATTAAGAGGAATTGAATTGAGGAAGAGTTAGATCGAGAAGAATTAGATTTCGTATACTTATTGAAGTTGTTTACTAAATCATATGAATTAAAGTGAGTTAAATTCCAAATTTATATTAAAGTTGTTTATTAAATTATATAAAATTGGGGTAGGAGTTTGAAGTTGTACTAATGACTAAAATCATAATGACTGATCTGACACACTTCTTTTTCTGTCTTTTCCATTTTTTATTTTTAATCCGAAATTGACTTTTAAAAATATATATTAATTTACTTGTCACAACCTTGTGATAGGAAACAAAGTCGTAAATAGGACCGCCGCACCAGTTGCACACTCAAAAAAGAGTGAGACTGAGACCCCCTAATGTTGCTGTAAGATGATAAGGTGGAGCCCACATGTTGGAAGGTAATCTCCATACACCTTCCTGGAGTCCTCTATCTACCGAATTGTTAGCCAAGGCCTTGCCTGTAAAACTATAGCTTCATTCTCATTTGTAGATATAGAAGAAAATCTCAATGAAAATAACAGAGGAGCATTCCTGTCGCTATCGAATTCTCTAAATTCTCTCTTCAATTTCTTTAGTTTTATAACAAATGTGACTTTTTCGGCCTTTATTTGGGAGCGTTGTCTCTCTTCTCTAAACGCAAGAAACTTGCATACATCACAAGATTCTAAAGGAAGGAACAAGGAGTAGTCACCCAAGGACAGCTAAGTCTTTCCCCAAAAACCAAAGGGGAAGGTCAAGTCAGCTGAGAGCTTCCTGTGAGGCCAGAAACACCTGAACTTTTCTATTCTTTTTTGGGGTGCAGTTTCTTTTGTTATTTAAACATTGTGCTTTGGTGAAATTTTACCTAGATAAAAAGCATCATATACATGCCATCCTCGTATTGAATGTAGAAAGAACCTAAAAAGGATCTGCTGGTGTCCAAAATACTTAAGATTACAATATAGTACAAGATATTGCCCAATAAATGACATGTATTAAATTTGCATAAATGGATCATCTTCAATCAAAAATCTGACACTTCATTGTGAACAAAGAAGGAGCCAGTAGGGCCATCATTGGGCAGCAATGCTAACTTCACAACCTTGGCACCACCTTCTTCGACAGGCAAGAGGCCGGCATTCAAGTTCATATCTGTTTTGACAAAGCCAGGGCAGACCGAATTGATACGAAAATTGGGGTACTTCTTTGCTAGAATCCTTGTATATGCGTTCAGTGCTGCTTTTGAGACTATATAGGCAGGCATAGAAGAAGGCCAGCCCTTACTTTCAAGTGAACCCTCCTTGAAATCTTTTAGAAGCTCAGTCAGTACCTCATCTACTCTCTCTTCTGTTAGGTTTTCGGCATCAGTAAAAACTCCTCTAGCCCCACCGCTTGGTATGTTGTTTAACATCCCCAAGCCAGCCGAAACATTAACAATTCTCGGTGAGTCAGATAACTGGAGGAGTGGGATAAGTGCTTCAGCTGTTCTTTTAGCACCATAATAGTTTATTTGCAAGCATTCTTCTGTTAACTCATAAGTATCAGTCACTAGTTTACTCAAATCAACTTCTCCTCTTTCCTGTATCAGCAAAAACAAACTTATTATTATGGTGCCTATTGCCCACCACTTGCACAACACCCCCAAACAAGAAAAATGTTTATTAAAGTTTGCCAAACCACAGATCATATTAAATTCTCACTTTGGCATATAGATTGAAGCTTTTAGTTTTTGATAGCTATTGATAAAATTATGCAAAAGACTTACCATGGCACCAGAGGCTACAGCAGCTTTAGAAGTATCAACATCTATTATGCTTCCAAAAATCCCTGCATTGTTCACCTGTGCAGAGTCCAACTGTTTCACTATCTGTTTTCTTTTAGCAAATTGAATAGAAATGAAAAGAAAAGTTGATAGATCCTCTGATTACTTGGATAATCTCTTTGTTTTACAACCAAACCAACCATGCTACTTTTCCAAACCCCTTAAATCCAGCCACTGATCTTTATAGGGTACTTGCAAATTGTACAGAAAGGGATCATATCATATATGAAAGGATTCCAAGAAACAAAAACAGAGTTGTAGATGGTTTGCTATTTTTATTCTCCAATTCCTTCAACAAAATCGCATTTGGATTAAGAGTTGGATTCAAAAGACAGAAACTTTTTAAAGAAACCTGCAGCTATGATCATATACATACCAAGATATCGAGTTTCCCAAACTGGGTTTTGATGAAGTCTGCCAAGGAAGCAACAGTAGCAGGGTTAGCTACATCAAGTTGATGAAAAACCACTTGACCAGAGAGGCCAGACTCTTTGAGTTTCTCAACAGCTTCAAGACCCCTCTTGCCATCTCTGGCAGTCAAGACTACAATAAATCCATTTGAGGCCAACTGCCTGACAGTTTCCAATCCTACGCCTTTGTTTGCTCCAGTAACAACTGCATACCTGAGAAAATAAAAAACACCAAATTCAGAACACAAAAATAGTGAGAAATTGTTATGAAAGCAGTACTTTAAAGTGCTACCTCTTTGTTATTTCTGCCATTGATAGATGTGAATTAAACAGCAAGAGCCCTCTTCTCTTTTATAGTGAAATGTTCTTGAAAAGCCTTTGAATTCTGGGGATTATATTCAGATAAATAATAAGAAGAAGATGAAAATTGTTGGTTCTTATGTTCCTATATATACATACTGGAGGGAGGACGCTTCTAGTGTTTTCTAGCAGTAATTGGATATTGTAGTGAAAGAGGGACCGAGACTTGTTTGGATTTTTGTTTTGAAGATTTCTAAGGAAAATAATGGGGGCGTGTTGACGCAAGTGCTCACGTGGTTGAAGAATTTTGGTGGTGGCAGTGGCAAGAAGTTTCGCATGCAAGACTTTTCAACTTGCGCAGAAAATTTCTAATTGACTAGTAATATCCTAGTAGAAACATGGATATTAATTTACTTGTGACAACTTTGACCTTTTGATAGGAAAAAATCTTAGATAAAACCGCCGCACCGATAGCACACTTAAATAAGGGTGAGACTCCTCTGAATGTGGGTCTTAACTCTTTGTGAGTGTGATTTCGCATGCGGCTGCCTTACCCAAGACTCTCTCCCCTTTTATTGGAACAAGGAGAATGCTACTTCGTCAAACCCCTTAATTCCAGCCACTGATCTTTCTAGGGTACTTGGTACGTGTACACAACTGGAAGTGGACACAATAAGCATGATATACATGAGCCACTCAATTTAACATTAACCTTCTGCTGTGTTACTGGGTTAGCCACATCAAGCTGATGAAAAATCACTTGACCTGAGGGGCCAGACTCTTTGAGTTGCCCAACAACTTCAAGACCCCTCTTCTCATCTCTGGCAGTTAAGACTACAGTGAATCCTTTTGAGGCCAACTGCCTGACAGTTTCCAATCCTATGCCTTCGTTTACACAATTGACTGCAGAAGTTTGAGATTGTGCTATTACAATTTTAAGTTGGATAATATTGAATAATCAATTCTTCTCTACACTTAATCCTTGATTAAATGGACTGTCAATATTATTGTCTCTGACTTATGTCTAACAAAATATACCGAAATGTTATTGATATACTATCGATAATACCGGACATCAATCACATAGAATTTCTGACTGAATAACATTGTAAATGATAATATGAGTCCAAGAGCCAGATGAATAGTAGAAATGTAAACAATGCACTAGATCCTTCAATCAATATACATACCAAAATACTACCAGATGTTGCCCAATAAATGACTCGTATTAAATTTGCATAAAAGGATCATCTTCAATCAAAATCTGACACTTCATTGTGAACAAAGAAGGAGCCAGTAGGGCCATCATTGGGCAGCAATGCTAACTTCACAATCCTGGCACCACCTTCTTCGACAGGCAAGACGCCGGCATTGAAGTTTATATCTGTTTTGACAAAGCCAGGGCAGACCGAATTGATACGAAAATTGGGGTACTTCTTTGCTAGAATCCTTGTATATGCGTTCAGTGCTGCTTTTGAGACTATATAGGCAGGAATAGAAGAAGGCCAGCCCTTACTTTCAAGTGAACCCTCCTTGAAATCTTTTAGAAGCTCAGTCAGTACCTCATCTACTCTCTCTTCTGTTAGGTTTTCGGCATCAGTGAAAACTCCTTTAGCCCAATCGCTTGGTATCTTCTTTAACTTCCCCGAGCCAGACGAAACATTAACAATTCTCGGTGAGTCAGATAACTGGAGGAGTGGGATAAGTGCTTCAGCTGTTCTTTTAGCACCATAGTAGTTTATTTGCAAGCATTCTTCCGTTAACTCATAAGTTTCAGTCACTAGTTTACTCAAATCAACTTCTCCTCCTTCCTGTATCAGCAAAAACAAACTTATTATTATGATGCCTATTGCCCACCACTTACACAACACCCAAACAAGAAAAATGTTGATTGAAGCTTTTAGTTTTTGATAGCTATTGATAAAACTTATGCAAAAGACTTACCATGGCACCAGAGGCTATTACAGCTTTAAAAGCATCAACATCTAATATGCTTCCAAAAATCCCTGCATTGTTCACCTGTGCAGAGTCCAACTGTTTCACTTTCTGTTTTCTTTCAGAAAAGAAAAGAACAGATTTTTATTTTATTTTATAGAAAATGAAATGAAAAGAAAGTTGATATATCCTCAGAGTACTCTGACAATCTCTTTGTTTTTACAACCATACCAACCATAAAGGCCAATGCCTTTAAAGAAGCACAATAATTATGCCACTTTGCCAAACCCCTTAATTCCAGCCACGGATCTTTCTAGGGTACTTGTAAATTGTACAGAAAGGGATCATATCATATATGAAAAGATTCCAAGAAACAAAAACAGGGTGGCAGACATAGAGTTAGATTTGAAAGTAAAATCTTCCACAACTGGTAATTATGTGAAACTTATTTTTTTCTTCAAAAACCCTAAGACTTCTAATTATTTCAAAGATTAACTTCTTGATGACATTGTTAAGCTAGTTATTACTTGGTTTGCGATTTTTATTCACCAATTTCATTTTCTATATGATTCCATATTTCATCTCCTTCAATTAAATCGCGTTCGGATTAAGAGTTCAACTCAAAAGACAAACTTTTTCAAGAAACCAGCAGCTATGATCATATACATACCAAGATATCGAGTTTCCCAAACTGGGTTTTGATAAAGTCTGCCAAAGAAGCAACAGTAGCAGGGTTAGCCACATCAAGTTGATGAAAAACCACTTGACCTGAGAGGCCAGACTCTTTGAGTTTCTCAGCAGCTTCAAGACCCCTTTTCTCATCTCTGGCAGTTAAAACTACAGTGAATCCATTTGAGGCCAATTGCCTCACAGTTTCCAATCCTATGCCTTTGTTTGCCCCAGTAACAACTGCATACCTGGAAAAACAAAAACACCAAATTCATAGCACAAAAATGGTAAGCAGAAACAATTAGAGCGAATGGAGATGTCAAAAGGAACCAAAGCAGAAAGGACTCTAAAGTGCTACCTCTTTGTTGCTTCTGCCATTGACATATTCGAAATGGGAAGCCTTTGAACAGAAGGGAGAGGCCTTCTCTCTCACTTAAACCAATATTTTAATTATCTCTCAAAAAAAACAGAAACCAATATTTTAATTACACAAAAAAACATTAATTGTATTTCCGTATTTGCCCTTTTTTATTTTTAAAAATAATAAACAATAAAAAAAAGGGGTTTTTCAATCACCTGATCCCCACCCGAACTCGCCCCCGCCCCATCCTTCTCTGGGAAGACCGAGCAGTCAACACCCACAACTCATCTCTCCTTCTCCCACCTGCGCAGCCACCCCCACCTCCCACCCCAGCCATTAATTTCATTTTCCCACCACAACCTCGACTCTTCCCCCGCCGATGAAAAACCAACAGCCACATCCATTTTCCACCTCACCCATGTTTGATCCTTATTTATTTATTTTACAATACCTCCTTCTTCACACTTCTTTGCACAAAAATATGAATACGATGATTTTGTCATCTTTTTTTTTGTTCTTTTGCAAAAACCCAAATTTCAGGGAGGATGGTGGGCTAGAACTAATACATAGAGATTGGGGGAAGAGGTGGGGGTGGGTGTGGTGAGAAATTGCAGGGAGGGTGGGTCAGGTATGAGTGCAGGGATGATGGAGAAAGGGGAAAGGGACGGTGGGGGTCTTCCAAATGGTTTTGAATTTGGATTAAGGGGAGGGAGCTGGAAATTTTTTTCTGCAAAACAAGCAGGCTCACAAATTGTGTTAGGATTTTTGCGGCTCAATTAAGACTCAAGAGGTGCATGTGGAGTTTCATTTGTTGACTTTGCCAAAGCAAAGGAGTCAATTTGCTTAATCAATGGGGTCCAAGTGTGAGGATGGGTCTGGGTGGAGTGGTGGGTTATGAAGATGGGTCCGGGTGCGTGCTAGAGAGAGAATGTGATAGTGGGAGAGAGTAATAAAAAAGTTGTAAAATTTTTGAATAAAAATATTTAATAAGGGTAAATTTGGAAAATAAAAGTTAACTTATTTGCTGCATTAATGATATTGCTTTTAGTGCAAGAAACTCGCATACATCACAAGATTTATAGGAAGGAACAAAGAGTAGTCACCCTAGGACAGCTAAGTCTTTCCACTAAGGTCATCAAGTCAGCTGGGAGCTTCCTCCAAGGCCAGAAACACCTGAACTTTTCTTTTGTTATTTAAACAGTGTGCTTCGGCGAAATTTTACATGGATAAAAAGCTTCATATATGCCAATGCTCTTATTGAATGTAGAAAGAACGTCAAAAGGATCTGTTGGTGTCCAAATACTTAAAATTACATTACAGTACAAGATGTTGCCCAATAAGTGACTCGTATGAAATTTGCATAAATGGATCACCTTCAATCAAAGATCAGACACTTCATTGTCAACAAAGAAGGAGCCAGTAGGGCCATCATTGGGCAGCAATGCTAACTTCACAATCCTGGCACCACCTTCTTCGACAGGCAAGACGCCGGTATTGACGTTTATCTCTGATTTGACAAAGCCAGGGCAGACCGAATTAATACGAAAATTGAGATACTTCTTTGCTAGAATCCTTGTATATGCGTTCAGTGCTGCTTTTGAGACTGTATAGGCAGGCGTAGAAGAAGGCCAGCCCTTACTTTCAAGTGAACCCTCCTTGAAATCTTTTAGAAACTCAGTCAATACCTCATCTACTCTCTCTTCTGTTAGGTTTTCGGCATCAGTAAAAACTCCTTTAGCCCAATCGCTTGGTATGTTGTTTAACTTCCCCGCACTAGACGAAACATTAACAATTCTCGGTGAGTCAGATAACTGGAGGAGTGGGATAAGTGCTTCAGCTGTTCTTTTAGCACCATAATAGTTTATTTGCACGCATTCTTCTGCGAACTCATAAGTTTCAGTCACTAGTTTACTCAAATCAACTTCTCCTCTTTCCTGTATCAGCCAAA